ACTGTTGCTGGTGTTTACACTCGGAGGAGTAGATGGGATCCTGCCATGATGGGGGACTGTTGCTGGTGTTTACACTCGGAGGAGTAGATGGGATCCTGCCATGATGGGGGACTGTTGCTGGTGTTTACACTCGGAGGAGTAGATGGGATCCTGCCATGATGGGGGACTGTTGCTGGTGTTTACACTCGGAGGAGTAGATGGGATCCTGCCATGATGGGGGACTGTTGCTGGTGTTTACACTCGGAGGAGTAGATGGGATCCTGCCATGATGGGGGACTGTTGCTGGTGTTTACACTCGGAGGAGTAGATGGGATCCTGCCATGATGGGGGACTGTTGCTGGTGTTTACACTCGGAGGAGTAGACGGGATCCTGCCATGATGGGGGACTGTTGCTGGTGTTTACACTCGGAGGAGTAGATGGGATCCTGCCATGATGGGGGACTGTTGCTGGTGTTTACACTCGGAGGAGTAGATGGGATCCTGCCATGATGGGAGACTGTTGCTGGTGTTTACACTCGGAGGACAATACAACACATAGAAGAATGAAATAAAATAACAACTGCCCAAACAGTGGCTGATGTAATACTTCTTGTGTCTCTTATGATTGTTTTAATTCTTTATTGAATTTTAATGTGACGAGGTGGAAAAAAGTAACAGGAATAACAGGAAAAATAGTATTTTTCAGTTTTTGTAAGATTCAATTTCTTGTATAACAAATAAACTTTATGTGCCAAAGAATTGTTATTTTAAATCAGCGGCTCAATAATACCAAAGGCAAGCTCTCCCGCTCTCAACCATGGTACCCAAGTTGTTTTAAATTTATTATAATTAGTGGGTCTACCTGCCTAGATGATGACTACAAAATTAGTTCAAACACTGTGAAGATGTCAGCAGTGTGACTCATAGGACCACTATGCCCAAAGGTGAAGGTAATAGCCAAAAAGTAACTAATGGATAACACATGTTCAGTGCATAAGTCTATTCCTAACATTTTTGGCCTTATGTACTACTTAAAGTTATTGACTAGATCAGTAGGGGGCAGTGAAATTTTGCTCAAAGCTGCACTCTTCAGGCATTGTTCCTTATACATATCTAAGACTCCATGCCAAATTTGAAGCTGATATGTCGAGGTTTAGTCTGCCGCATTTTCTACTGAAATTTTTAAATTTACCTACAGTACTAGCCAAACAGCCGCTGTGGCGGTGCAATGTTCTGTTCAGTGTTTATCAACTTTTTTTTCATATCTCTTATTTCATTTAAGTTGTCTTGTTGCAGATGAGTATGGTGCTATGTCTATATTGATTATCAGCCTCATTTTGTCCCTGATCCAAGGGCTCTGACAGACACCAGTTCACAGAACCGGACAAGACTCCCTACACTGGCTGCCGCTTGTGACCGATACTTGATTAGTGATTATGCTGGAGCTGCCATTGCTACTGCCACCTTAACTGACTATGGCATTATCACAAAGGATGACAAGAGTCAGGTTATTGGACCACATAAGCTGCGGGATGCGAGACAAAAATACCGATTTAAGAGGCAAGAAATTGAGATGGCTAGTTTAGATAATTTGACGTCACTCTATTTTGATGGTAAGAAGACCGCCACTCGTGTGATGATAAAGAATGAGAAGACCGAGAAATGGAGTTCGAGGATGATGGTGAAAGATCATTATGTCATCATGGTTGAGCCTGGCAATGAATATCTCACACATGTGACTCCCAAGACTGGACACGGAAAGCAGATTGCCAAAACTATTCACGAGTTTCTGGTGGAGAAAAATCTAACCCAGCAGCCCATTGTGTGTGTTGGTTGTGATGGAACCAATGTAAATGTAGGATCAGAAAATGGAGTCATTCATCATCTTGAAATGTTACTTGGTCACCCGCTCCATTATTTCATATGTCAGCTTCACGGAAATGAGCTGCCTTTCCGCGCAGTTTTTTATCACTATGATGGTAAACCAAGTGGTCCTGAGCATTGGCGTGGTCCCATTGGAAAGCAGATCAAGGAGTCTTTGTCTGAGCTTCCAGTTGTCGCCTTCCAGCCAGTCAGTTTCCCTGATTTCCCTGTGTTTAATGATGAAGTGGAGAAAGATCTGTCCTGGGATCAGAAATACCTGTATAGGATTTGTAAAGGAGTTATCACAGGTGTTGTTGAAGATGACTTGGCTGCTATTGAGCCAGGTCCTCCCTGTGTGTCAAGGTGGAACACCTTATGGAGTAGAATCCTCAGGCTGTATGTAGCAACATCAAGACCCAGCCATGAGTTGAAAAGAATTGTCATTACAATAATAAAGTTCAGTGCTCCAATGTGGTTTTACATCAAGATACACCCTTACGTAACACACGGCTCAAGGAACGTATTCCAGTCCCTGCTATATATGAAACACCTGAATAGTGAGGAGGAGACGATAGTGAAGAAGGCTGTCCAGAGAAATGCATACTTCGCCCACACAGATCAACTTCTTCTTGGTATGTGTGCAGATGAGGACATGACTGTTAGAGAAAAAGCTGTCTCAATGATAAGAAAAATTAGAGAGGAGAATCAGCAAAAGGAAGAATGCACTGGCAGATCTGAAGAGGAGGAGGAAGATTCTGATGCTGCTGTTGACGAGAATTTGTTAAACTATACTGATGAGGAGGGTAAAGATGGAGATGGGAATGAGGATGTGCCTCCTGTAGTCAACATGAGAAAGGTGGTGACTCCGAAACTAAAGTGGCAAGCAAAAAACTATCATTCCATGATTAACTGGAGGAATGAACTCAAGACTGAGCCTCCTTACATTGCTTCTCTGTCAAATCTACAGGTTAATGACATTCTTGAGACACCATTAGTGGTGCCCAAGTGGCCAAACAGCACTCAGGCGGTCGAGAGAGGCATAAAAGTGATGACTGAAGCTTGCACTGAAGTGACGGGATACGAACCGAGAGATGGATATATTAGGCAAAGATTATTGTCTAGGAAAATGATGCCAAGGTTCCGCACAAAAAAGAATTTCAATATGAACTTGTAATGATTTTCTATACGGTGTACCTGTAAAATAACATGTGAATTAAATCGATGTCACCCATGTAAAATTTATCATTATCCTGGAAAACATTAAATGACACCTAATTTTTGGTATACACTAGAAGTTGACAAAAAGTCGTTCGCGATGCGGCAGGGTAAGTATGCATGAAATGGCATGAAATTTTGCACAGGTGTTTGTTACAGCCATACAAACAATGCCTGAAAAGTGCAGCCTGCAGCTCAAATAAAAGTGTTTTTTCCCTGCCCCCTATAGATCAGTGTTCCTCATTGGATATACTGTACTGCAAGTGAGCCGGTCTCCACACACACTATGACCTTTGAAAGATGAATGGAAAATCATGATTCAGATCAATGTGTGGTGTTTGACAGCAGAGTTCTGGATGTATAGAGATACACCATGAGCCGGGTCACTAATATTATCATATAAATGACTAAGAGTCAGTTGCCTCCATCCACAGTGAACACAAGCAATATTAAAACTCACCCTCGGGTGTGGTTCCCATGCCAGCTTTACGAATATCTTTCAGTTGTGTTTGAAGACGTGCAATCCTCTGCTCAGATAATTGTATGGCAGACTTTAGATCTCCTTCCTGTTGTCCCATTTCCTTTTTTCGTTCCTTCTCTTGTCTTAGAGCTCGGGCTGATGAAAGCATAGCCTCACTGTTTGGTGTTCCCTCAATCTGTTAATTTAATACATTAAAAGATATTAGCATTAAAACGTTAATCAATGTTGTCATGGTCACGTTGACTGCTAGTCTGTTTTAACTCTAATGATTCTTATTATACTCCACGACCGCAAAACATGAGTGGGTGAGCTATTCCTAAGAAGACGTGTTTTTCCCCATCGACGCTTATACTCATGATCCCTCCCAGTAAGTCCCGCCTTCGAACACAGTTGTCAATGCGTTTTATTTCCATTTTTCCTGGCAAGCTCAATCTTGGATTAGTCTGTGTAAATCAACTTTATTAATTCGCCAGACCTTTGTCAACTGAGGGTCATCCTTGAATGAGTAACAGTTGGTTTGTTTATAATTTCTGTCATTGCGTGAGTAGCGATCGCTGGCAACTCAGGGGTATATGAACCACTGCCGAGTAAAGAGTTGTCCTCTGTGACGCGTCCCCTCCAACTTGTCTACAGGTATGTAGCTGTGTTCTCCCGCCTTTATAACCATTCAGTTTGATTTAGTCAATTGTAGTGAATTATCAGTGTTCATGTTATAACAGTGTGATTGTCATTCACCCAGTGTGAGAAGTAATATAAAGTAAATGTCGTTGCTAGACGAGAGATGTTGTTTGTGTTTGAACCACAATGGTTCCTTCTGTGACGCGTTCTCTCCAACTTGTCTACAGGTACAGGGGAAGGCTTAATTGAACACCCACCGGTCGCTCGGAGCCGGTGAATATTCAGCAATGATCAATATAAGGATGATGGCGCTGATTCGGCATGATTAATCTGCTAGACCCCAGACTCGCCATGTGTCTGGCTTCCACCGATCATAGCAACGGTCGTGAGCCCCAGTGTCCTACCCTGGGACGCATTCCTGGCATTTATGGCCCACAGTGTTTGATGTATATGTTTGAGGATAATTAATTGGAAATAATTATCCCATGTTGGGTAGTGGACCCATGTATGAGTTGGTTACAGTGAGTGAAGTATCATCTGTAAGTTGGTCATGTATGTAATGAAATGTATCACCAGTAATGTGGGTGAAGTAAGTATCCCCTTGGATTGACAGTTGAGAGAAGCCAGGAGTTGTCATGTAACTATGTACTGTAAGGTAACACCAGTAAGGTTGTGTGCAATAAGAAAATACTGAGTCTGCAATAAGCCGAGGAGTGCACCTTGAAGTTAGATGTTAATAATATCTTTTTCCCTTTGTATTTCATATTAATAAACCTGTTCTTTGAGTATTTTAGGAGTGTTCATTTTTCACCACAGTAGTTCACCTTTATTTCCATCCAAGTGGCTTGGTATCAGAATTACTATACCCACGTGCCGGCCCTCGCCATGCTACCAAAAGGAACTGAGGTTATGTGGTTACCAGTGAACGTAAGTAAGTATGATAAGGGTGGGCAGTGTGAGTAGGAATCACTGCCCTTACATTGGTGGCAGCTTGTTTCGCCGCCCTTACAATGTCTAGTACACATATATATATTAAATCACTTTGTAAAATTTGATTTCAAGAGAGCAAAATTATTTAACTGCTTAAGAAAATTATTTTGGCTTTAAGTTTGAATAATGTAGTAGATAATAAAATATTCCTTCCCTAGAACCATAATATAAAGGAACTGACTTTCTGTTTCATTCTATCAATCCTCCTCAAGACGAGGTCACGCTCTTCTTCCATGGCGGCGATGTCACGACGTAATTCAGCCGTAGAGAAGCCACTAGTCCGCAGTGCTTCGTACTCACGGTGAATACTCTTGAACTGGTCAATGAGCTCCTCATACTGAAATAACAGTAATAACATTATACAGACAGACAACACAGGCGGGTGGACTTAAAGTAAGAAATTGTCTGGGAATAATACAGTACTACGACCCGGCCCCTGACGACGTGTCAGGGGATTTATAGGAAACATCTTGTGATAAAGAAAAATATAAACAAAACTTGTACAGATAGCAGTGGTATAATGTGGTTGAACTGATGAGTCATGCACAACATCACATACAGTATATCAGTTAGCAAATATCAAGTAGGATACTGTATGGCCTTTCTATAAATAAGGGTTGTTTAGCTTTTATAAACACCTAATTTCTTAAATTATATCGGTGGCATCTGACACAGTATCTATAATAAATCATTAAATAATTTCTACAAAAATACTTAGGGCAAAAGAATATTAATTTTTAAGTGTGATCTACAGTAATTCAGAAGTAAAGTACAGTTGGCCCTTAACATACGCTGGTTTAGCATACACAGATTTGCAAATACGCGGATTGCCCCGCCGGAGGAATATTCTGTACATTGAAGGAATTGAAGTACATTCAAATCGCGCGCCATTCAACTCGCGCGCGGCACCGAACACGGGACACCGCCCGCTCCCGCAACCTCACACACACGCATAGCGCGTCACGCCACCCCGCTCTCACTCAGTCTCGCTGTAACCACGCTTGTGTTGACATCAGAATTGTAGTTGCTACGCTTGCTACCCACATTTACCATGGCCCCTAAAAGAGCATCAAAGACACCAGCTGGAGCCACCCCTAAGTGCCAGAAGAAAGTGATGACTCTGCAGGAGAAGGTGGAGTTGTTGAATATGTTAAGGGAGGGAATGTCGTTCGCTGCTGTGGGGCGACTGTACAACGTGAACAAAAGCACCGTACGTACCATCAAGAAAAAGGAAAAAGATATCTGTGATGCTGTAAGTGCCAGTGCTCCACGCAGTGCTAAGCATGTCAGCCAAGTGAGGGAGAAGGCAATGGTGAAGATGGAGAATGCCTTGTTTTTGTGGATAGAGGACCAGCATCGGAAAGGTGTAGTAGTGACTCTATCCTTATCCGGGAGAAAGCTAAGTCTCTACACACACGCTTCACGCCTGCAGCTAAGGAACCCGTACCCAGTACCAGTGCTGCTACCCCCACACCCGAGACACCTCAGACACCTCCAACACCTTTCCAAGCCAGCAAGGGGTGGTTTGACAATTTCAAGCGTCGATTTGCCTGAAGAATGTGAAGATGACTGGGGAGGCTGCGTCAGCAGACACCATGGCTGCAAAAGCTTTCCCAGCAGAGTTTAAAGCAATACTCGAGGAGCAGGGTTACAAGCCAGAACAAGTTTGGAATATGGACGAAACAGGTAAGACAATAAATTACTACTGTACATTTAACCTTAAAAATGCTCAAATACCTGTTGTACTGTACCTACTGTATTGTGTTGTAAGAGAAAACGGGATAAATGCGTCTGAGTTTTATACAGTAGCTTTTATATTTTTATTCCGTAGTGATTTACCATACAGTGTGGTGTAATATTTTTATACCAATTTTGATACCGTATACTGTATGTATAATAGTACAGGGTGTACTACGAGTATTTTCTTTTCCAACAGGTTTGTTCTGGAAAAAGACGCCACAGCGCACTTTCGTCGCCCAAGAAGAACGCCGTGCACCAGGATTCAAGGCAGCCAAGGACAGGTGCACCATTCAACTCGCGCGCGGCACCGAACACGGGACGCCGCCAGCTCCCGCAACCTCACACACACACACACACGCATAGCTCTCCCTCACTCAGTCAGTCTCGCTGTAACCACGCTTGTGTTGACATCAGCATTGTATGTAGTTGCAAAAATATTACATTTCCGTGAATATATTATATCAAGCACAGGGTGAATAGAATATCACTTATATAACAGTATTTTAACCAAAAACTATTAAAAAACGAGTAACATATCTTGAACATCGGAAGGTTAGGTAAAGTCTTTTGTTTTCATGTAGTTTATCCTAATTTACATTGAAATACATTATGTTTCAGCAAAACTACTATATTTATTTCTGAGAATATGGAAATGCAATATTTTTGCTGAAATGACGTACGTATTACAGTGGAAAGTGACGAAAGCAATGACTTTCGCTTTCTTTCGTTCAAAAGATATTACCGTAATCGCTTTTCGAATGGTTTTCAGTTAAAAAACTGTTGTATTACAATAATATTCTATCCTAATTCACTTGTGATACAACAGTTTTTAACTGAAAACCATTCGAAAAGCGATTATGGTAACATCTTTTGAACGAAAGAGAGCCAAAGTCATTGTTTTCGTCACGATTATCCCTCTTTCCACTGTAATACGTACGTCATTTCAGCAAAAATATTACATTTCCGTGAATGTAGTATATCAAGCACAGTATGAATAGAATATCATTGTAATATAACAGTATTTTAACAGAAAACTATTAAAAAAACGAGTAACATTTCTTGAACATCGGAAGGTTAGGTAAAGTCTTTTGTTTTCGTCATATATTTTATCCTATTTTACATTAAAATACATCACGTTTCAGCAAAACTACTACAGTATTTACTTCTGAGAATATATTCATTCAGGCGCAGTTTAGGTAAAATAGACATGTGATGTAACATTTTTTAACTGAAAACGATTCAAAAAACACGTACCCTCTAGCCCTGTTCAAGGAGAAGACTGGGAGGAGCTGTTTGGTGTTGAAAACGATGACAAGGAAAATGATTTTGATGGATTTTAATGAAAATATTCAGAAATATGGTATCGTAGCATTTATTCAAGTGAATTAGGATAGAATATTATTGTAATACAACAGTAGTGACAATGTGGAGAAGGTGGAGGGATAGAGGAGGAGTGGTAACTGGCGGGAGCAGGGACGAGTGGAGATGACAGCCAGTACATTACGGGTGTACAGTATTCATTGTTTTTATAGCTCTTTTTGTATTTTAATATTAAATACTGTACATTACGTTTCAACAAAACTACTATTTATTTCTGAGAATATGGAAATGTAATATTTATGCTGAAATGATGTACGTATTACAGTGGAAAGTGGGATAAAATTGTGACGAAAGCAATGACTTTCGCTTTCTTTCGTTCAAAAGATGTTACCGTAATCGCTTCTCAAATGGTTTTCAGTTGTGGGATTATGAGACTAATGATAGGATAGAATATTATTGTAATACAGTATGGTACAAAAGTTTTTTAACTTAAAACCATTCAAAAAGCGATTACAGTAAAATCTTTTGAACAACGAAAGAAAGTGAAAGTCATTGTTTTCGTCATGATTTTATCCCACTTTCCACTGTAATATGTACGTCATTTCAGCCAAAATATTACATTTTCATATTTATTTCTGAAAATATATTCATTCAGTCACAGTTAAGGTAAAATATACTTGTGATATAATATTTTAATGAAAATACGGTATCGTAGTTTTCTTTTGTTTCAAATTTAATTAACAAAGATTGATGTTTCAAATGTAATGAACAAAAATTTATGTACAGTATCTATAAATAAACTTTAAAAAAATGAATACTTTAAGTTTTACATCGTCCTGTGCATACCATACCATGCATTTGGCTACTTTGGGCTTGCTATGATGACGCAAGAGACTGCCCTGGCGACTGTACCGACACTCAGAGCTGGTGGTGCGTTGGTGTGTTGTTTCCATTGTTTACTGGTAGTTACTGGTAAATATTTTTCAACCTAACGAAACTATTACCCTCTTAGAGGTCGACCCCCAATTTTTTGCCAAATAATTTGGTCTTAAAAACTCGAACTACACACAGGTATACATTATACGGTAAATAAGGACATGGGGGGGGGCCAGGGTTTTTTTAGGGGGGGGGGGGGGCAAAAGTACACGGATTTTTAACATTCACGGGTATCTCTGTTACCTAACCCCAGCGTATGTTAAGGGCCAACTGTAGTTAAAAAAATGACCAGGCATCATGTTGGCTTTCTGTAAGTTGCCAATGTTTTTATTGATGAACATTTGAATAATTAGTGCAATATTTTTTTTATATGAACCAATTATTATTTCAAGTAAAGAGAAAATTTAATAACTTTTCCAAGTGAAAAAGCTATAAATGAAAGTGGATTGTTGGGTTATTTAGAAATATTAAAACTAATAATGTGAACCAGTTTTGTCAAGTCGCTGCCAGCCTACATAGCCTCTCGGCAAGTGAATGCAGTTTATGAATTGCATGCATTTGTTCCTATTACATTTACAGAAACATTATTAAACAGCCACTCTTATAGAACAACAATTCTTAGGTAATATAATATCAGAGTATAACATAAGACTTCATGCATATTAAGGGAAAAGAAATATTAAATTTGACTAAAATGGCTCAAATTCCTTATGGTCCAACACAATAAAGTTCATCTCAGCATGTTATTGATAGGATGGCTACGTCTATACAGTATGCCCATTGAGGGCATGCGGCTTATCCTTCTGCATGCATTGAGGGACGCTGAGTCTCCTCCACTTTCCTGAGTGAAAACTGTGAAGACTCTAAAATTAAATCTGAATTATTGAAACTACTATTTAAAATATATTTTTCTTTCTACAAGGCAGCAATGTCTGCCTTGTAGTCATTAAGAATACTGTACTGTACATCACTGGTTTAAAGTGACCCAACCTTCATGTGAGTATCAGCTACGTCCACATCTCCTATTATCTCAGCAGGTACTTCCAGCTTCACCAGGTACTTGGCTAAGTAAGCTCGCTTCTTTAGTTCATCGGTTCTCTCCAGGAGCCACGCCAAGATAGGGTAGATTACCTGTTTATTTCCCGATACCAAACCCTGACGAAAATTGCTCCTGAAATATAATTGGCACACTCTTATATTACAATACAGTACATACGTAAATATAATTGGCACGCTCTTATATTACAATACAGTGGGGTATGCTATAATGAATCTAATTGGTTCTAGAACCTTGTTCGTTATAGGATTAATCCGTTCCAGGCCCCCAAATACAACCACTTAACACTGAAAAATATAATAGAAAATTGTAAAAATTGTAAAAAAGTGCATAAATATGCATCTAAATCCCTGAAATAAAGAATATCATTAATACTTGTAATAAAAGAACAATATATTAGTAAAAAAAAAAAAAACTCGTTGTAGGAGTTTCGTTCGTTATAGCATTCTCAATTTTATAGGTAAAACCGTTTGTGATATGAATATTCGTAGTAGAATCCATTCGTTATAGCATACCCCACTGTACATACGTAAATATAATTGGCACGCTCTTATATTACAATATAATTGGCACACTCTTATAATACAATACATATTACAATATAATTGGCACACTCTTATAATACAATACATATTACAATATAATTGGCACACTCTTATATTACAATACATACGTAAATATAATTGGCACGCTCTTATATTACAATATAATTGGCACACTCTTATAATACAATACATATGTAAATATAATTGGCACACTCTCATATTACAATATAATTGGCACACTCTTATATTACAATATAATTGGCACACTCTTATATTACAATATAATTGGCACACTCTTATATTACAATATAATTGGCACACTCTTATATTACAATATAATTGGCACACTCTTATATTACAATATAATTGGCAAACTCTTATATTACAATATAATTGGCACACTCTCATATTACAATATAATTGGCACACTCTTATATTACAATAGCAGTACAAATTCTGATTGAGAATAACGTTTTTTTTTCTTTTAAGTCAAAAGTAACATTTGCTTAAATGGTAAAATTAGTCTATACAGCTCCTCCCTGACTTACGACCTACTCGACTTACAACCACCCGCACTTACGACCTGCCTCAGTCGTACCAAAATTTTGTCAAATTACGTATTTTCGAGTCCCAAGTTTAGTACACAGACAAAATTTTCATCTGTATTCACTTTAAAATGGCTGGCCAGCTTACAAGTGAGAGACCCATGTTAGATTTTCTAAGTACAGTATACAGTATTATTTAAGCATTTCCGACTTACGACCTGGATATCTGTCCCTAACCCCGTCGTAAGTCGGGGAGGAGCTGTATTCTTGAGAAAATGTGTATAAAGGTGATTTACAACTTACGGGCACAGCGTAATTAACTTTTTGAATACTGTAGTACTGTACATTTGTCTAATTATTTCAAGGGTCATTAATTAACACTTATTAAATAAATTTTTATATTCTCCCAACAGAGTATCCATCTAACATCAACCTAAGACTGTATCCATCATCAATACTTACACTTATTATGTATCTCTGACAACATTCATTATGGTACTATGGTAGTTTCAGCTCTATCCTTCCATGCTTCATATTTTTTCTCCTCTATCTACTGATATATTTTCTTGCAATACATTTTTAAATAAGTTAGTAAGTCATAGTTCTGTTGAACTGTTTATTTTACTTATTCATTCCACCATGCTGTTTATATCTTTAAATTATTTCTCTAATACGCTCTTCATGGTATTCCCTTCAGACAACATTACAGTACCTACTGTAGTGTAATGGTACTATCTATATCTTCACAGAAGCAGGGTCCTTATGTGTCATGCATGCAGTACACTGTATAGTACTATAATGTTTAGTTTGTTACACTCGCATAACCTAACCATAGAGGAGGTCTCTGGGTTACCAAAGGCTTCCATTCCTAAAGATGCTCTTAAGTTGGAACACCAGCTGTACTTATAGAACAATATTTAAACTCCCACTATATGATAGCCTAAGTCCTTATATACATCTAAAATCACTTAATTTAAGACAATAGAAGAAAAAGAATGACAAAATACATTAAATGAAAGTAAAAAATAAGTCATCAGGTAAATAAAATACATACGGTAAATTTCAAATTTAACCTCGTTCGTATCGGTGGGCGTTCGTAAGTCAGGGACCTCCTGTACTCTTTGGCACTTTTCTCCACAATGCAGAGTTGTACAATTTCTTGCTTACATTCATTTATTCAGAACAAGCATACAGAGTAAATGCAGTACACTTGCCCTGAAATATTTCATCATGTACCTGTTTTTGAAGTTAAAACCTCTTGAGGACTTGCACAAGCTGAGGACCAAAATTTATAAATTGCACACAGGTTTGCCAGAGAAATGAATTTGGCTAATGCATTTGCACAGCCCTACAAAGACAGTGAAACACTACAACTTTCTACAAATTGCATGAGTGCTCATTAAAGCTACTGGATCTAAGTAATATGTGCAGGGATATCTAGAGAGTTCTTACGTCATATTTGCAGGGTTTCTGCTCATGCTGAAAAAGAGCAACAACCATACATATGACAAACTGTATAAATATAACAGTATAAAATGACACCAGTGATCCTCAACACAACATGGATACTATAGGACTCAACAAACAATATGTTATTTACTGGAATACTGATAGATTTGGGTTCTATTATCTATACTGGGGGTTCCCAAACCTGGGGTCGCGACCCCAAATGGGGTCGGAAGGCTCATTAGGTAGGGTCGCAAAGAGGTCATGGGGTCGGTGAGGTCGCTGGGGTCCTTTGGGTCTGCCAGTGAAATGATTTGGGGTCGCACTGGATAGTTGACAACACTGGATGGGGTCGTGCTAGAAAAAGCTTGGGAACCCCTGATCTATACCAAAGTGAACTGTAATGGCAAGATGATATTATGCTTTTAACCAATCATAACCTAAGGACTGCTACCCCTCAACTCCAATGTCTAACAATATTTAGTGCCGTACTTGGATTTTTATTTTTTTTTTTTTTGGGGGTGCAAGTTAAATTTTTTTCAGAACACTTTCCTAGAATTAGTTCAGAAAATAATTAGAGAGAGAAAGCCCTTCATATGTATTTTTCAAATCGCTAATACCCCTGCAATACTGTATATTGTTCAGTCATATCAAAATAATTTTGTTTTCATTAAATCATATCAAAATAATTTCTGTATACAGTATTCAAAACTACTAGCTCTATACACTACACTGTACAGTATGGTATATACATATCAAGCCCAATTATAAATACTGTACAGAAAAATGGGTCTCTTAAATCTAATGTTAAATACACAACTCACTTCATATGCATCCTGTAAGGTCAAATATAATTAGCATATTACTTTTATATACAGTATACAGTAGTCTCGATTTACGCAGATTTGGTTTACGCGTTTGGTCATTTACGCGGCACCTTGCCAGACCGACAATTTTTATTTACACGGTTCATTACATCATTTACGCGGGAAGCGGCGCGGGCAGGGTGCGCACAAGGTCGCCCAGTCAACAAAACATTACCGAGTTCCTCACCCGCCACCCACCACAGCCGGCCCAAGTCAGTGATAGTGAGGATATGGACTTTGAGGGGTTTGACAAAAATGCCCTGCAAGCCTCTATGGTGAATAGTGATACAGGTGATACAGGTGAGGGCCAATAATCTGCCCTCTGCCTCGAAACCAACCCCCATCCCCGTGTGCCCAGCCATCTTTTCTACTAACGTAAGTGTTAAAAAACCTAATATTATTGATATTTCTCTTCAATATTAATTGTGTGTGCATACCATCATAAAATTAAGATGTTATTTTTACTACAACGTAGGTATTGTGTCGTATAAAGTGTAGTTTGGGGGACGGCCCAGTCTCTATTTCAATTAATCCCATATGTTCTGTTATTTCATTTACGCGTTTCCCGTTTTACGCGGACCTCCACGGGTTCAATTGACCGCGTAAATGAAGACTATACTGCACTGTATTGATATAATATTTCTGCTTAATCTGTGGAATAACTACAGCAATTATATACCAAATAATAAGACTTACATGTTATCATCTGGAGGTTTGTATTTAAGTATTCGCAACATACCCAACATCCGGACTGCCATTTGCTCTGGCTCTTCTTCTCGGATGTCCAATTTATTTTTGCCATCAATTTCAGCAAAGACATCATTCAGTATCTATAACAGTGCATTTCATTAGTAAATATTATTCACCTTATATCACTAGTGAAAGAAAGCTGCATCACTACTCATGGCTCCCCTAACTGTAGTACTGTACTTATCTGTGATTATGATATTAAATTAACATTGATTTGTTATGGCATATACTGTACATCACTTGTTCACTTTGTGCCAACCCGTCAAAGTCTCCAAGAGGGAATTTTCTTAACAATTTATCATCTTTATCTTTTCTACATCAAACCTTGTGCTTCATAAGCCGTGCCCTTAACTTCACTCATATGTTGAGGATTAGTTGCCTGTGAACTATAGGCACCTACCAGCTACTATGTCAGGTGTAAATATACTGTATACGTATTTGTGTGTAATGTACAGGTAAATGTATTTATTTATATGTGATATATAGTATGTATACTAAAACTGATCATGTTCCTTACCTGCAATAGTGACTCGCCATTGAGTGCATCGAAGGAGATGAGGTTATAGTTACGACTGTATGGCTCCTTGTTGAGCTCATTTACAATGAACTTAATTTCCTCACTCATGGTTAGTGATTATACACACACGGCAGTATGTATCTGCCAATAAAAGAAAAGTACAGTAAAAATTCAAACAGAGAGGACTGCTGTGGTGCCTCAATATACAATGTTTAGAATTAAGCCCAATGTAGAACTGTACAGTCTAGTGAATTTTGGAGATTCTAGAGAAGGTAGTCCCATACCCTCTGCCAGCCACCACAGTTGTACAAATACATCTGCACAAGTCAAACTTTAAACAAAATATGACAAGTTTAATTCTTCCACCTGACTTGGGTCATTCTTGAAGTAAGAAATAAGTTTCTTTCATCAAATTTTTGATTAGGTACGTAGTTGGTTACTTTAATTCCTCCACCAGTTTCTTGGGTAATACTGTGGAACACCAGGTTTCACTTTATTCTGTTGAAAAATACTTTCCAGCAAAGGTTCAAACAATGAGTGACCGAACACTTCTCAGAGACCCTTCCCTAACTTATTTAACCTAACAAAAAAAATCTACGAAGCCTCACAAAATATGATGTACTTCTTCCACCCTAGTATGGGAAGGTTAGACAGCTCTGGTTAGTTCATCTTAGTACAGGCCCACCCGGGGTACACGCACATATATAATGTCAGTGCCCTGGGCATTCTATTTATTCCCATAATGCTCAGGATATAAGAACATAACAATGGAGGAAACAGTAACTATTGGCCCATACTGGGCAGTACTGTTTACACCCAGCCCCTATATATCCATCGAACCTACTGGATGTTTGAAGCTATCCAGCATATTGAGTTAATGATGATGTTTGGTAACTTGTTCCACTCGTCTACTACTCTATTTCCAAACCAATGTTTACCTATCTCAAGCCGAAATCTAAATTAGTCTACAGGGTAATTTAAATCCATTGCTACGAGTTCGCTCTTGGCTGGATAGTTTGAGTACCTTTGTTATATCACCTTTGTTCAGCCCTGACTTCCATTTATACACCTCTATCATATAGCCCCTCACTCTACGTCTCTCGAGAGAGTGCAAATTAATATGCTTTAACCTGTCTCTGTACTCAAGGTTCCTAATGCCCGGGATTAGTCTTGTCATTCTCCTCTGAATTCTTTCTATGAATTCTATATCCATTCTGTAGTACGGTGACCAGAGTTGAACTGCGTAATCCAAGTGAGGTCTCACAAGCGCGAGATATAGTTTTAGGATGACCTCACTAGTCTTGTAACTAACACTCCTTTATATGAACCCAGGACAATTCTGGAATTGCTCTGTGTGTGGTGTGGGAATCATGGGCATTTTAAGAATCCTTCTGTTTATATTTCCAATGTAGTTGCTAGTTTAGGAGATAATAAATTCAGTAAAATTATCGTTTCATTCAGGTACCTAATTGGAAGGTCAGAATTGCATAAAATTATCGTTTAGGTCATCCAGCGATTTTTAGGCTTTTACTTCTTTTTACTTTTATCCTCTTCACCACTGATCGGCTCGTTAGCCGCCCGAGCGATCGGTCACGTCTCTGTCACGCACTGTTGGCAAGTACTGGGCATGCACCGGCTCCTGAATGTACCTGAACCCGCTCCAGTGTTGGTCAAGTCTGGTCTTGAAAGAGCTCACACTCGGTGCCGTCACAACACTCTCTGGTAGATTGTTCCAAGAGTTCACAACCCTCACTCTGATAAAGTTTGCCCTCACAGTTTTCTGGACATGCGGCTTCTTCAATCAATAGCTCAGACAATTCTAAAACACTTTTCTTCAATAGTATTTCTTCCGCTCTTGATTACTTTCAGAGAAAATTCGAAAAAAAAAATTGGAAAATCGTCGTATTTTTAAAGTTGTTGGATGTTGAAATTATGTTTTTGCGAAGGTTTTTGATGAGTTTTGAACGAATCCGACTTTCATTTCTACCTCCCTTATCCAACAATAACTGAGGACCCCCAGTGGGAACCTGAGGTTTTGGGTGAGGGAAAATCACAAAAAAGTAGTAATTTGCAATAGAAATGAAGGTCAGAAAAATCCAAATCCTAACCAAACCAAACCACACCTAACCTAGCCCAACCTTAAACTTAACCTAACCACCTGTGTGTTTACCTCAATTACTCAAAGTTGGGTCATCGGGGTCCTCCTCGTCATCCACAGGTCGAATTGGCTGGTGTTTCTCCGACTGCGGGGGTAGACCTTAGTGAGGAAAAACTGGTCTGTCCTCGCTGGTTACAGTCTACACAAGTAACCTCAGTTGGCAAAACACTGTGTTCGTGGAGAAATTTCAACGCCTCACTGTCCTTACCATAATATTATACGTGAAATCTTGCGATGGCTTGGAAATATTTAACATCACAGCCATTGCATAAGGTAGCCATCTTGGAACTAAAATCAAATTCAAGCGGGTAGCAGCAGGGGCCTATACTGAGCTGTGATTGGTTGATCCAAAATCATACCCACCAATTAATATCCAAAGAAAAACTGCAAATGTGAGACTCTAGCACATGTGAACTACTACAACCTAACCAACACACGAGCTCCCCGAGACGGTGAGAACATCAACAAGAACTTAGAAAAAATACGACGATTTTCCAAAAATCTATTGGTATTTTTCTCTGAAAGTAATCATGAGCGGAAGAAATGCTATTGAAGAAAAGTGTCTAAACTAGTGATTCCAACACTTAAAATCCTAAACATTGCAGGATGATCGAAATGATAATAATGCCCAGAATTGTTCAAAACACCTCCAAAACCATATGAAAAACATGAAATCCTAAAATTTGCTGCATGACTTTAATGATAATAATATAATAAACTCCAATTAAACAATTCCAGAATAAAGGTACAGGTAGTTAATCCCAGAAATAGTGGATTTAGCCAGATTTCAATATTATGCAGAATATAAGCAGCGCTGAGAGCTGGTATGTTAATAAGTACTGAATTAGTAAACTACGAGTAACACTGCTCTATTCCTTCTAACTTTTACTTTTATCCACTTCACCACTGATCGGCTCGTTAGCTGCTTGGGCGATCGGTCAAGTCTTTGATTACTTTTCCTTTTCGGAAAATAACTATTGTAACTCACGTGCCTAGAAGCTTGCTACCTAACAGTTCAATGAGATATGTTATATTCTAATAAAAGTTTGGGTGGTGGCAGGCTACCGTGGTAAGTATAATAAGTGTGATAATAATAATAATGACATGGTTTACCCAGACTAATCCATGGTATAGACTATAACTAAAACAGGATACAGTATAATAAGAGAAAGAAAGGACACAAAATTCAGAAAATACAATATATGACAGAAGAAATAAAGTATAGAAAAGAATATTGACTTAAAAAATATAAGCAAAGAAATATAAGATAAATACTTATAAACAAAAAGACTAAGAAAATAAGATTAATAGATGATATGGATATAAAGCAAGTATATAAGTATTTTACTTTTATCCTCTTCACCACTGAAATAAAACTAACCCCCTTACAAATGGCACATTGGTATAGATTTGTGTGTAAAACAAAAGTAATTGCCAAAGAAAATTAAAAAGTTGTTGATTATAATGACTGTTCCAGAGCATTTAAGCTTAAATTATCAATCTAAGTATTGTACATCCTTTAATTTATAATTTTCCCAACTCTCCTTCTGAGAATTAAAATGAAACTCTGAAGGACAAAATGATGAAAGAAATTAATACATTTACAATTTCCACCATGAATTATTCAAAATACAGTATCAGTATTTGTCACAGATGCAGAATAAAGGTAAGAAAAGAAGCTTAAGACAACACAATTACCTGTACACGACCAAGAATGGTGTTTGTGTTTGGTTGTCATGGTATCATCAGGACGTCATAGGAGCGGGCTTTTCAAACAAAAAATGACTCAAACTCTCCCATTAAAAACACTCACGGGGTGAGATATACAACAGCGGGTTTGGATGGATCATTAGTTGCACCACAATATGCCACCATTACTTTTACTTTACCTTTATCTTCTTCGCCATTGACGTACTGTAATGTAGGTTAAGTTCCAAGCCAGTGTTGTCAATTTAGCTGTTTTCCCGCTAAATCTGTCGGTTTTGCCTTCAATCTAGCGACTAGCAGGAATCCTTAGCGGGATTAGATATTTGTATAGCGATTTTCTAGCGGGATGGCAGGGCATATCAGAGGACTGCCGGCAATAATACGAATAGAGAATAACTGATTGTAACTATACGCAGGAATTGCACCGTTTTGCTTGCCGTTTCCCTGTTACCTCCCCGGTGAGAGGTCTACCGTTCCCGTATCGCGGCTCTTCCTTTCCCCTCCGGCCTCCCCCTGCTCCTCCACCTCCCTCACGACTCAGTCAGCTTGCTGCCTTGCTGGAAGTCGGGTTTACAATAAGTTATTAGTGAATGATTGACATTAATTTAAAAATTTATTGCCAAACAACAAAATGCCCAAGTCTCAATATTCACAGAAGTAACGAAGGGAGTGACTGTATGACCTAGAGACTAGCGTTGAGAAAACTGTTTCACTGATAGTAAGATTACATCTCTGACACAAATTCCAAGATCAAAATATAATTAAAAACATCATATACCCACATTTCGTGTCTGACATAAACCAGTGCTATTGGAGACAAGCCGTACAGTTTACTGATAGATGAGTCAAGACATATTAGTGTTAACAAGTTTTTTTGGAATAACAGTAATATGCTATGACGAAGTGAAGTAGAAAATAATTTATAGTTGGTTGATTAGCAGTCTGTAATGATATGTGTATGTAACTTATTTCTTTTACTTTTATCCTCTTCACCACTGATCGGCTCGCTAGCCGCCCGGGCAATCGGTCACGTCTCTGTCACGCACTGTTGGTAAGTACTGGGCATGCACCAGCTCCTGAATGTACCTGAACCCGCTCCAGTGTTGGTCAAGTCTGGTCTTGAAAGAGCTCACACTCGGTGCCGTCACAACACTCTCTGGTAGATTGTTCCAAGAGCTCACAACTCTCACTCCGAAAAAGTTTGCCCTCACGGTTTTCTGGACTTGCGGCTTCTTCAGTCTTGAGCTGTGACCCCTTGTGGGGCGAGCGTCCGCCAGCTCCAAGTAAGGACACTCAACTGAGTAGTGCCCCCTGAGATGCTTATACACCTCAACTAGGTCCCCCCTTGCCCGTCTGTAGTATAAGCTAGGCAAGTTCAGGCGCTCCAATCTCTCAGGGTAGCTGAGGTGCCGAAGTGCAGGCACCAGTCTGGTGGCCCTCCTTTGAACATTTTCAACCAACTGACAGTCCCTAGCATACCTCGGGGACCAGATGGGGTGACAGTACTCCAGATGGGGAAGCACTTCACTCCTGAAGATCGTCACGAGGGACGGACCGTCTAGATATCTGAACGACCTTCTTATAAGACCCAATAATTTATTTATGAGAATAATTTTCTAATTTTTAAAATTTCCATTTGGGTTATGTATAAAGTTACTTGGGGTTCTCTCTTCCGAATACATTTATCTCGTAATAATTAAAAACGATTTTTTTGTAGTAACTTTCAGAAAGAGAAACATAGCGGGTTTGGACCTCAATCTAGCGGTTTTGGTGACTAGTCTAGCGGTTTCTAGTTAGCAACACTGTAATAATAATCCCAGCTGATCCCCGCTGTAAACATCATGACCTCGCAAACATGGAATCGGTTTTGGGGTTCTACATTTGTAAAGGCACCGCTACAGAATGGCGTCGGTCGTTATGTTCAACAGTTGCAGAGAATTACGTTCAAATTCTGTAAAACACATGGAGGCAGCAGGGGTATGAGGTGAGTTAAACACAGTGATGGTCTGTGAAGGTGATGTGGATATGTCTTATTGGATTTGAATTGATTGGAAAAAATCAGGTAATATTGCAGTTTACAGCAACCACAGAATGCCGATCATTTACTGCACTCAGTCGATAGAACTGTTTTTTATTTGGTCAGATTTGAACCAATCGCATCAAAAACCATCAGAAAAACACTGTAATGTGCAGTTTTATAAAAAATTATACATGCATAAGAATATAAACATTTGATACATTATCTCTTAACGACAGGGCTCTGGGTTGACCAGCTACCAAATGGTCACCTCAAAGTTTGACAGGGTGATAATTCTTCAGGTGAGGTCAGGTCAGTTAGGCAATAGGTTGTGGATAATCTTCATAGTGAGATCAGGTTAGGTTTGTGTTGTGTAGTGTAGTGTGTTATGCAATATGGTCTTATGTTATATTTACCTGACCTAACTATTAACCTTATATTGATTGTGGTCGGGGTGATGATTCTTCATGTGGACACTCTGGAGTGAGAATTTTTCAGGTGATCCGAGCAAAACTTATTCACCTCAAGATTAAACCAAGTCGGGTGGAGGAATTGCAATTTTGGTACAAATTCTTCGGTATTATTTTACTTTCGGACAACACGGGAATATTAGGAATTTTATCTTTGTACTCAATAGTTTCGACAATATTAAAACATTTATCTTTGACGTTTCTCTCACAAACGGGGGATCCAGGGGGCATAGGTTAGGTTAGGTTAGGTACATGAACTTTGCTCACCAATGAAAAAATATAAATGTTAATATCTTCCAATAAGCTGATTTTACTGTCCTTTTATTTCAGAGATTTTATTGAGAAGGACCTCATTGAATTTGCAAGGATGAACCCAGGTGTTGTTGTTTACCTCAAGCCACGCCGTCACCGGTCATCATGCTTGAAAGCCGAGTACTGTACGTGCACTTTGTATATTTATCTAGTTAAATATCTAGGACTGTATATTTCTGTGCCCTTATTGATAATTTTTGGGGAATGTCTATTGATTTCCTTATTGTAATACTTAGAATATATATTTGGTACGATAACAAGGAAAGTATTATTTTTTTCTGAAGTGTATTACCAATCAACCAAACCTATGGCAGTGTTTGTGAAGTTTAGGGAAGATTAAGTATAATGCAGTACACCTGTTCTGTAGTTTGTTTGAGTCTTGTAGTCTGTTTAGAAGAGGCTTTCAGATTCATTGTTTCCATATTCTACCAAAAGCTCTGTTATATAGGCATTAAAATAACCAATTCAGTATAGATCTCATAAAAAAATACCAACAACTAAATTGAGAGACTTGGAGTGAACTTTATAATTTTCTCTTTTATTTAATGTAGAAATGTTTCTCACTCAGATTTTGTCTTGACATATTATTACAGGTGTACAGAACTGTTTTTCTCATAATGCCCTCAGTGGTGATTTAGCTTTATCATTGTAAATTTTCTGCAGTGAATGGGGGTGAGGAATATATATCTGCACACAAGCAGTCAAGTGAAGAGATAAAAAAGTGGGTGGAATACCTAAGAACACAGTCGGGATATTCAGTAGAGCGTCTACGCAAGTACCAGCATACAGATCGCCCATCAATTCAGGGCCCCTGGACCCCATGGATGCATCGTGATCAATGTATAAACATTGCAGAGTATCCACAGGTAAGTTATGTACAGTGAGAATACTGTACAAATAATTCATTAGTAATTAATAACTTTACGAGAAATAACCATTTTTATTTTGAAATATCTTAAAAAGTGATGCAAATTATTTAAGCTAATTATCTCAATATGCTAATGGATGCCAAATTCTGGAAAGCAAAATCCCCTGAGAAAAAAAACAAACAAAACAATAAAACAAGTTAGCTTAGACTGCCAGACTAAAAAGATAAGGTGAGAAGATAAATGTATTTGTGAAGGAAGTTTTCAGTTCATGGACAGGTGTAAATCACCAGCAGTCCCTCACGCATTTCTAGTTTATTTTATTTATTATTATTTTTTTTTTTCAGTTTGAATATTGCTGTTTCATATACTACCAGAGGCTTACATGTGTCATACAAACTGTCAACGAACACATTATTGTAAATTACATGTGTTTAATAATAATCATGTACTACAGTATTTCTAAGACATTTATTTTATTCCAGGAGGAGCTGTCTTGTGCAGTTAAAAGAGAGAAAACTGCCACACAAGAACTCTTGGAAAAAAGTAAAATATTTGTTGGAGTAAATAATTCATCATAATTGGCTGCTTTTAAACAGTTGTTAGTTACATGTAATTCTCAGTGTGCAGGAGGAAGGCTGACCATTGTATATAGTGTCCACTGAGATGGATTATAGTTTCTCTACTGTTAATTGAATACTGTATTAATGAAATGTAAATTTATGTAGAGTATCTTCTCATTGCACCCATACCACAGGCACGTGTATGCCTCAGCTTGTCGTAAGCATGCTCACAGCCACATATAAACCCTTATATGCTATTTTCAATTATAAGTAATATACTAATTAGAAGGATCGGAGTGAGTTTAGCTATAATTCTGAGGTCACTGTCAATTTTGCAGGGTCATTGTGACTTTCCTGGGGGGCTCACTTTACTAAATTATGACAATGTTCATTTCTTCTTAAGGTTAAGTCAGCATTGAGGTTTTTGGTACTGATTTGTTAAACCTGTTAAGATAAGGTCAAGATTGTTCTGATCATGTGTAGGAAAGTTCAGAGCTTGTAATTGTAGCAGCTGTTCTTGGAGACCAGTGGTGTCAATTTCATTAAAATCGCCACAAAGCACTAGCTTGTCACATGGGTGCCTAGCTCTTGAGTTGGTAATGAGGTGATTAATTGATGTGTCTGATGGGTAAGTGAGTCAGGTGCTATAAAAGTCTTTGGCAATCAGATGACATTATTTGTGTCTGAGTACAGTGGGTCTGTAGCCAGTCTTATACACTTGCAGGGCAACCTGAAAGTTTGAGGGGCACAAAATCTTTTCTATGGGATGTGGTCCTCTAGCACCCTCTATAAATTACTCGGCCATTATACAGTTGGTGGTGACCCGGCTGTTTGGTATCGTATATTTTTATTCATCTCTCATGTTTCATAAGCCGTCACAGCTGTTGTTTTCTTGAAAATGGTACCAACTTTGGGTTTTACCAAGGAATTACAGACGAGGTTGAGAAACTAAAGAATTCACACATTAACATCAGTTTTCACAAATTTAGACAACTGAACACAACTTGTGGTTGAAACAGTGAATTTAGGGAATACCTCTGGCAATTTTTTCCCCAATGTTTGTCTGCACACAACTATGTTTGTCAGACATTACTGATGCTCCATCATAGCATTGTGCAAGGAGCAATTTCAGGTGATCTGCATCAAATTTCTCAAGTTCCTGAATGTCAAATAGTTTTTCGTTTGTTACTCCTTGCTCATTGTTAAATCTGATAATGACAGTTACAAGTTCTACAGCAGTTTCATTGTGAGTTTCATCACAATTAAGTGTAAATGGGTCCTAACTCACTGTCCATATAGACCCATAGACCATGCTATCCTCATTATAGCTAGTGACATTACTAGGTACTTTTACCAAAAGCATCTATAATCCACTAAGGTGAGAAACATTACAATGAATGATTTCTTTGATAACTGAGCACACTTATGTTTAACAACCCCCCCCCCTGCAAGTGGTTAACAATGTTTAGCAACCCCCCTGCAAGTGGTTAACAATGTTTAGCAACCCCCCCCCCTGCAAGTGGTTAACAATGTTTAGCTGCAAGTGGTTAACAATGTTTAGCAACCCCCCTGCAAGTGGTTAACAAACCGATCAGTGGCAAAGAGGATAAAAGTAATATAAACAACAGAGCTGAGCAGTTATAGCTTCCATGAAAAAATAGATAATACATAAACTACCCAGGAGCTTTTTTCATAACATTCTACAACTTGTGGACATTATCTGTGAATGAACTGAAAATCATAACTTATACTTTGTAGGCTATGGAGTCCATGCAAACTGTTGTTTCCCTTAGACTTGATGCCAAGCAATGAAATACAGGTATAGCTCACATCAATCAACAACAGTATTTTGTACACATTACTGTAAAGGTAAAGAAAATCAAAACAGATAATCACACCTGTATCTGACGAAACTGTAACTGTCGACCACTTCAAAATCGTGACTCCTCCAGTCCAAACCTTTTGCCCCAGGACCAGATCTACCCTGTAAAGTTGATAAACACTCTCAAGATGGAAAGAGAATTTTGCCCATTGTTGTTTGTTTGTTCATAAATGACAAGCTACACACTCCTCCATACAAATGCCAAGTTATTCAGAGACGTTAAGAACCAGGTGGATTATGAAGAGCTGCAGAAAGATCTCTGTCAGCTTCAGTAGTTGAAGGAATAGCTGTTAAGATACAGTCACAAGTGTAAGAGGATGCATCAAGGTCTGACCAACAGTAAGGAGGCTTGTTATATGGGGCAAAGAAACTGCATTAATAGTCTGTATGTGAAAAAGGACTCGAGTGTGTACTGTATGTTGACAACGAACTGAAGTTCAATCAAGCAACTAAGCTGGAAGTCTTATAAGTATGTAATTTCTACACCTGTGAGTCATCTACCTGATCTTATTCCCTCCTCTCTCTGTTTAACTAGGTATGCATTCCTCTACCATTAACTCAAGGGTTTTCATGAAGTCTTGCCTTGAATCTATTATGTCTGACTCGACTTAAAAAAAAATTCCTAATTAATTCTCTGTAGTTTGTGCCTTATGAACTGGTAATCTCAATGGTTGAATTCATTATCCTCTTCAGCTGCTTTCTCTACTCTTCAAATGATAGATTGGTAAATACTTAAATATATGCTCTGTAAATTTTTTGAAAATGTTCACACTGGTTAATCATTGTGTATGACTGCAGGTACTTGATCAGTGACAAATAATAAGTAAATTTGGATCATATGAAGATCTTCCCCCCCAAAGTATCCAACTGAAGATCCACCCCCCCAGTCGCGCTCATATGAAGATCCTCCCCCCCCCAGGCTAGATCATATGAAGATCCACCCCCCATAACCTAACCTACTTTTACTTTTTTTTTCTTTTATCCTCTTCGCCACTGATCGGCTTGTTAGCCGCTTGGGCCAATTAATAACAGACAGAGAATCTTCAGTTAGGAAGGGCAGCACAACAGTCTTGAAAGTATCACGGTCCATGGTGCTCTTGATATTGAGTACATGGGCAAAATCTGACTATATGTATATACCAACACAAATGTGGTCATAGTGACGTTAGGTCAGGTCAGGTCAGGTTTGGTCAGGTCAGATCCTCCCATCCAGGCTTGATCATATGAAGATCCTCCCCCCCCCCCCAAGTAGGTTTGGGGGGGAGGATCTTCATATGATCCGTAAATTTTACCAAACGTTGGCTCTCAAGAATTTTGCTTCACAATTCTTGTTTATTTTATTTGTACAGTATAAGCATTACATTCAGACATGATATAATCAATGAAGGGATATGATAAAGTTTATAATAACGAAACTAAACTGAGGACTTAATTAAATGCCATAGTGTATAACAACATAATTACAGTACCTGTATTATTTTCTTTAAAATTCGTTCCAAATTATGAAAATCACTCTAGGTCAAATCAAAAGCAAGTTTTGTGTTTATAGATATATATATATATATATATATATATATATATATATATATAAATATATATATATATATTATAAAGATATGAAAGCCAAAGTTCAGTATTTTAATAAATATGTTACATTTTCTGTGATAAATAAGGTTGATAAATAATGAAAATTATAAGTTTTGATAGTCTTTAATAAGAGTTGCGTGTCATACTATCCTTCCCTCGCCGATCAGTGACGAAATCGCGGCCGCACACAGGCAGACTGTGTATTTAGGTAATGGAACTAGATTACTGCCTTGGAAGCTTACTTATATGATATTGCGAGTGATAAACTGGAACATGGTGGTTATAAGGAGTTACTCGACCATTTGTAAATATAATAATGGGAGGAAAAATTAAGAGAGAATTTGGTGGGGTTTTGACAGCTGGAGGTATAACTGGGGAACTATTCTACACGTGGAGCTAAAAACTGAACAATATAAGTGATAAGATTAGTAATAGCATCTTGTGTGAGTGTGTAGTTATAGTCCCATATTCGTTAAAAAAAAGTGATTTGAGGGATATCGAATTGACGGTGTGTGCAGGCGCAGGTGAATGGGGGTATACGAAAGAGAAAGTGAATTTAAAGTAATTTTTTCACACCACTCTGTATATTTTTATTCCTAACTTTGATATACTGTTTTAATGAAATTTTGTACCGTGTGTAATTATTGTGAATGAAAATAGGAAGTGAAACGTAGTGTACCATAGTGGCGACTGTGGTGTAAATATTCAGCCTTGCAATTGAACATGGGCAAGTTTCTTCATGCCATTTGCCTCTGTCTACCCAGCAGTAATTGGGGACCCGGATGTTAATCGATTTGCATATTGTCTTCCGGAGTAATGGTTATCCAGTGCAGTTGGCGAGTTGTCCGGTCTTCTCGGAGTATTCCTTGACACTGGGTCATGCAGCTCGTTAACTTAGGGTGTGATTGTTGTGTTGGCGACACCTTTTACAACTAAAACTAATTCACGTCTAGGTGGCCCTTGGACTGGCCATCCTCGTTACACGAGGGGCAACCATAATAATTATATAGTGTAGTGTGTGTGCGCGTGTGTATGCGTGGAATGGGAGACAAAGGGAGTCACCAACTTAGGATAAATTTGGTTTAAAGTGGGTACTGTATTTATCTTGGACAATACTGTTCTTGTCATGGTGGATTAGGGATGATGTACATCTCTTAAAACAGGAAAAAATAACAAAGTAAACCATATTTAACCTTGCCTAAATTAACTATAATGTGATGTAGTATTTCAAATATTTGGTTGTTTCATCATCTTTGTTTTTAAGGATAAGGTTTAAGACAAGTGAGCTATTCATGAGAAAATGGTAATACTTGATGTGGAAGTTTCCTTAACTGTAAGTTTAGCAAAATTTCTCCATATGAGATAGGCAGTGGATATTTTGCCTTAAATGGCTAAGTTCCTACAAATGCTATTTTACCGTGAGTACGCTCTGATTGGCTGATCATCCATTACCGGTGAACAATGCGAGAACTATATTTGACCGTGACTGGCGGCATTTGTCATTACAGTATTTTGCCGTGAGTTGATCGTTGTGTAGCTGTAAAAATGCCTAACCTTATTTTTGTTGTGCAGGGAAACGCATCTTTATAAAAGATGCGACATTTACTAGAACCTAATAGAATCTGACCTAGCCAACCAAAGAAACCTACCTAGCCAGGGGGTGGATCCCCGTCATATTAAACAGAAAATACTTAGCCGATCAAAGTGCACTCACAGTAAAATAGCATTAGTAGGAATTTAGCTGGTCATGGCAAAATATTACTACGTACAAGATAAAGATTTCTTACCTTATGAAGCAGACAAAGTGTGTATATACCCTAGTGACCATGCATGGAACTTCTATTGATTTGTCTATTGGGAGATGGAGCAAAAACTAGGCAGGATACAGGTATGGCAGCCGGATGGGAAACGTTGACGTCTATTGGTAGGGCAGCAAAATGCTCACTCGTGGTGGGCAGACTATACAATAATAGTTACTACGATGGCTTTATTGCTGACTAATCTAACTTAACCTAACTTATCTTAACCAAACTAAACTTAACCCAACCGTTAACAACTCAGTCAGCTGCAATACCTACAAGTGGTTTACTGTTGCCCTCCATCACTACCGAAATGTTTGATCGCTCATGGGAAGGACTTTGAAGTAGAGGAAAACTGTGGGTTAAAAAAACCCTCAAAACTGACCAACCCTTACCACCTTACCTTACCACACCACCTTATTACCTTACCACACCACCTTACCTTACCACCTTACCTTATCAGATGTTGGAGGGTAAAGTGATCCAACTTGTAGGATAAATTGAAGGAGTATGCTTTTGTTCTCTGCTGCACTGTACAGTCTAGCTAAATATTGTCGGTAATGTTGGGTTTTATCGCCGTATGAATGCCTGTAAAATGAACCACAAAGTTTTTCAACTAGTTGACTGTTCTGAGTATAACCTGGGTTAATTTATAGTAGAGGATATAATTAGAGATAGGGTTTTTATGTCTTAGTGATAATTTCAGACAAAAACAAGACATATTTCTTCTATGACCCTTTTTTGCATTTTACCCTTTATGAGATATCGTGAGATGAAAATCAGAAAACTACTGGAAAAGGTGTCATTGCATTTGTTGCCACCAACTGAATTTCGTTAATTTTATGATTGCAAATAAAATGTTTGACAATTCTAAGATAATAGTTTACTTAGGTGGTAGAGTATGGCTATGTTGAGAGATAGGAGTAAAATATTAGTGAAATGACAATTACACAGTGTGGAGGATGTTAGGAGGGAATACTTAGGAGGTACTGTACTGTAGGGTCACATATTTATAATAAGTTGCTGTAACCAAATAAACATGATTTGTTGACCTAATAATGAAACTTCGTTTTCAACAGTGACTGACGTCCTGCCAAGATGCCTCCACGTAAGAAGCAAGATGACAGCGAGAAGCAAACTCGCATTGCCATCGTCAACACTGAGAAGTGCAAGCCTAAGCGTTGCCGACAAGAGTGTAAGAAGTCATGCCCGGTGGTGCGGATGGGTAAGCTCTGCATTGAAGTTACTCCAAATGACAAGATGGCATCCATCAGTGAAGAACTGTGTATTGGTTGTGGTATTTGTGTGAAGAAGTGTCCATTTGAAGCCATCATGATCATCAATCTGCCCAGTAACCTTGAAAAGGAAACCGTTCACCGTTACAACAAGAACTCATTTAAGCTTCATAGGCTGCCTGTGCCCCGTCGTGGTGAAGTTCTAGGGCTGGTGGGCACCAATGGTATTGGAAAATCCACAGCATTGAAGATCTTAGCTGGGAAGTTGAAACCAAACCTGGGGCAGTTTTCAGATCCACCGGATTGGACCGATATCCTCACTTATTTTAGAGGTAATGAGTTACAGAACTATTTTACCCGTATCCTGGAGGACGACTTGAAGGCTATCATCAAGCCTCAGTATGTTGACCAAATTCCCAAGGCAGTTAAAGGTTCTGTAAAAGATCTTCTTAATAAAAAGAATGACTTGAGCAACCTTGATGATATGCTGACTGTACTGGACCTTCGAAATGTTCTTGGTCGTAATATTGAAGACCTCTCGGGAGGAGAACTTCAGAGGTTTGCCATTGCCATGGTTTGCATTCAGGATGCTAATATTTATATGTATGATGAACCATCATCCTACCTAGATGTTAAGCAGCGTCTGAATGCTTCACGTGCCATCCGTTCAATGGTTCAGGCTGATAATTACGTGGTGGTGGTGGAGCATGACCTGGCTGTCCTTGATTATTTGTCAGATTTTATCTGTTGTCTCTATGGTCAGCCAGGTGCATATGGCGTTGTCACAGTCCCCTTCTCTGTCAGGGAGGGTATCAATGTTTTCCTTGATGGTTTTGTGCCAACAGAAAATCTCCGATTCAGAGAAGAATCTCTAACATTTAAAGTATCTGATCAGTTGAGCGAAGAAGAAATAAAGAGGATGTGTCGCTTTAAATATCCTCTTATGGTGAAGAAGATGGGTGAATTTCAGTTGACGGTGGATGCTGGTAACTTCACAGATTCTGAAATCATGGTGCTCTTGGGAGAAAATGGTACTGGTAAAACCACCTTCATCAGGATGCTTGCTGGTCGGTTAGATCCGGATGAAGGAAAGTCTGAACTGCCGGTGTTACACATTTCTTACAAACCCCAGAAAATTAGTCCCAAGAGTCAATCTACAGTCCGTCAACTGTTACACGACAAGATCCGCGATGCATACGTACATCCGCAGTTTGTGACTGATGTCATGAAACCAATGAAGATCGAAGAGTTATTCGATCAAGAGGTTCAGCACTTGTCTGGAGGAGAGTTACAGCGTGTGGCGTTGACTCTGTGTCTTGGTGTCCCTGCTGAAGTATACCTGATTGATGAACCCTCGGCCTACCTGGACTCAGAGCAACGTCTGGCGGCTGCAAAGGTGATAAAACGATTCATCATGCACGCCAAGAAAACTGCCTTTGTTGTGGAGCATGACTTCATTATGGCTACTTACCTTGCTGATCGGGTAATAGTATTTGAAGGCTCACCTTCAGTAAAAACCATTGCAAATGCTCCCCAAACATTGGTGTCAGGAATGAACAAGTTCCTGGAAATGCTGGGTATCACCTTCCGCCGAGATCCAAATAACTTCAGGCCACGCATCAACAAAGACAGCAGCCAGAAGGATGCAGAACAGAAAAATTCTGGCAACTATTTCTTCCTTGACATAGAAGGGAAGGGTGAAGGAAAACAGAACTGAGGGTCACTATAGTGGTGCTTGTGAATATTTCTGAAATGCAGCTCTGGCCCCAGGCCATAAATTTTGAGCCATGCAGTGCTTGTAAGTTAGGATGTGATGGAGAAAATGGAGATTTTAGGTACATGACATCACAGTTTGCCGGTCATATGCATTTTGGGTGGTTGAGGTTGTGGGGTGTTGTTGCTGCTGCTGCATTCTGCCTCTACTACATTTTTCATCCTTATTGACCTGTTTAACATTTTAAGACTAAATGCAAGATCCTAAGCCGAAATGTTGGGTAAGTTGTAATTTTCATACAGTACTGTACTAAAATATAAAGGATTCCAAATGTCAGGAACTTTGTGTTATGTTGATAATAGAACTTATGGGCATGAAAAACAGAACATGACTACCATAATTTTTTTTTCAATTTTTAATACTAAATTTTTTGGATAAACAGAATGAGTCAACTTATCTTGTAGGCAAAGTGAAGTGAATGCTGTATGAGAATTTCAGCATTGGGTCTCCAAACAGTAATGTGCTGTACGTATAGTATTTTAAAGATGTCACTAAAACTATCTAAGTACTGTATTCCATCACAAAAACAATGACAGAAATTCACAATGAACTGCAAGTTTTTAAAATAATAAGAAAATAAATAGTCACCATGATTTTAAAAACTATTTGGACCTGTTATAACGACCTCTTGATATAAAATGGGGATTGATGATGTAGTAGCAGGAAGGGCGGTGCAGCTTCTTACCTCCGCCCTCCCTTGCCCACCCCTCTTCGTCTCTTATCGGTTTATGGCTTCTTACTGCACATTTCTGGGTCATGTGGGAAAAATCAAGATCTGGATGTTGCCATAATATTGGGTCAGTAACATAGAGATCGTTTGGTAAATTATACCCAGATTTATTATTACTGTATAGCTGATGTTACATATAAATAATTCAAGACAATGCTTTTTATCCTCTATCAGCTTAGTTCTACCATTAGGCAGTAATATTGTGAATCATTGGTTAGGCAAAAATTTTCAAATTGCTGTGTAATTCTTGGTCCTTGATGAGCTAAGGTGCAGGGGGCAAAGAGGGGCTGCATCATATTTCATAACATTTTATCAGTGTAATATAATACAAGTGGTCCAAACATTGTTATATTTCTACGGAGGTCCATATTAAAAAGGCAGAATGAAGGTTGTTTAAATCTTGTAAACTTAAGGTAACCTTGGCAAACATTTTAGGTGTTGCTTCACTAAAAATTATAGGCATTTTACCTCTTTATTTTACATAATCTGTTTTATAATTTTCAGTAAGATTTTATTGGAATTAAATAATATACAGATTATGATTTCGTGAGAGGATGTATTTTCTGGCCTTGGTCAGTAGGTGTGCAAATTTGGGAGAAATAATATGGTGAGTTCTTTCATTACAAGTTCAATTATGTGGACAGCCTCTTTGATATTTTCTCCTGAATATGAAGGAGTTTATCCATTCCTTCTTTTATTTCTTCTCCAGCAGTAACTTCTTGGTAGATACAGCCCCAGCTGGAGGAATATGACACCCACTGTGCATCTAAAATTGAAAGCTCTAATTTGCTTCTTGCACATTTCCCTGAGGGATTTAATACAAAGGAGTATAGTGATGTGCCTGATTTAGATGGTACAGTTGGGGAAAGGTTTAATGTACAATAATCCCTGTGATATCCCCAGTCAAGACACCTATCACTCATGAGTCCATATACGACTGCAAGGGTTGACATGAAGTGTGATCCATGAGATATTAGTTGAATCCCTTCTCATCTCTACTGCTGCCACATCTTTACTGGGGATATAGAAACCCCTTTCCATGACTGTGTACCACCTTTTGACCGGTATAACTTTACAGAGAAATTAATGTAACTTTGGATAAATAATATCGTGTATGTAGGTAATAGTTGGTTTGTGTGCATATTACCTCATGATTGGCTAATATATATATACAGTGACCCCTCGGTTAACGAACTCAATCCGTTCCAGAAGGTCGTTCGTTAACCGAAACCATTGTTTCAATGGGTTTTTGGGTAATTGGTTCCAGCTCACCGAAAATTTCCTAAATTCAACAAAAATGGTAGAAAAGTTCACTTACTTTGAGGTGTGTATGTAGAAGGCTCCTGGATGATGATGATGATGATGGGATTTAGAATGGGGGTGGAGGAAAAGGAAGAAGAGAAGGCATTGGGGTGGAAGAGAAGTCACCCCATGGCGCCATTTCACCCATAAAATTTTAGCTTTCTTGGTGTAATTCAAGATTATTTTCTTTAAATCAACACTGCACTGCATTATATATTGTCAATATGTAAAATATATTTCAAAATGATCAATAATTTGCTTGGAAACACAGAAAAAAAGCGTTTAGTTGAAGAGAGTCTCGAGCAAGATGTTACCTCCAGTGAAAACAGAGAGAAACTAACGCTTGTTTGCTGTGTTCAGAGGCTGGATGCCGCGCATTAAACTAGTCACTTTACCTTCAATTATGTTCAATAATTGTTAAAATGGCTAAAAAATTGAATATTAAACTTTTAAAATTATTGAATAGTATAAACTTCTTGATATTTACTAAAATAGTAAGGAATTTAAGCCCTAGAACCAATTAATGTATTGGCGGACTGATACTAAAGCTGGTTGCCCGGTCAGTGCAAGCGAAAACATGTTGAGGTCGGTTCGTAAGAAATTCGTTAACCGAATTTTTGTTCGTTAGCCGAATTGAAGATCCTTATGGAAGGCGGTTCGTTAACCGAAATTTCCTTAACCGAGGCGTTCGTTAAACGAGGGTCCGACATGGATAAAAAAAAAATTAAAAATTAAAAAAAAAAAATCTACAATGAAATACAGTACAGTAAAAGTAATAAATAATGATGAATGGATACAGTGTGACTGAGCACTTACCTTTAATGTAGTCAGCTGAATGCACACGGGGCCCCATAATTTTCTATTTACAGGTTACATGGAGACTATATTAATTGGATGAAGCAGAGGAGGAGACAGGGCTGGGTGGGTCATCAATGTCGCTTTCTTCAGACAGGTTTATGTAATGTGGAAACTTGCTGGTTGAAGGTATTGGATCATCTTGAGGGAGTGAAGAGGCAGCACTGGTGGGGCGTGAGGAGACAGCACTGGGGGACTTCTTAAAATAGATGTCCAATTTAGACCACAGTTTGTTTTTTCTTTTCATTATAAATTTCTCTGTAGCAAGCAAGTGCATCTTGGATCATTCTGTCAACTTTGGCTTTTTGCTCATAATTTTGATCCATGCCATCAAACATTTGCATTCCTTTATTAATTGTAGCAAATGCCTCTGCCATTTGTTTCACTGAAAACTTTTTGGGGGGTGCAGGTTCTTCTTCAACATTTTGTCTCTTCTTCCTCTGCAATTTTCTGTGCATCTAGTTCAATAAGATCCTCGTTACTGAGCTCTTCTGCTACACTTTCAATCAACTGTCCAACATTTTCATTATCAATTTCTAACTCCAGCTGTTTACCTAACTCCACAATCTTGTTACTAATATCCAAAATAACTTCATTTTCATTAAATCCTTTGAAACTGTTCACATATCTTTTCAGGATTTTCTTCCATATTCCATTCATGCAATGTTTTGTAACCTGATCCCATGCTGCACTAATGTTCTTTATACATGACAAAACGTTTTCTCACCTTCAGTAGCAGCAACAGCCTGAGCGAAGGTCGTGCGTAAATAATATGCCTTAAAGGCAGCAATAGCACCTTGATCCATGGGTTGGATGATAGAGGTAGTGTTAAGGTGGAATGTAGACTACCTTAGCATCAGGGTGCATGTCGTCCAGGTGTGGTGGGTGTCCCAGAGCATTATCCAAAATCAGCAAAATCTTAAATGGAATCCGTTGTTGCAGACAATACTCCTTGGCTCGTGGAATGAAACAAGTCATGAACCAATCCTCAAACAGTGCGAAGGTCATCCAGGCTTTCTTATTACTGCGATAAAACACTGGCAGTGTGTGCTTGCTGACATGTTTAAAAGCCCTGGGGTTCTCTGAATGATAGATCATGAAGGCTTTAGCTTGAAACCAGCAACATTCCCCCCTAACAGAAGTGTAATTCTGTCCTTGAATGCCTTGAATCCGGGCATTGTTTTTGCCTCTGTGGATGTATGTCCGCTCAGGCAAGCGCTTCCACAATAATCCAGTCTCATCCACATTGTATATTTGCTCAGGCAAATAATTCCCTTCCACAATCACTTCATCTAACTCCTCCTTAAAAGCTTCGGCAGCACCAACATCGGCACTAGCTGCCTCTCCACTCACCTTAACATTGTGTAGACTGTAGCGTTTTTTAAATCTATCAAACCACCCATGACTTCCTGTAAAGGTTTGATCACATTCATCTCCTGCCTGCTCCTTCAGGCTTTGGAACAGGCTTCTTGCTTTAGCCTGTATGGTTAGAAGGCTTAAGGGTACACGCTTCTGTATCTTGTCTTCCATCCATATCACCAATAATTTTTCCATATCGTGAATAGGACCTTGTCTTTTCTTTGATATTATACAGTAGTTCCCTTTATAGGTGTTGTTCCTTTCACTACTTCACAAATACGTTCCTTGTCCTTCAGAATAGTGGATATGGTCGAGTGTGAGAAACCTAGGTCGCGTGAGATTGTTGCTACTGTTTTTCCATTCTCATGCTGTGTTATTATCTTCATTTTCATCTCAAAAGTAATTGCCTGTCTCCTTTTCTTTGGAACACCACCAGCACTCTCACTTGTACGCTTTCCAGTCATTATAAAGTCAATTAAATACGATAATAATGAAAGCTCTCAGCGCGATCAGTATATAGGATACGATAGCCAAACACCAACTAAGCGCTCCACTGAGTGAGTGTACCCACGCTCTCGCCTGGGACAGAAACGTTTCGGTATAGAAAATGCGCGCGTCATTTGAAAATATTTTTGGTCACGACTGCCATGGTCGTATGTCTCGACGGTTGTAAGGTCAGAGCAGTCGTAAGTACCGATGGACGCAAGTCCAAGCAGTTGTAAGTAGGGGAGCACCTGTATATATATATATATATATATATATATATATATATATATATATATATATATATATATATATATATATATATATATATATATATATATATATATATAGTAAACACTATACTAGTAGTTTCATGAAGAATATTTTTTCTATTTATTTTTTTATACAGACATTAACTCACCTGGGCACAGGTCATTTTATGTTGCACATCAAGACCTGAGGGGCAAAAATATAATAAAATAATAACTAATAAAAAATAAATAACAATTATAATAAAGAAAATATTAATAATGCTAATAAAAGATAATAAAAATTAATAATAATAATAAAGAGCCATAAGTAAACACAAAAATAAGTAAATAGAGGAATGATATACTACAGTACGGTTGTGTTGTCAGAGAAACAATTGAGACCCTGCAATTGTGTGTAAATGAGGCAGAAAGTCAGATGAGCAACCTGGGACTTGGTCACAATTTTTGTGATGCCATATGGCAACAGGGTCTACCATTAGACAATACATTATGCTTCCAAGGCAGTAGTACCTCCCTGTTTGGTAGCTGCTGACTGTATATATATATGGCTGGAAGATGGTACAGTATTTATACTTAATGGATACTGGTAGGTCTTTTTCCCTTGGGGGGGCATTTGCATTTTTTGGGGCAGATTTTAAGACATTGGTTGCATACTGAGGTCTTGGTGACAGGTTATAGGGCCAATAGAACCCTGCAACCAGGTCATAAAAGTGTAGTGTGTACATCACCTTACCTTTTAAAGATATTGTACGACCCCATATGAGGGCCTGGCCTTTTGTAAGATAATTGTACACCAGATGAGGGATCTCGTCTAAAAAGGATATTTAGTGTCCATAAGGAAGTTTGGGCTCAGCTTATCTGTTAAGTTCCACATCAGATATTAACCAGGAATCCTATCTAGAGAATTATGAAGTCTGCATGTACAGTATTATGCTCTTTTCAGTCTTATTACATGCCCCTTTGTTTGATGTCGTACATGTGGGAATCCTCAAGACAACATAACTACGGTCTGATCGGAAGCAATATGGTTCTTTCTGTAACTTATTTCTCTTTTCAGCTTTTTTAAAGTTTGGTTAACACCATCGTGGTCTTCTTCCCATCTGGGGCTTGTTGCAAGGTACATTACCCAGGTAAATCACTCCATTAGGGGTCATTGCTCCCAAACGAGTTGCAATCTTGTACTTTGGCTAATTCCTGTAATATAACAACTCCCACTTTTAATTATTGGTATAATCACATTGTCAACTTTGGGTTGAGTGCTTAGTATTCTCCTTCATGACATTTAACAAAAGGGTGTACAGTATTGGCTTTCCCTTTTTCCAGTGTAATTTCCTTACATAAATCACCTCAAAGTTTTCCTAAATACATTGTGTGACATTAAATGTAGTATCATACTGTACTAATTTTAACATACCTTTAGAGAAACTGATCAACTTAATAGTTTTTATAAAAATTGCCTTACTTCTTATCTAATAGGAGCAATGTTTGACTGTCCAAGTTTATCCTGAGAAAGATGTTAATCTTTCTTAAGAGAATGGATGATGTTCCTGACTGACTTGATCTATAATGAGGTAATGTTTTTAAGTAAATTAATAACTTTATTGAAGATAACTTTATTATAGGTATTTACAAGTCTGGGAGAGTTGGAAACTAGAAATCTGGTAAAAACTGTGGAAGCTTATCCATATCAACAATCGTCTAGACTCTCGCTAACCACCAGTACAACCTGTCTAAGTAGGGGGGACGGGACTAGTCACCGCCAGTTGACGTAAATTTTATGATACCCAGTTCTCGTTTTATACAATACTTGGCACCTAGTTGGGGGGGGGGGTTGTATGCAAGTATATATGGTGTTATACAATCATTGAAAGATAATGGCTTTATGTCTTGTAAGTCACCAGGGGGCAGATAGTCCAGTGTCCTATTGCACAGTGTGTGTGCTATTTATACAGTACATGGACTCTCAAATGCTTCTCAGGTTGTTATTTGATGGTACCACAGCATCACAATAACATATTTCCATTCATCACTAGGTGGAATGAGCTCTGATAAACTATGAAATAACATGGTCTTTTGGCCAATCATAAACTTTAGGGAAATTAACAACTTCCTCTTCAGGGATTTGGTCAAGTCGTATAGGAACCGGGCGCAGCTGACGCATCTGGGCAGAAACATTCTCCAAGATGTTGTCAGGAACCTGGAGGAGAGGAGGGATGTGTTTGGTAAGTAGTGATATTTTCTCTAAAATAACAAACCAGGATATGGAGATAGAATAAAGCCCTACCTAGAACCTACTTCATGTAATTACTATATAAAGTAATCATTGGATATAATGTATTGATATTTATTGCATTTTGACAATAAGCAGTAATTGCACCACTTCCTACAAGTAACTCAGAAAGTAGATAATTAAGACAGACTATCTTTATGACCCTGGAACTAACAGAGGCAGAAGCCATGTGCATAAACCATTAGGCAAGAATGATAAAGTTAAATTTGCCTTGTATGGGAGGCAGCATATACTGGACACCACACATTTCTTATTTAACATTCTGTTAACACACTATACTACCTCTCTGTAAATTTTTACACTTATCATTATGCTGTATACTGGATTTTAATGTGAAAACAACCACTGTATGGCCTGTGAAGGACAAACTCCCTTCATTCAGACATAGTAGGTGATACAAGAGCCTAGGGTCAAGACCTATTCAGACGCTGCTCCTGCTACGCCGCTGCCCCCCTTGGCCAATGTCGGCTCACTCCCCTAGTCCCTTTCCCCGACCCATCCTCACCACCGGGATATCTGCATAATCAAAAGTGACAATTTCGTTTTGGAAAGAAGTGGGAACAGTGTTTAGGCCAGTGAATTCAGCACTAGACAGTACCAGTGAAAGCCACATCCCACCAGTGAGATAAGCACCCCTGGGAACTCCCTGACAAGGAGGTGCTAATCCGTCCACCCTGGGAACAACAGAGGGCCGGCCGGCTATGCACCTGACTACGAGACAACACAACATCACCGCGCAGTGGGGTACTGTGTGACACCACCCCACACCACATGGTGTCCCCATGACTATGTGAGGTCCTTCATATCAACACCTGAGGATGAGTCACTGTACCACGTGAACACAACACCACCCGGTGTCTCCATGACCACGTGAGGTCCCTCATATCAACACCCGAGGAGTTACTACACCACGTGAACATCACACCACCTGGTGTCTCCATGACCACGTGAGGTCCCTCATATCAACACCCGAGGAGTTACTACACCAGGTGAACACCACACCACCTTATGTCTCCATGATCAGCCCACGCCATCAACTGTAAACCATAATAATTTGTATGTTCAATCATTGTTCCTTCTTCTTTTAGTAATGAATGAAAGCTTTTGTTAAACGACCCACCCACCCCATGTCTTCGTATGTAATAAGTCATTTTTGTCTAATGTATATCTTCAGCCTTCGAGCTGCCGACTTTTTCAATAAACCGTGAATTTATTATTATTAACTGGTTTTAAAGAACTAAAGCAAGTCCCATACATGTGCCTCTAATGGTACATAAAACACATAATTTATAAGGTAAGAGGAATAGCAACCTTCAGTCTCAAAACCACACAAGTTCCCTCTTACCCTTGACAGCATTACAGAATATGGAGGTAAACAGAACAAAATATGCATAAACATCCATTGGATGGAACCAGGGAATATACTCAGGAAAATCTGCATATTTGTGCAACTGTGGATAAAAACCTGAAAATTGGAACAGATGAACCTGGTGAGTTTTGGGCCAAAAATGCAAAGGTATCAAGGTCAGATGCTAAAGACATCCCTAAAGTAACTCCCCAAAGGTCTGGTTTTGATGTTAAAATGTTTGTAATAAAGTAGAGCACCACTCTTAAGGCACATGCAACCCACCCGGTCAAACACACGAGCTCGTCGGGTCCATCGCGTAACTACTACGATTACTCACAAGACATTATGCATATACTGTACAGTACGGGGGTTCTCGGGTTCCATTCCCGAGGCCGTCCTCAACGCGTGCACTACATCATACCACAAGTCCTTTTATACATCTCCAATCACTTAATTTAAGAGAAAAATAGAAATTGAATGACAAAATACAGTAAAGAAAAGTATACAGCCGAGCTGCACGATAGATGGGCATTTGTATGAATTACAAAGACTTTACTGGGATGGTTGAACTGAAACTTTCTTCCTCTTGTCATGAATCTCTCCGTAACATCGTATAATAACTCTTGACGTGTTGGTATTTAAACAATCCTCCTTCAATAAACCTGAAACCTTTTATTTTGTATTTAATCCCTCAGAAGTTTCTCCTCTGACAACATTTGCTTCACCACTTTAATCAGCTCTTAATTATTCAGCATGAGACTGAAGCAACTGTGTGACATCATCCTCATGACTATCAAGCTGGAGTCACTTACCCAACTTGGTCTACCACCACTGTCACTTACCCAACTTGGTCTACCACTGTCACTTACCCAACATCATTTTCAAAGCACTCGAAATTATGAGCAAACTGTGGGCAGTGTTTTCTCCAAGCAGCATTTCCCCCTGAGCTTGAACCAGTTAAACCAGCCCGTACTAGCAACAAAATCTTCCCCAACACTTTCACTACCACGTTTAGCCTTCAAGTCAGCATGCAAGCTTCTCACTTTTTGATCTTCCATCCACATCACTAACAATCTTTCCATTTCAATTAAAAATCCACTTCTTTATTTTGTTATCACAGTTGAGTGCATTGGTGTAGATCCTTTTGCATATTCGAGAATTTTCTCTTTGTCTTTCAAAATTATCCAACTGTTGAACGACTGAAACCCAAAGCCTTACCGATCACTGACGATGTTTCGCCTTTTTCAGAACGTTTAATTACATCACTTTTCACTTCTGCTGTAATTGTTTTCTTTTTCTTGGATGCACTACCATTGCTTGCATCAGGTTTGGGAGCCATGATGAGGGCCAAAAAAGAGAGTTAATAAAGTTTGCATTTGATCACGCACGTTTAGGCAATGAGGGTGACTGGGAGCGACGCACCGCTCCCACCGCCTCCCCTCTATATTGTGCAAACTAGTTCTCGTACGTAACTACTGTACTATGAACCATTGTACTTATGTCAGATTTTTTAAATAATTGGCCTTATGGGACTTCGTTTCTAAGTCGGGACCCTCTGTACTGTATACTGTAGATATTTGTTATACAGTGGGGTATGCTATAACGAATCTAATTGGTTCTAGAACCTTGTTCGTTATAGCATTCGTTCGTTATAGGATTAATCCGTTCCAGGCCCCCAAATACAACCACTTAACACTGAAAAATATAATATAAAATTGTAAAAATTGTAAAAAAGTGCATAAATATGCATCTAAACCCCTGAAATAAAGAATATCATTAATACTTGTAATAAAAAACAATAACTTAGTAAAAAAAGAAAAAATATATATATTTTTTAAATAATGTTCGTTGTAGGAGTTTCGTTCGTTATAGCATTCTCAATTTTATAAGTAAAACCGTTCGTTATAGGAATATTCGTAGTAGGATCCGTTCGTTATAGCATACCCCACTGTAACTTTATAATAATAATTAATTTTACTTAGAGTACATAATAATTATATAGAATATGTAATACTAAATATTCCATTTTATGAGCTGAACAGAGTCATGGGCCACAGTGTTTGTTTTTTGTGCAAGAGACCATCTCTAAAGACTCTGTCAGGTGGGGCTGAGAAAGCCTGTGGAGCTGTGATTGAAATACTAATAGAGTTTGGAAGTTTGAGGGGGCTGCAGAAGGTACTGTGTAATACTAAGGAACTAACTCCAGAAAAATGTGTAACCAGTGAGGCTAAATGGCACAAGTTTCAGCCAGGCCTCTTCAAAGGGCGCAGGTTAAAGTCCTCCAGTAACCAACATACACCCAAGCCATCAACTTCACAAGCTATCACGCCGACAGATTTGTATCATCTGTGGGAATTCAGACAAGAACCTCCACTGTGTATCAACAACATCCCAGGATGATAACATTAAGATGGGAATTCAGATCCTCCAGGACTTTGATATCATGGACAGACTGTCACCTTATGGCAGCTGGGAAGTTGGTGAATAAAAATGTCTTTCAAGCTCAGGGAACAGAAGGAATGACTGTCTGATACAGGGAAAAAGAAGAAGCGGGTCATGTTCATCACACTCACCGATTGCCCTTAAGGACCAAAAACTTTATCACCACAAGGTACATGTCCCAATTTTCAGGTTTTTGTCCACAGTTGTGGCAAAGTTGCCAATTTTGACAGATTTTCCCAAGTAATAGTAATAACAGCCTCATCATCACAAATTGGCTTGACATTGCTTTATTGTTCTGACAACCTAGAATTTTTAGATTGTCTCAGAATTAAAGGCAAATATTACAAAATAAATACACCAGACCAACCTTATCATAAGGAAATATATGAAGTCTGGCCATTCTTCCTCTTCTTAGTAAGTTCTTGTCTAACTTATTATATACAGCTTTTCTGAGAATCTATAAAACAAATAGTAATATATTTAAAAATAACATCCAGGGTGAACAACATTCAATAACAGCTGCATTAATGTAGGGATGAGTGAACAGTCCTGTAGTTATTTTATGATGAGACATTGGAAAAAATCCCTCAAGCTTAAATATAATGCTAGTTAATTAGATAATTATTATCATAAGTACATTCTGAAGCACATTAATTGAAATTCTAAAGGAAATATGAAATATTTGTGGCAAACCATCATCACTTAAGTATATCTGATCCTACATCAAAACACCACATTGGGAACTTTCCCCAAGTAATCTCAGCTACCAAAGCTACGTATTAATAAGCTACTGGACAGCAACAGTTTGACCATATGATAAAATTTCCTAGACCTTGTACAGTACTAGAATGATGGTCATGCAATTACATAGTCCTTTATTCTACAATGAGTAACAGGTGAGTGAAGCAATGATAATGGATGCCAACAATAGTACACATACAGTACTGTACTGTAAATGAAATCAGAAGGAAACAAGATGAATAATTATTGGTACCGGGGTATACTGTATGAAGAACTACTCAGACAATATATATATATATATATATATATATATATATATATATATATATATATATATATATATATATATATATATATATATATATATATATATATATATATATATATATATATATATATATATATATATATATATATATATATATATATATATATATATATATATATATCTATATATATATATACAGTGGGGTATGCTATAACGAATCTAATTGGTTCTAGAACCTTGTTCGTTATAGCATTCGTTTGTTATAGGATTAATCCGTTCCAGGCCCCCAAATACAACCACTTAACACTGAAAAATATAATATAAAATTGTAAAAATTGTAAAAAAGTGCATAAATATGCATCTAAACCCCTGAAATAAAGAATATCATTAATATTTGTAATAATAAAACAATAAATTAGAAAAAAAAACAATTAAATTATGATCGTTGTAGGAGTTTCGTTCGTTATAGCATTCTCAATTTTATAGGTAAAACCGTTCGTTATAGGAATATTCGTAGTAGGATCCGTTCGTAATAGCATACCCCACTGTGTATATATATATATATATATATATATATATATATATATATATATATATATATATATATATATATATATATATATATATATATATATATATATATATATATATATATATACACACACACACACTCTTGAGGAGGGGGTGGAGCATCTTTTCTCAGCTGAGATAAAACACACTACAGTACTTTACCATTGTGGGGTCCAGTTTATGTAATTCCCATGCTAACGTCCATGAAGCTCCTCCAGCATAACCAGTGTGATGAAAATATACACGTTTTTCCCATTCCATTCCTGGGAGGGCTATGTCCAGTGAATTTATAACTACAACATGGTCTCCACAGTCACCTGTAATATTAAATAAAATAAAGTGTGTTGACTTGAAGCATCAATTAATATTAAATTTTTTTTTTTAAATGGAATGGCCTAGTCATGGGTGAGCATATAGCCACTAAACATAAAGTGATCTAATACCCCTGAATATTTGATGATTATATTACAGTATCCTTAAATGTAACACAAGGGTAGTCATTTAGTAAGAAGGGAGGAGTAAGCATTTTTGTGTCAGCATAACATAAACACTTCATTTATTGACACTACTGTACTTAACAACCCCAGATCCTGCTCACCTAAGCACCTCAAGATTAATCCAACATTTATATATATGACCATCAGAATCAAGTAACTCCATAAACCAAAGCCAGTCAGAAAGGCAAGAGGAGGTACTCAAAGGGTTACATACAAGTGCATCCCCATAGGGCACTCTCCTACTAGCCCAACCTTAAACAATAGCTGTCTTACAAAGGTGTTCTTACTCATGGTTCTACTAAAGATAACTCGCCGAGGTTTTCATCTTACAATAATAAAATATGATCTGAGCCTTTTGATGTCATGTAGCATATGCAGTAAATATTGTAGACCGTTGCCATTCACAGATGGCAGCTATGGTGGTTAGCTTGTGAGCCTTTTCCCACAGCGCAGCGTCTCCTCTCCCTCTGTTCGTGCTCACTCGGAGCCTGTGACACAGCATCTCGTGTTGTACGCTCAAAACTTTTGTGTTTCTGTGTGAAATGGCCCTTATAAAGACTGCCTAGTGTTGGTAGAGGAGTGAAATGTAAAAGGCAGAAGTCAGTGATGACCCTGACAAAGAAAGTTGAATTATTAGATAAGTTAAAAGGGGATGGGTGTTGTCACGGCTGGTCAGTTGTTTGGTATAGGTATTACAGTAGTGTACTACGGTAGTATAAGTTGCAATTCACTGTTTTGCCTATTTGCGCCATTCCTTGGAACCTATCTCCCGCGAACAACAAGGGTTTACTGTAGTTATACTTTACAGAGGTTTGTTGACACTATACAGTATTACATGAGTTTTGACACCCAGTTTTAAGGCATGTTATCTAAGGCTGCCAACTGATCCACACGCTGACACTAGTCTCATCAGTGGGCTACACCTTATTTATCATTCAGATAAAGTACAGTAAAGAGTGGATGTTTGCTGCTGTCCTCAACCGACCCCATATTCTTGAGATTATTTTTCCTGACCTATAAACTAGTGGTGTTGGGAGTTAAATAATAGACAGTGAGTTTTGTGGCCACAATAACTAATGGGTTCAGTGTTGAGTACTTGGTGAAAGCATATTAAATAACCTCTCCTTCACCACCAAACATCCTAAGAAAAAGTTTACATCAAGTTTGGGCTTCAACCCTCTCCTGATCTCTAAGGAGAACTTCAAAGAATTTTTTTCAATGTTTTTAAGCTTAACAGTTTTTGGATAACATACTGGTATTGGTAACTTATGGGGAGGCCGCTCCCACCACAAGTTGTCCAATTTTGTTCATTTTTTTCACATGTTTTTTTAACATTATAGTAAGCAATATAAGAGAACTCTTTGTTTTAATTATAAGTACAGATTTTTTCAATATTTTTACTTTTTCTGTCTAAAATCATAAATCACCTGTAGTGGGCAGGGTATGAAGAATGAGGAAAATTGCAGGGCAAAACGGTGAAAAATTTATATGACACTAAAAGGACGTCTCTACTTGCTTTATACGTGAATAAATTAATTATTTACAGTAAATAATTAATTTATTCACGTTGCTGCATGTCTTCTGTTTGTTTTCAAGCAACCCATATGGTAAGAAACATCAAAACAAATAACGCATCTGAACAATATTAACCACCAACTAGGTATAACACAGTACTGTAAATACTTACTTAGAGGATGATAAATTGGTTTGTTCCTGCCTGCAAGATAAAGTTTGATCTTGTCTGCCGAGTGAAATGGATTCTGCCACCTAGCATCATACAAATACCACATTCTTCCAAATGTTGCCCATTGCTGAAAAATAAATCTGATATCAATGTATAGGTTAGGTTACATTTGGTCAAGTCAGGACAATAAGAGGTATTGTTACATTTTCAACCAATGGGATAGAAGGGGGGAGCTATCTGAAAAACGAAAGATTTCCGAGAAAAATCAATATCAAACCCGAATAAAACGCATCAAAAACCACCGGGGTTAATACAGTATAGTCTGCATTTACGCGGGTTTTGTTTACTCGTTTGATCATTTACGCGGTGCCTTGCCAGAATGAAAATGCTTTAATTACGCAGTAAATTTGGTCATTTACGCGGGAAGCGGAGCAGGCAGGCTGCGCACAAGGTCGCCCAGTCATCAAAACATTACCGAGTTCCTCACCCGCCACCCACCACAGCTGGCCCAAGTCAGTGATAGTGAGGATATGGACTTTGAGGGGTTTGACAAAGATGCCCTGCAAGCCTCTGTGGTGGATAGTGATACAAGTGATACAGGTGAGGGCCAATAATCTGCCCTCTGCCTCGGAACCAACCCCCATCCCCGTGTGCCCAGCCATCTTTTCTACTAACGTAAGTGTTAAAAACCTAATATTATTGATATTTCTCTTCAATATTAATTGTGTGTGCATACCATCATAAAATTAAGATGTTATTTTTACTACAACGTAGGTATTGTGTCGGATAAAGTGTAGTTTGGGGGACGGCCCAGTCTCTATTTCAATTAATCCAATATGTTCTGTTATTTCGTTTACGCGTTTCTCGTTTTATGCTGACCTCCACGGGTTCAATTGACCGCATATATGCAGACTATACTGTGTATAGGACTAACCCGCCCTGGCTGCATAGTGCCGATGCGGCCGTGGCATCTCACGTCCAGAAGATGCCCAAAATTTCACCATATCATAGTAAGTTTTCTGCTTAATATACCGGGGAAGTTAGGTAAGGTTAGGTAGGTTTCTTTGGTTAGGTCTGTTCTTCATACCCACAATTGTTATGTAGCGTTTATTTAAAAAAAAAATTATTTTACATATTTCCACAAACTACAACAGTGTTCACTATTATATAACAGTGAAAATCCAGAGTTTTTATAATTGTTTTCAATCAATTTTGCTCGCAGGTTAGTCCTATATAATTACCACCATGGGCAAACACACTGCTCAACTCGAGCCAAACTGATTGAAAAATGCAAATTAACCGACATAGTTGACAACGAATTATAAAATTGACACAAACTAAAAGGGAAGTTCTCAGACAGGCGAGGACGATCTTCTAAAACTTGTGACTTAAAATTTGGTCTCACTGTCCTTCACTTATAATAATAACTTACCTGAACTCTTCTGGCAACAGACATTTTTATCTACGTGTATCTCTAATGTAGGTCCTCCTCTTGTATATTAGCCAGAAGGAAATGTTTAAGTGTTTACATTAGGCTGAGTTAAAGTAATTAGAGAGAGATGTGTGGGAACAGAAAACCATCGAGTAAGAGAGAAATGCGTTGGTGTAGTTTCCAATACTCTTCCTCAGCCTATAAGAGAATCACCTCCCTTGAACCCAGAAACCGGATCCCAGTACTCAAACACCGAATCTTTGACGCAGAAAATAAAATAATCATAAGTCAAAGTAGTGAACTTTTTTCTTTTACTTTTATCCTCTTCACCACTGATCGGCTCGCTAGCCGCCCGGGCAATCGGTCACGTCTCTGTCACGCACTGTTGGTAAGTACTGGGCATGCACCAGCTCCTGAATGTACCTGAACCCGCTCCAGTGTTGGTCAAGTCTGGTCTTGAAAGAGCTCACACTCGGTGCCGTCACAACACTCTCTGGTAGATTGTTCCAAGAGCTCACAACTCTCACTCCGAAAAAGTTTGCCCTCACAGTTTTCTGGACTTGCGGCTTCTTCAGTCTTGAGCTGTGACCCCTTGTAGGGCGAGCGTCCGCCAGCTCCAAGTAAGGACACTCAACTGAGTAGTGCCCCCTGAGATGCTTATACACCTCAACTAGGTCCCCCCTTGCCCGTCTGTAGTATAAGCTAGGCAAGTTCAGGCGCTCCAATCTCTCAGGGTAGCTGAGGTGCCGAAGTGCAGGCACCAGTCTGGTGGCCCTCCTTTGAACATTTTCAACCAACTGACAGTCCCTAGCATACCTCGGGGACCAGATGGGGTGACAGTACTCCAGATGGGGAAGCACTTCACTCCTGAAGATCGTCACGAGGGACGGACCGTCTAGATATTTGAACGACCTTCTTATAAGACCCAATAATTTATTTGCCTGATTTACCTTCTTCTCACAATGGCCCGAGAACTTCAGCTCATTGTCAACATACACACCTAGGTCCTTCTCACACACAGTCTCAACTAGTGCAGTTTCTTCATCCCGTTGGGACATATGATACGCCTCCTTACCGTTGGTACGCCCCAGGTGCATCCTCTTACACTTCGTGACATTGAATCTCAGCAGCCATTTCTTCGACCATTCCTGGAGCCCACAGAGGTCCTTCTGCAGCTCTTCACAGTCCGCTTGGTTCTTAATTTCCCGAAATAACTTGCCATCATCGGCAAACATTTGTATGGAGGAGTGTACAACGTCAGGCATATCATTTATGAAACAAACAAACAACAGCGGGCCCAATACACTACCCTGCGGTACCCCACTTGTTACAGGTACAGATGACGATTTCGTGCCATTAATCACCACACACTGCTTGCGGTCATGTAGAAAGTCTTCTATCCACGCTAGGACATTTCCCCGAATTCCGTACCCTTCCAGTTTGATTTTCAGCCTTTCGTGGGGTACACTGTCGAAAGCCTTGGCAAAATCTAGGTAAATATTGTCGATATTACCACCCCGTTCTAGAATATGGGTCCAAATATCCAATACCTTGAGCAATTGTGTTAAGCAAGAGCGCCCCGGCATAAAACCGTGTTGGCAATCTTTTACAAGGTTGTTTCGTAGTAGATGTTCCATCACGGCATCTCTGATAATACTCTCAAGTACTTTACATATTATGCTGGTCAGGCTCACCGGTCTATAGTTGTTCGTGGAGTGACTATCGCCCTTCTTGAAGATAGGACTCACATAAGCCACTTTCCATTCACTGGAGACCATTTGTTCATCCAGGCATTTACAAAACAGAATCTTCAGGGGCTCTGCAAGCTCGTTGCACAACTCTCTTAGCACTCTAGGATGCACCATGTCAGGTCCGGGACTCTTATGGACCTTTAGCCTGGACAGTTTATTTCTAATACCCTCTTCTGTGAACACAATGTGGGTCAGTGCTGTGTCGAACCGTCTGTCCTCAAACGCAGGAAGGTTAGTTGCATCCTCTCTTGTGAACACTGAGGAAAAGAAGCTGTTCAATGCCTCAGCTTTATCCTGGTCAGAATCTGCATAACTACCATCTTCAAGCCTCAGGTCTGATACTCCTACTCGCGTTTTCAATTTCGACTTTGCATAGCGGTAAAACGCCTTTGGGTTTGACTTGACCTCGCGTGCAACCAGCCTCTGGAACTCCTTTTCAGCCCTCCTACACTCTATCTTTGCTTGGTTTCTGGCTCTTGCATACATCCTCCTGTCTTGCTCATCGTTTGACCCAACCCACGTCTTGAATTTCTGGGTTTTCTTCTTAATTTTGTCGACCGCCGCATGGTTCATGTGTAGGGATCCCCTCGTATTCCTAGAAGCACTGGGTTTGGTCTTGGGTATATATTTATCGATCAAATGGGTCATTTTACTAGTTATGATATTCAGCGTAGTGTCTGCGTTCTTGTACCTTAATAAGTCAGGCCAGTTGATACCCCTCATCTCTTCCCTCATCCCATTGTAATTTCCCTTGTAATATTTGCACCTTGGCCTGGCCTTATCTTGAACTAGGTAACAGTTAAATCTGAATGACAACATTGTATGGTGACTGGTGCCAACTGGGGCAAGGTGTTCCAGTTTGGCCACCATACCCTCCTCGTTTGTTATGATGAGGTCAAGTGGCTTGGGTGTTTGCTCCCCTCTGTAATGTGTCGGGTCTCTCACATGTTGGAACAGAAAATTATCTCTCAGTTTCTACAAAAAGAGTAGCAGGATTATTCAAGTCATTCGGGGTGGACTCGTTTCTCCAGTCGATGTCGCCATAGTTAAAGTCCCCCATGATAAGGAGGTGGCTGGGGTTGAGCATCGCCGCATTGTTTATTAAGGTTCTTAAGTTCCTTTGATTTAGTGGGCCACAGTTTGGGGATCTGTAGATACACCCGACGATAAGTAAGTCCCCTCCCTTTAATTTAATTTTACACCACTTGGACTCTTCAAAAACATCCTCTCCCTGTACCCTCGCCTGGCTCTAAGGTCTTGCCTAGCGTAGATAACCACACCCCTCCTGCAGGATTCTTGAGTTAGGTTCGTAAATGAGTCATATCCAGCAATACTGAACTCACATTCCTCTGGGTCGATTCTCCTGTTCTTGTACAACAGTTCTACAACTCCTACAATATCTGGTTGGTGTACTCTTAGTAGTGTTTCAAACTCCTCTCTCTTATCAAGGAACGTGTCAGTATTAGTGTACATGACATTCAAGCCAGAATTTGTTCTCGGTAACGTCTCTGCTCTTAGTAATAAACCCGCTCCACCCACATTCTCAGAAGCTGCAGCATTTGCTAAGTACACTGTATTTTGCAGGGTGTGGTTAGAAATGTCATTGTTTACACGGCGCTCGTTCCCTCCTGTCATAACCAATTGAATTAGTTACGACTTTTAATACATACATTTACTTTTATCCTCTTCGGCTGTAAGTATAGAAGAGGGGCGTGGCTTATAGGTCAGGTTAGCAGGGAAATACTATACTTGTATTCTATATAAACTTTATACCAGGTGAAGAATGTGGATTACCTGTTATAGATGGTGGAATTTAAAGTTTTTTACTAGTTATTTATTAAACTGCACAAGAAACTTTATGTAGTTGTAAAGAATTGTAAATTGATGTTCTGGGTTGATGGCTTGTTGATGTTTGTACACAGTCCTTGGATTAGTCTAACACATAATTGTAAATGTTAGTTTCTTCAAATTTTAACTTAGTTTTGATTATTTTGAGTAACTTTTTTTTTAATGTTGCCACATTCTTAAAAGAAATTGATGGAGAAAGTGTTGATTGTTACTCTGCCTTACACTTACCAACAGTTCTTAATAAACCTTTTCTTCACTAACAGATACCTTGCATAGTGGTCATCAATAATCTAGTACTGTACAGTTGTATGAAACATTGAAGGGGGCAGTTAACAGTATAATCAGGGAGATGACTACATAATACTGTACACTGTATCAAAGCTTATTTATCAATGTTTATATCACTACTGTTAGACCTATGGTAAAAATAAGGCTGTGTTACTTTACGTTTTTCTCCACTTTTCATATCTGGTGCTTAAGTTGTGCTGTGTAATGCTTCATGTACTCAGTAAACTAGTTCACAGGTGTTCCTTCATATACTAAGATAGTGTTCCTGGAAATACTTAAATTAAGTTTTAAGTAATTTATAGATTGGGGTTATGTTCCTGTGAGGGAAAATCTTTACATTGACAAAAACAACAAAATGGGATTTATTGTTTGTTTGCTTATATAGTTTATCATGTACTGTATATAGGCAGTGTACTGTACTGTAGGTATAGTACTATTTAATATATTAGTACAGAGTTGTAATAATTATTCATTCCAGGATGATGACTTGAAGGTAGAGGAAATGATGACCACAAGAGTTCTTCTGGTGACCTGACTCATGATGCACCAGAGACACAAGTCAGGTTAGGTACAGTACAGGTCATCTCTCATTGTGTTTTCTTCTCCAAACTCTTGACAGAGTACAGTAATTGTAACCCATGGACTGCCTTGTCTAGTTAACTCTTCTAAGTGTAAATATCAATAGAGTATTTGTACTGTACAATACTTGGGATGCACCAATGAATTGATATCAGCTACAGATAATATCAATATTTTGCTGAATCAGTATCTGTACACAAAGTATTAGTTGATGCCATTTTGCCGTTTTGGGTTAATAAATTACTCGAGCATTTTTATTATCGGCAAAATACAGTAATTACGGAAACCAGTTACTGTAATCTGTTCACTTATTATGGGAAGTTTACACTTGGCCGCTGATCATAATGTTTTATTGGATAACATGGCAGTGTCCTCTGTGGAAGTCTGTCTATAGCACTTCATTGTAAGGTAATGGATATATACTGTAACATCGGTAAAGTACATTAGATATTTTATTGACCAATATTACCCAAATTAGAACCAAGAACGACCTGCTACAGTATCATAACTCCTAGAATGAACGACATAGGTTGTTGAGGCTGGAGAGTTTTTATAACAAAATTAGTCAAAATGATAAATAACATGATTTAAATCCTATTTTATTAAAGAATGAGTAAATTATGAATAAATGTTCCAAAATAAGTCTTAAATATTAGAATAAAGTCGCTGCTGCTTAGAAATGCGAGTCCTTTCCACCACCATCTCTGTACAAGTGAACATTAAGCTGATGAAGACCACTTGAGGATAATACAACAAAAATGGCCGTCACGAGGAGACTTTAACTTCAATAATAAATAAATATTAATTTAGTAACACCGCAAGATAATATTTTCTGGTCTTGGTCTGGTTTATCTGTTGTCCCGATGCTCCTCTGACCCGACTCTTATTGCTTTCATTTTCACATCAATAGTAAGGACTTTCCCGGGCACCTTGGCTGGTTTACCAACACTAGGCGAGGGCCGGGTTATTAAACATTGATGAACATACTAATGGCAAGCTTGTTTTATTTAAATACTGTACTATTTGGCCGATACTTTGTTTATAGTCTGGCTTTGGTGGTGAGACTATATAGTGACTTAACTGTTTTACCTGCATGATAAAATTGACCTAAATTATAGCATTAACTCTGGCAGCAGATTATTGGGAGAGTTTTGAATCTGGTTATTAACGGTGCATCACTAATGTATTGTTCTTCAATTACTGTACAGTGGTCCCTCGGTTAACGAGCACAATTCATTCTAGAACGTTGCTCGTTAGCCGAAAGTCAACAAAAAAGGTAGTACACTTACTTTGAGGTGTGTATGTAGAAGGCTCCTGGATGATGATGATGATGGGAATTAGAATGGGGGTGGAGGAGAAGGAAGAAGAGAAGGCATTGGGGTGGAACAGAAATCACCCCATGGTGCCATTTCACCCATAAAATTTTAGCTCTTGGTGTAATTTAAGATTATTTTCTTTAAATCAACACTGCACTGCATTATATATTGTCAATATGTAAAATATATTTCAAAATGACCAATAATTTGCTTGGAAACAGAAAAAAAGCATTTAGTTGAAGAGAGTCTCAGGCAAGATGTTACCTCCACTGAAAACAGAGAGAGACTAACGCCTGTCTGGTGTGTTAAGAGGCTGGATGGCACGCCAGAAACTAGTTTCTTCACCTTCAATTATGTTCAATAATTGTTAAATGACTAAAAAAGTTAATATTAAACTTTTAAAATTATTGAATAGTATCAACTTCTAGAACCGATTAATGTATTGGCGGACTGATACTAAAGCTGGTTGCCCGGTCAGTGCAAGCAAAAACATGTTGAGGTCGGTTCGTAAGAAATTCGTTAACCGAATTGAAGATCCTTATGGAAGGCAGTTCGTTAACCGAGGCGTTCGTTAAACGAGGGGTCACTGTATATTATGTATGTGCTCCATTTATATACACTATTTATTCAGCCTAGCTAGCAGCGTGTGGCAATGTATTTACCATGTCCCACACGCTTAATTAATGTGCCTGGCGACATATGGGAGCTGTTAATGTATCACTTGCCACATGTCACCTAGAGGCTAGTTGACCCCCCAGACAGAGAAAGGAGCACCACCTCACTTGTGTATCTCTGTTTATCCAGTAAATAGAACCTACGAAAACTCTACAGGTGTTTGTGTTTGCTCCTGTAGATAGAACTTGATACCCAGTCCTTTTTATTTGGAACTGTAAATATTAGTTTAATTGGCATTATGTTGCTGACCATTAATCCCTCAACTGATACCGTTCCTCTATATTTTTTATATTCATAATTTTTTGTAATTGATGTTTCCAAATAATCATTAATGTGTACAATTTCTACTATTATTCCTTATCATTTTCAACCAAAAATCCATTAACATAGTTTATATTATTGTTAACATAAATATATATTTAATGTGGGACTGGCTACCATTTATTCAACAACATTGACACTCCTGATTTTACTTACCACAATTGTTCCCAGCAAACTTCTCCATTGCCCTTCAACTTTGTTTTGCACAAAATGAGAACATTCTGGTTCCATTTATTCATTACAAATCCCAGAACCTCAATTTTAAGCTTTATTCACATTTTAGTCTAAAAAAAATAGATGGGGGTTAATATCCCCTATGTAAATTAATTTAGGTTCAAGATATACACTTTAGGATAAAGTAGCTACGGTATGTTTATTTACCACTTGAAGTGGAGGCTTCTTCATCAAGCTGTTTCTTTTTCTTGTGTCTCTTTCTCTTTCTTTTCACTTCTTCATTTTGAGGCTGTGGTTTTGTTTTCTTGCTCTTTTTACAAGATAAAGGGTTTGGATTCTTGGGTTTCTTCTTCTTCTTTGGTGGTGGTTGGTCATCTTCTCCAATGTATTTACGCTTGAGAGATTTCAAAGTTTTTTCTTCATGATCTGTTAATAACCTAAAAACAAAAAGGAAATAGGTTATCAATATTCATTCATGCATGATATTTGAAACTGCCTAGTATATATATATATATATATATACATATATACATATATACACACGAAGTTCCCAAGTGCTTTCGTGTGATTCACATCTTTTGTTTTCTGTTCAATTTTTGCACCTTACCTTGGTTGCCACAAAATTATTTATTATTAATGTGCAGACAAATATTTTTTTTAAATGTACATAAATAAATGTAACACTGCGAGGTGAGTTCACACATTAACAGCAGTATTAAACCATTGTCTTCTAACATTTTTAAGCTATTTTTAAATATTAACATACATGATGGCTTGATCTGACTACTTTTGCACTTAGACAACTGATCAGTGAATAAACCAGGGCATATGGAGATGCATTATGCATGACAATAATATTTAATAAATTCTGATAAATACACTACAATATTATTTACTAAGTGCTCAAGATAGATCCTGCGGTAAGTGACAACAACAGTGCTTGAGAGATGGGGAGTTTAGGGAACAAAAGCTAATCTCTGATTTTAGGGGGAAAATTTATTAGTTTTTGATAAAGTTTTATTAACCCGGCACCAAATGAACCTGAATTATTGAGAAATTGCATACTGTAGTTATAAAGGGATCGCGAGGCGGGTTGATCTTTCCTCCCTCCTCCGCCACTCACCTGGTATTCCACAGCAAAGAAAACCCAACAGAAATTGGTGTTTGCCTTAAGGTGGCTACTGGGCAGATGAGAATATCTCCCTGCAAGTGCCAGGTAAATACACTAACTATACAATTTGCTCATATCCTCAACATGCATATGCAGTATCCAATGAATCTGGCATCTAAACTGATTCATTACACCTTATGAATGTTAAGGCATCAAGTTTCTTCAACACTATCATAATTATATCGTTTTTTGTAACCAAGCTATTTCCCACTAGAGCAGGGTGGATGGAAGCAAATGCACACATGAAAACTCTCCCATTACCTGCTCTCATTTATCACTTACTGATGTAACACTTTCATTAGGCTCAGAAGCTCATCTGATGTATTTCCTGGTAATTCATCCAACTCGGCATCATATAATTTAATAAGAGTTAATTTGCACAATTCCACTAATCACTTACTTGTTTGATTCTGAAGCCAACTTAAGACATTTATCTGTGGGTTTCTCCAGTGTAGGAGCACTATGATAAAGATACAGAATAGGTGCACCTGTCACACTGTGGTGAATATGTTGACGGAGATCATCATCTTGTGTTGCTATAATGTACCTATAAGAAAAATGTATAAGCTGCAATTGTTGTCACACCATGGATGGAAAACATGAAATGTAAAAATTAAACAATATATATATATATATATATATATATTGTTTTGTACTTCTCCTTAGTCTGTACTCACCCCTGAAGATGTGAATTACACGAAAGCGCTTGGGAACTTCGTGTTTTCTTCCTTCCTTGTCGTTATCAGCATATATATATATATATATATATATATATATATATATATATATATATATATATATATATATATATATATATATATATATATATATATATATATATATATATATATATATATATATATATATTAGAAAGAAGACTATGAAGACCATTTTCAGGATATGATCACTAGTATACTGGCTACAATTATTCCATTATGCATACAGGTACAGTAAACCCTTGATAAGTGGGCATGGATATGGTTTTGGAATGTATTATAGTATGGCTCGGGAAATGCTGAGAAAATCTCCGCATACTGTATCTGATTACCTACCATGCCTCTGTGTCACTTACCAAGCCTCTGTGTCACCTACCATGCCTCTGTGTCACCTACCATGCATCTGTATCACCTACCATACCTCTGTGTCACCTACCATACCTGTGTCACCTACCATGCCTCTGTATCGCCTACCATACCTCTGTGTCACCTACCATACCTGTGTATCGCCTACCATACCTCTGTGTCACCTACCATACCTGTGTCACCTACCATACCTCTGTGTCACCTACCATACCTCTGTGTCACCTACCATGATGCTTCACTCTTCACCTGTAGTGCTGGTAAGTGTTACTTTTTTATATATAGTAATTACATGTATACATATATGGGTCGATAATTTTTTATTATTGTATTTTTGTAGGAGGGGAAAAGTGCCTCAATAAGTTGGGATAACTGGGCAAGGCTAGAGCCCCATATGTGCCCATTTATCGAAGGTTTCCTGTACTTGTGACGTATAGAACAGGAATCACTTTAAGTGCACTTGATATAGGAGGACTTAAAAGTTCATCGCTAATGAAAATGACCATAACCTCTTCACTACGAGGATGTCACTTTAAATATTTTATTTGGCCAATGCCAGATGATTTTATTCAGCTCAGAGGGGACCCCATACACAAAGGGTTAATGATCCATTACCACCGATCCATGCTAACTGACAGACCCCCTGAAGGGTTTACTTATGATTAGATCATTAAAATCGAACAAAAGCACTTTAAACTGACAAAAAATTGAAACAGAATGTGCCTAAAGGGGCTGAACACTTAGCTTTGTGCAATAAAGCAGTCGTGGAGAGCTGGTCTGCTGCAACTACAGTTTGCCTTGACATGTGTGATTATAAGATACACTGCTTTTATATCACCTCCCTCACAGGCCTTTGGAGGGCAGCCACTGCACAATATCAGAAGGTATACGGGTGTTAACAGACCGCATATCTATGGAAACTCATTCCAACTGGCAAATGAACTCCATGAAGGGTTCCCCAAAGATATACTGTACAGGACACTAAAGAGGACAATAAATCCTCTGACACATATTGAATCCCAGGTTGCTATTCCACATTTAAAACCTGTTTTCCTCCCTTGGGTCAGACATCTAGTCTGCTGAGTAAGCTGTCTTATAATCCGGGTTCAGTTACTGAAATATTTGGGTCATCCTCTGAACAGCTTGAGTTAGTTTGGTCCCACAAATTGACTGGTTGATGAAAATAACTTAAATATGCAATAACAAGCAAAAGCAAAGTTGCCTTAATAAAATACTGCATAACAATAATGATATTAAACCTCACAAGTGCTAAAGGTGTAGTATTTAGTTTTTCCCAAAAGTGGTAGTTTGTTAAGACCAAGAAATCTTCACCATGTTATGAGGTGACTGCAACTATGTGGTTTGATCTTGGAAGTCACAACATGGCCAAAAGCAATGTACAGGCAGAGTGCCTTTAGCTGATGTGATGTCAAGACTTGTGAATAGCAACTTTTGCCCCGAGGAAACACTTGTAATGGCTATTGTTGCAATGGGAAAGTAATGATCTTAGTGAGTTACCATAATCCTGGTGTTACTTGGGTTTAACCTCTTTGATTTAATAATAGATGAGACACTAGTCCAGACATAGGGTCATAAATGGCAAAAACAATAAAACTTACTTAGCTGGATTTTTCTCCTGAAGAAGAGACTTTATACATGATGAAGCTGGAATTGCATCACCCTCATGACCACATTTATGGACAGGAAACTGCTTTACCACCATCCATGTTCCATATAAATTAGCTCCTGAAATATTTGACATTTTTAAAGATATTGTATCTTATGATCTTTTTTCAAAAAGGCAAGAAAAATCTAATTAGCCTTAAAATACCGTAGCCTACAGGAAAATTATAGCACATCGTAAATTGGACTAAAGGCTAAGAAGATTCCTATAGAGTCTTGCCATTAAATTGGACAAATGTGCACTTGACACACCTCCTTATTGCCTATGGTGACAGCTGTCAAGCACAGGTGTAAGTACATAAAAGAAAGAAGATAGTAAGTGAAAGACATGCATAGGCTTAGGGAATCAAGTTAAAATGCCAGCACCACCAGGAAGTTTGTTGACATGCAACTACTGTAAGGAGACGTCTAGTGAGAACTGTGGGTTCGAGCAGGACGGCATTTAGGACGATGCTGAATGGGGTAAAGTATGAAGGTTGTTGCTGGTACATATTGCCCTGAATGTATAGACAATGTCAAGGAGACTATTACAGAACGTAAGAGATACCTAGAGATGAAATTGGATCCTTGTTGGTTACCAAACTAGATAATGTTGGGAAGGATATCTTCACTAAGACTGAGGAAGGAGCTGACAGAATAGAGGGAGTAGTTAAGAGGAGCTATGCTTAAGTTGCAGCAGGATCTACTGTAACCAGACCAATACTGTACAGTAATAGTGAAAAATAATAAAGCTTGAAAGATGCATAAATTTGTACAGTATGATCATTAAATACTGTAAAATATTGCAATAAATGTATATGAGTAGGAATCTGAAAATTACAACTTAAAGTACTGCATCATACTGTTGTAAGAAGGAGGTTGAAACTATTATGAAATCAACCAAGTGTGTACGACTGTAAATGGAATAAAAGAAAACTACAGAAACTGAACCCAATCAACAACTTACTCATCTTACTCAGTTTTTCCACTTCCAAAATGATGCACTGGGTTGTGACCAATTTTGTTTGAGCACCGAGGTATTTTGGAATCTGTTCTTTAATTTTCACTTTAACCTGCAAACACAAACATGTATCACTTAATTTTACTGTGGAGGGAGGAGTTATTCTACAAGCTCAACCCTAATTTTCTACTCCTATTATTCACTTCTCCAGATATGATTCAGGAGTCCGCTGATGAAGGTTGTCGGTCAAATCAAGAGTAATTATAATACTACATAGGTATATGAAAATTATATAAATGTCTACATTGTAATCCACTTCACACATACTAAGACACAGGTATTCCATGGTTATGTAAGTGATCCTGATAGCCAGTGTGTACTCCCAAATTTGTCTTTAGGAAGGGCTAAGGAAAACTGACTGCAATTTCACGTGCATCAACTACCCAAGTTTCTCATACTGTACAGTAGTTATATAGTACGGTATTTAAATATTTAAAAGAGCCCATGTAGCCTTCACCCTAGCAGAGGGTAAAAGCCGACAGACGAGACTCTTACTTCTAAAGAAGCTCTACAGAAGGTGCCATCCAGCAACACACTGTATGGAGGTCGAAGATCAAAGTTGTTTTGGAAAAAACCCAGTATTCGTTGGGCTTTTTTGTATCGCTTGATTTTCATTGTAATCTGTAGTTATCTCCCTTGTCTGAAATAAGAGAAAGTGCTCTTAACATTTAAGATACTGTACTTGTACAAAACAACAGCTGCTCCTCAAGCAAAAAAAAAAAAATAACTACAGTAATTTCACCCCACTCTGAATTATGTTTTTGGCCAATATTTAGAAACTGACACCAGGCAACTGAATATTGAGTCATATATGGGGAGATAGAGAACAAATAAATACAAATGATTTATTCTATGACATTACATTACCGGCGGAAATGTATAATAATGGAGATAGCTTGTCCAAAATTTTCTCTATTTTCTTCCATTAACCTTCCGCCATTATCGTCTGCCTCACCTCCAACACTGAGTGTCTCCTTCATAAATCATCACGTGCATGCGTTCATGTACACGTCACGCAGTCAATCAAAAGCGTTTTTGTTTTTGCAACCAATTAAAATGATTTTGGGTTTAATTCGCAGTATATTTGGCCCAATCAAATTTGAGTTTTATTTTGGGTCTCATATTTTGAAATTCAAGTTCACTTCCGACCATGGAAGTCTGTGATGGATGTCACTTAAAGTATATCGAGCTGATTGCGAGTTTTTTGGAAAAAAACGTATTAGCTATAGCATTTTTTTGATCGCATGGTGTTCTTCAGTAAAGTGTACTAAGAGCAAGGCAATGTAAATATCATAAAGACCAACATATGTGGCGTTGTGTAAGATTCTCAGAATTCAACGACGAACAAGAACCAGGCCAATAAGGTAAGAAATAGGCGGTCTGACTAATTACCCAAATGTACCCAAATGTAGCAAAATGTAGCCGCAATGAAGTCAAATAATGGTCCTACATGAATAAATCGGACTGCTAATCACTTCTCGATTATTATTTGGTGTCAAAAAGTCACAAAAAATTGGTAAACTTAATTTAATCTGAGTTGTGTTGTGTTAGGTTAGGTTCGGTACATGCACTCGATCTTTTAACTCAAATTAAATTACGTTTTCCAATTTTTTTTTACTTTGTGACACCAAATACTAGTCGAGAAGTGATTAGTAACCCGATTTATTCATGTAGGACCATTATTTGACTTCATTGCGGCTACATTTGGGTAATTAGTTGGACCCCAGAAATAGGTGATTCCATCATATGGTGAGAGTCAGTTAGGTTAGGTTTGGTTTGGTTTTGGTTTTACTAGTGTTTTTTTTATGTATTTTGCCATGATTTTTGTTCGGAACACGTCCAACGAAAAAAAAAATCGCAAAAAACCCAGCTAATTTCCGCCAGAAATGAAGGTCATATTCGGTCTCAACACACACAAATACACGAGAAACTATATTTTTACTTGCTAAAAGTGAATGGTGTGACAATGCAAATTTACCTATTATACACCATTGTGTTAAATACTTTAAGTTATAATGTTCCTATTACCTTTGTTGTTACTTTTGGAGGAGAGACATATGGCCTTTTGTTCTCTTAAGATAATCCGACTTGTAGATTATATTCTGTAATAATCCGGATTCTTTAGACTACTGTTTTTATTTATGTTTATTATAGTTTTACAACACTGAGAAGTAATGCAACAGTTCCTTAGTCACTGAAAATATTTATCTTTCACCACTCGGGTTGGTTGAGTCTGGTAAAGGAGCTCACACGCGCCCTCTTAACCTGAGGACTTGACAACCCTTTACTGCAATAGCTCCTATTAATTGACCCCTAGTAGTGTGGTGCTGACTCCATATATATTTTATAGAATTTCTTCCTAAATAAAAGTACATTGTTAGACACTGTCAAAAACACAGGTAATTATTGACGACTCACCCGCGACCTATTTATCATAGAAAACGATTATAAAAATGCCTCAATTTCACTGTGTTTTATAGTGAATATTGTCGTAGTTTGTGAAAATGTGTTAAAAAATGGTTATTTCGAAAATAAACCTAACCTAACCTAACCCTATTTGATGTGAAAAACAAGCAGCAGAAGCATTGTTAGAAGACCTCACCAACCTTACCTAACTTCCTAGCCAGAGCCCCCCCTCCCCCCACTCCCCAAGTATATTAAACAGAAAGAACTTGCTCTGATATGGTGTAATTTTGCGTTTTTTGTGGATATGAGAGCAGCAGTCCGTACTGAACAGTTAATAAGCATACACAGAGCATCGGTGTCAATATGATTAGCTGTTTACATCGTGGGACGAGACGTCACTACAGCATTACCACTGAGAAGTCAGAGTAGTGGATGCCAAGGCGCCTAATTATCTACCAAACAAAGCATTTACACAAGAAACGATTATCATATCAGAACTCACTCATGAAAATAATGTAAGAAAATAAACCTCCAAACAAATAACGCTGATTAGTCGTCAATATTAACACGAGCGGAAGGTTTACAATATTTTCCTGTGTTTGGGTCATTAAATTAATAGATACTGTACAGGTATTATTCTCATCTTAATTGTATTTATACAGGTACATAAACATTGAAGAAGGCAGAATGGGAAGAATTAGACTACGTACATAAGAAATAAGATGGCTCAGCAATTGAGACAGTCAGTGAAGAGCATACAACAAAGTGCAGCATATACAATGGAGAAAAATTACCGGTAAGCATGAAAGTGGAAATGAAAGTAGGTGGAAGGTGAGGAATACATATGGTACAGTACAATATTTCCATGAATTAATATATTATTAAGCGCTGTACTATACATGAATGTTAGCAACCCCAGCCCCATAAGTCTACCATTACCGTGGGGGTTAGGTTAGGTTAGATTACATTAGAATGGAATAGGTTGGGTTAGGTTAGTGATAGGGTGTTTAATTATCAGGTGAAATAAGTTTGGGTGTTAATCTATATGAGATCTAATTCCTCTTGCAGTCATCGTAATTGATAATACTGTAATATAATTTTTTTACAATATTGTAATGTATTTTTCTAAAGGATTATTTTTTTTCTACTCTTCCAGGTAATGACTGCTGAGTGAGTCAGGGAGTGTTTAATATGGCTCAAGTTCAATCAGGGAAGGAGGAGAATGTTAATGGAGGAAAAAGAGGTGGCATTCAAATCTTGATACACTCAAAGAAGCAGATAACCTCAGTGGACACCTTGCCGAGACCTGCACGTCCACATTCCAATGGTGCTTTATGGGATAATGGAAGGTCAGGCAGGGGTGATGCTGCCTCACACTCTAAGTTTAGTGAAAATATTGTAATACAGTCACATAAAGATGAAACTCGTCCCTCAAATAGCATGAATTTACAAAATATAGAAAACCAAAGAGAAGAATCAATTTTTATGCCAGAAATAGCATCCAGCAGTGAGCTGACACCCAGTAGTGTACTCAGGTTAACAAAACACCCAGAGACAGATAAACTGTCAGTCCACAGTTTAAGTATAACAGAAGACAAGGTTATAAATAAAAACACTTACGATGAAGAACTAGTCTTGGAGAATAGGGAAGAGAGTAACATTGATACTTCACCAGTTAACAACAAACCAAAAAGGAGAAGAGGCCGACCTCGAAAAGGTGAATGTAGTGCAGATAAGGGAGATGATGTACTTCATACTTGTAAAAGAATTGTTAAAACAAAGAGTAGGACAGTAATTCAACCGGGTGAGTGTAACTGTGTGTGTAACCATTTAATAAGAGATGGCAACAGAGAGAATTCAATTTATCAAGATATTGCAAGTGACTCCGCACCAGAAAATATTGTTCAAGAGCAGAATACAAGTATTAGTAGTAGAAAACGTCTTGAAGGAAACTTTGAACATGTAAAAGACTATGTGTGTGCTTCATTGCGGGTCCGAGATCCTTATAAACCTTGGCGAAAGAACCATGAAGTAGTGAATGGCAAAGCTATTGTTCCCGAGTACAAGATTCAGGCATTCGAGCGTCACAAACGATCGATGGAAATGCAAGCCAGCCAGAGGTACAGTGTCTTCCATACCTGGGAGAGCGTTCTGGCCTGCAAAAACAGAGTGGAAGAGGAGACCAGATCTAAATACAACCTTTACTCTAGAACAAATACCTTCAAAGGTATAGCTGCTCTTATAGCTTATATATTTTATTTTTGTCATTCTCTTGGGTATACAGGTCGAGTTTGTGTAGCTAAAAATGTGAACATTCCCCCCTACCAACAAATAATAATACTGAACTGTAATAATTTCTGCACAAAAATATTATGCTTTTCAAGGTAGAAAAACATTACCAGTTAATTTAAGAATGGAAGGAGTGTCAGGGAAAGATCAGATCAGGAACTACTCTAATGGCATGGATTTTGAGAGACTGAAGAAGTGATATACGTACTGTATACAGTATTAGTGAAAAGAGTGTTTGATTCTTAGAACATGGTAGGATGGAAAGTGGCAGATCAAGAATGTGCTGGGAAGATTTAGGTGAATGATGTACGAGAATTGAATGTAAGTAGCAGTGTGTGTGTGAATGAGTATAGAGCACAATGTTAAGTAATTATTGGAAGGAGGACATACAGTACTACTGCTGGGTGATGTTAACAGTATAAGACCAGTCATCATTAGTACTATCATTGCATCAGACTTTAGTATGTGTAGTGGCTATTAATAATAATTATTATTTACTGCATTGATTAATGGGTATGAATGCATTGAAGTATAGTAGTATGGGTACATAGTACCGGTATTTGGATTTAAATAAAGTATCTAAATTCACTAAGGGATAAATGGTTATTTTTGCATCAAGATGATACATAATCTTGCATTTCAGATGACAAACCCAAACCATATAAAAGAGTCCTGTTTGAGTTAAAACGTTCAAAGGGTGATGCAGTTGTAGTCCCTTGCAGTGGAGTTCCTTTGATGTGGATTGGTAATCAAGTCTATACCTGTCACCTTGGTAAACCACGATTCAAAACAAAAACAAAACTATCTTTGGCTAAGAAGAACCATCAACAGGTTAGTGAAACTTAGGAAAGTTTTCAAAGTTATGTGATGACCGTTGAGATATACCGGTAATAATTGTTGGCCATGTGTGTGTGAACCTAGGTAGTAGCTCCTCATATAATAGGCCAGATCACTTAAAGGATAATACTTTATTTTAAAATTTGAACATTACTTCTCTTATACCAGATTAAGGTCAATACAGAGCACCAAAGGTGAGAGAGGCTCAAGAAAATGTTCCTATTTCAGTGCCACTTTTAACAATTGAAATGAAACAGAGGGTTAGAGGATTTTTTTAAGAAGAAATATAGTTGCAGTTGACTTTTTGTTTCCTTATAGTACAGTATCTTTATACTTGCTGATATGTACTGTAAGGTACTCATGTTTACTGTATATATTTTCTGTAGTACCTTACCGGTATTGTAAAAGATTTATGAAGTATTTTCTTTCCCTAGGTTGATGACTTTGACTCAGACAGACCAAAGAAAAACACTCCTTCAAAAAAAGTTGGCTGCCCTGCAACATTTTCTGTGACAAAAATAGCCAGGTTTCCAGATTTTGAGGTAACATTGATCTTCCTCAGATAAATTTTTAATGAAATATAGTATTTATTTTATGCATATTAGCTACTTAAACTAACAGCTGTTTTTTCCCTTCTGTTCAGTAATGTTTATATATGCAGCAGTACTGTAGTGGGACACTGTGCTGTATCTCACTGATTGCTAAGATTCATCACTTCTCCAGGCACTCTAAACAGGGAGATATAATACATTCACTTTAAGTTATTGACCTTCTAGTTGTAGATTTTTTCACAGTTAACTGACGAGAGTAAATGCAGAAGTACAGTTTCCGCTGAACTACGCAACGCGTGGACAAAAACTCCAGAGAAAGTCCGCTACTATATTGAATACCATGTTAAGCGACCCCGACTGGAGGACCACCAGGGACACATCTTTAATAAGGTATTTTATATATTAATTTATATATATTTAATGATAACTTAAAGTATAATTATAGTATAGGTGTACAACAGTACAGTTATCTAAGTTACCTTACTCTACATTGTTTCACTTATACAGTTAGTGAATTAATATATTTTTTCAATAGTTAAAAAAAAAAGAAGACAAATACCTGGTATGTGACAGAAAGTTATACAAGTTTGAGAGATTATAATACAGTATACGTACAGTCAGTTCTGCTATAACGCGATAGTTGTGTTCTTGTAAAACATTGCGTTATAGAAATTCGCGTAATAGAAATAACAGGGCTTATGGAGAAAATAGGGTTAGGTGCAGATTACTCTAAATCGAAAAAAATTTAGTAGTTAGCCTACCACAAAGGATAGCACAGTCTAAATAAATGTTACATTCATATCTAATAATGAAATCATACAGTAAATGTAACACTTTACCTTGAAAAAATATGAATATAACTTGATGGGGGAGAAGGGTGATTTTGAGGTTGATAACATCGAGCTTCTCTTCTAGTGTTATATCCTTTCTTTTACGATCATCACCGGGAATGCGATCACCAGAACGCTTCTTGGAAATATTCTTCTTTACCATATTCACAGTTAATACCACAAAATTGGAGAAATAGTAAGCAAAAATCGCGTTATAGCAAACAAGCGTTCGCGTTATACAAATATCGTTCTTCTATTCATAAGTCGCATTAGAGCCAATTCGCGTTGTCAAAACACGCGTTATAGCAGAACTCACTGTAGTCTCGATTTACGCGGATTTCGTTTACACGTTTGGTCATTTACGCGGCACCTGGCCAGACCGGCAATTATTAGTTACGTGGTACATTACATAATTTACGCGTGAAGCGGCACGGGCAGAATGCGTACAACGTCACCGAGTCATCAAAACATTACCGAGTTCTTCACCCGCCACCCACCACAGCCGGCCCAAGTCAGTTATAGTGAGGATATGGACTTTGAGGGGTTTGACAAAGAGGCCCTGCAAGCCTCTGCGGTGGATAGTGATACAAGTGATACAAGAGTTACAGATGAGGGCCAATAATCTGCCCTCTGCCTCGGAACCAACCCCCCATCCCTGTGTGCCCAGCCATCTTTTCTACTAACGTAAGTGTTAAAAAACCTAATATTATTGATATTTCTCTTAAATATTAATTGTGTGTGCATACCATCATAAAATTAAGATGTTATTTTTACCACAACGTACGTATTGTGTCGGAAAAAGTGGAGTTTGGGGGTCGGCCCATTCTGTATTTCAATTAATCCCATATGTTCTGTTATTTCGTTTACGCGTTTCTCGTTTTACGCGGACCTCCATGGGTTTAATTGACCGCGTAAACCAAGACTATACTGTACAATGAAGCTCACATATCCAAAAGCCATAGGACTGGGACCCCTTTGGTTAATTGATTTTTTATGATTCTTGAGGTTAATTTAAAAAAATAAATAGATTAAAATGTGTATGATGGCAGGCAACTGGACACCAAGAGTGAGGGTTGTGCAGATGGGAGTTGATGCTTCTCCACATTCTTTAAGTAAAAAATGTACGCAGGTCGAAACACAAGCTGTGTGCAAACCGTACTTACAAAAGTGTCTAAACTCCCACTGTATGATCTCTTATATACATCTAAAATCACTGAATTTAAGCCAAAAGAAAAAATAGAATGACAAAATACAGTAAATGAAAGTAAAAAATAAGTTATGAGGTAAATACTGTACTGTATATTTAAAGCTTAACCTCAGTGGGCGTTGATAAGTCGGGGACCGTCTGTATATGTTAGTGTTGTTTTTATTTATAATTGATTTTGAAATTCATTATGGTATAATTCACTAATGGTTGACACAACAATTATGTTGCAGACTGGTAGTGCCAAATTCCAGGAGCCCATCGATCCAAGAATTATACAAAAGATTCGTGACCTTTCCTATGAAGGAGTAACAGAAATGAGACACATGATGGAACACATATCTTCCTTCATCAGGGAAGAAATATTCAAAGACTGTCAACTTCCACCTCCTGAACGTCGACGATACAATCCCAGTGTTCAGGACTACAGAAATACAATGAAAAGGGTAATGTCATTGAGATCACACTTTATTTTAAATTTTTTATTGTTGTTGCTAGTCCTTTGTCTCCACTTTTCAACGATAAACACACTTTAACCCGTACTACGGCGTCGGCTAAGTTAATATAATTATGTTTGTCTGGCGTCGGCAATTTTTTGACTTTTGGATTTTGGCTGAAATGGACTTATACTATCATATAATGAAGGAAAAACATCATTTAGCAACTCATCGGACTATGGAAGGTGTAGTTACGCCCATGGGTGAATGTATCGCGGCGTTGAAAGTTTACGAGTGTAGAGTTTTAAGAGTGTTGGCGTTTTTCATCGAGTGAGTGGAATTATGCTAATTACCCAAAGTTTTCACTGTCTGTAGCTGTTTTTTCTTTATTTATCTTCTATCCCGAACATCAATATATTTATCCTTTTTCATATTATTTACTCATTTTCATAATAATTTTCACCAATACGTATTTGTTTTATGATTATATAATTATTTATTTTTTATTTGGTTTCACTTTTGCATTGTAAGTATAGATTTTACAGTACAGTATTTATTCGTTTATCTCAAAGTATATCGGCGTAACTGTTATGCCGTTGACGCTGTACGGGTTAATCACCGAACTATTGTTTACTAGAAATAAATGGTGAGTTTTAGGTTGTTATGTTGGAAGGTTTGAGAAGTTGTTTAGACCCAGCCAATACCTCACAATATTCTTGCTTCATAAATTATATGTATTGCATCCTGCACTGAAAGTTTGATTTATTTTCAATGAAATGTTTTCTGTTTCAGTGTGTTGCAGGTAACTGTAAAGTGGAATTAAAAGTTCTTTTGAGGGGTCATGTTCTATTTCTTTCTGTCATAAAAGGGAACTGTGAGAAAAATTTTCTTACTTCACATAAATGACTGTGTTTATGGAGGTAATACTGTAATCCATTTTCTTCTTCCTCATATAAAATTCAGCTGTGCTCTGGGTTACAGTTGTGGGTGCTGTGCCCAGCACTCACAAGAGCTCCTGTCAATTTTGTTTACATTTTATTATCTTTATTTTTAACTAACAGATGTTTCCTAATGAGCTCAAGGTAACAAGCTTCATTGTACAGTACTAAAGCCTCATACTTCAGTTGACTTATCACTAAGCTATGTCCATTGTTAGTGTTCATTGCAATATCACAATTCTTAGCAATTGATTACTTTCTAAGTGCATTGTTCAGTCAACAACCACTTGTGTGAAGTATGCTAAAAATGGGCCAACATTAATGTATTGGTTATTTTTCAATTCATACTAAATTCAGTAAGTAACTCACTAGATGTTCAGAATTTTCCATTAGTGTTATTGTAATGATAAATGCTGTGTTATTTCATCATCTTACCATCACACAGGCTCGTTTAGAGTTGCAGAGAGCAGGTAGAAGTGTGGTCGAAATTCAGTGTTCTTCATTGATTAAAGACCTTGGCGAGGCTATTAGGACAACTTGTAATGAGGAATATTTGAATCAGTTGAAGGAGCTTCTCACCCAACTTCTTACAACTGTACGAGATGGAGCACCTCTGGATCCATACCTAGCTTGGTAGGTCAACATTTTCTTCTTCCACCATTCAATATTATACAGTTGACCCTTGCTATTAGGTCTGCATAAGGGAATGCTTATTGTAGTGTCTGTTTATGATTGTTTCCACAGTACAGATAAGTCACGGGTGAGGGAAGGAGATTTATCAATGACTTCTGCAGTATTTTGGGACTTCTGCAGTATTTTGGGAGTTATTTGAATAGATGGGTAAAGCATGAATGGACAGAGAGAGATTTTGGTCATATGGTAAATAAAATGAGTGATAAACTGATGAAGGATGTCACTGACAGCATGATTAAAAGTAAGAAAGTACAGATAGACCAGATACAGGATGATGGTGTAAGGGAAAAGTTAATGTAAAGCTTTGTAGTAGAGAGTAACCAAGAGGTGTAGATTGAAGAAGACCTGACATCATTGTCTTGCCCTCCTTATCAAAATTCCCCAATCATTCTTCATTTTCACAGACACATAATGACCACCAATACATCCTGGATTTTGGGGGATCACCTCACACTAATCAGGTTCTTATTTTCAGTCAACCTAAAACTACTGCACAACTGACCACTGGCTCAGTTAAAAAGAGGAAACCAAAGAGAATTAAACCAGATGTCTCGGTAACACCATCGGCAGTAACTAAGAGTCGGTATTCTTTTTATACCTCCCAGCCTGAACAAGCAACACAGGTGAGTTGTCTGGATGAGTAGATTTATAACTACTAGTTCTTGCTGAGGTGAAACACAAATGATAATCTACTGTATCTGATATTAGGATTAATCACTACAGTACAATATCCAGAAAATGTAAAAGAAAGTAAGGAACAGTATTCAAAATTTATATATTACGCCGTCCACTCTTCATGCACCACAAGAATGATTCATTTTGCCTCGTTCCTGAAAGGTTGATTTCTAAATCATTTGCCTTTGACCTCTTATTTCAAGGTCACAGGTTACTTGATCCCAAACAATGTCTCACGAAGGATTATGAGTGAGTTTGTCAAATACCTGTGTGAGTAAAATTGTCACTTACATATATTTTTTATTAAACAGGTTGAGCTGCCACAAGACCCAGAAACACAGCTTGATGGAGTTACCCAGATATACTATTACCAGCAGATGGCACCGGGGGAAGAGGTTTACGGTACAGAAGTTGTAGATTCAGCCGTGTTGTAATATTTTGTTAAACTGAAATAAATATTACGGTCTTGTCATTGCGTGACTTATTGCCTTTGTTTTCTGAAGGTGATATGAAGAATCGATCGTGACAATTTATTTTTTGAACCATACTTCGGGACTCGCCCATTTCTGCCTATTTTAGAAGAGCTTTATTCCAGATGTAGGGTCTGGCCTAGGAGAGTATCCAAGTATGAAAATAAATATAATAATGTCCCACATACAGCAGCAACTTTAAAAGAAATTGTGACAATTATCCATCGTACAGTACTCCAACTTTATTGACAAATACATTAATTTACTTCTTTTTCTTGCCTTTGCCCTGTTTCCCCTGTTGTTGGTCTTGGTTATGTTTGGGGTTTGTTCTTGTTTTTAGTTGTGGGATTTTCTCTGCCGTAAATACCAGTACGTCGTCACGAGTACTGAAATATTTAAAAAAAGATACAAATTAATAAGGTGCTGCACATTGAAACCTTCATATAATGGACTAACCTTTTATGGTTATAGTAGTCCTTTAGAAGGAGATTTTATATTTAATGGACTTTAATCCTGTACAGTACAGGTAAGGCAACTAAAAATATAAAACTCTGTACCTGAACCATGAGGACAAAACTATAGGCACAGAAAAGAAAAAAATGTTACCTGAATTTTGGATTGACTGATTCTCCAACTTGATTCTTAAGCTGGACACGGACTCTGCCCCAATATGGAGGCTCCTTGCTCTTCTCACGGCAATATATCTTACGCTCACCCAACACCTGAAGTTTAGGTAAATACAGGTAAGTTTTATTTTTTCTTCCAAGGGAGAAAAAGAAATAAGAATGTAAATGCAATAAATCAATATCAAACATACACTTAAAATTAATGGCATCAACTTTAAATAGATCTCTTTTTGCTCAGCATCTTTTGTTGCTTTCTTTAGGCTGAAGAGGAACAAGAACAAATACATAACTTTCTCTTGGTCATTCTCACTACAGTAAACCATGTGTTTCACCCTTCCTCTGACACTTCACACAAGCCAGCATCAGCCATATATCTTTCCCCAAGACTGACTTTTTCACCTCTTCTTTACTTGCTCTTGGTCTTCTCCTCCTACCATCCACCTCTGAATCATGCACTGGTTCACCAATCTTTCTCTTACTGTTATAAAATATTGTACCTGTATATAGTTCTCTAATATGACAGTCAAGACAGTTTATGGACTTTATTTGGTATTTAATGCTTAAATATTACAATTAAAGTTCTGTTCTGCACTATTATGCAATTTAATACGAACAATGACTATCAATAACATGCAGAATATCCTTTAAGGTACACCTTTATTCACAACATTAATTGTCTGAAGATACACATGATCCAGATTTGTTCTATAAGAAAAGTAACCCATTTACTATATAACTTTGTTCTAGTACAACAAATGGAACCTACTTGCAGGCCTGATGTGGACAATACATCGAGCATCTCCTTACAAGTTGGTGCTGATACTGCCTGCAAAAGGTTAAGGTTGGTATTTTATGAATATGTAAACTGAATTTTATTCAGTGTATTTTTTTTAATACCCAAATATATAGACTGTAAACCACATACCACAATTGATTTGTGCAGTGGGAGGTAAGCAACATTATCCCTCAAACAACGTAAGTTCCTTATCTTTCCATTATGAATAATAGTGTTTACTCATGTATGCTGCTTTTGCTCATTCTATGGCTTCAGATACAGATAGATGAATATTATTTAGTAAAATCGTCATATGTGTTTACACTAATTCAGTATATGTATGTATAAACAATGTAGGTATACAATATACTGTACTACTGTATGTAAAGATACCAAGTACGGTACCAAGACAATACAGGGAGGGCCAGCTACGTTGTGTTAATGACTTGGCATCTACAGAATGTGGTACCATTTATATGTTACAGTATCATTAAGGACAGGGGTACCTACCCTTATATATCCTGCTATTTATCAGATAATTAAATGTTTTTTTTTTTTTTTAAGGGGATTAGCCCACCCGGGCACAAGTCACTGACCCACATCAGGGCCCGGGGGGCGAAAATTTAATAATAATAATAATAATAATTCATAGTAAATAAAATTTATAATAAAAAGTAAAACAAAATAATAATAACAACACTGATAATAATACATACAAAGAAATGCAAGAATGAAAAAAAATCAACATTGAGAAACGCTATATATGTATGTTGTTTTGTCATATAATAGAAACAATTGAGACCCTACAATTGTGTGTAAATGAGGCAGAAAGTCAGATCATCAACCTGGTACTTGGTCACATATGGCAGCAGGGTCTACCATTAGACAACACATTATGCTCCCAATATCTTCCCAGGCGGTAGTACCTCCCTGTTCGGTAGCTGCCTACTACCTACTAAATCCAAGGATTACTAAATGAGCAAGGGATAAATGAATATGTGTGTGTGTGCGTGAAGTATAACGCACATTTCAATTCAAAGAGTTCGGAACAGAGAAAAGTGAGACACAGAATGAAGTCTCCTACCTTATCCTTGGGGATTCTTCGGCCTTCAGCTCGGGACTTATCCTTATTTATATATGCAGGATACAGACACACCCACCTAAAACACACATATTACTGGGTATTAACATACAATACTTAACAATACACAGAATATTCTCTGTACAGTATTAATTATTACTATCCTAAATTTAATTGTCCTCTACTATAAATTGACCCAAAAAATAATGTGAGAACCATAATACATGAAGTTCAAGAGGATGCCCCTGAGTCATACCACCAGTAAGGAGGCGTACATATCATGTGTCCCAATGGGGTGAAGAGACTGCATTAATAGAGACCAAATGTGAAAAAGACATGTGTGTGTGTATGTTGACAATGATCTTAGGTCATTGTGAGAAGGTGTATCAGGCAACGAAACTAGTAGGTTTTATAAGGTCATTCAGATATCTACATGGCCCATCCCTCGTAAAGTTCTTCAAGAGCGAGGTGCTTCCCTGTCTGGAGTACTGTCACCCCGACTGGCCTCCGAGATATGCTACAGACTGTTAGTTGGTTGAAAATGTCCAAAAGAGGGCCACCAGATTGGTGCTTGCACTACGGCACCTCAGATATACAGAGAGGATTAGAACGCCTGCAAATGCCTAGCTCATACAATAGGCAGGCAAGAGGGGACCTAATTGAGATGTTGGAAGACGCTCGCCCTACAAGGGGTCACAGCTCAAGATTGAAGAAGCCGCAGGTCAAGAAAACTGTGAGGGCAAACTTTTTCGGAGTGAGAGTTGTGAGCTCTTGGAACAATCTACCAGAGAGTGTTGTGACGGCACCGAGTGTGAGCTCTTTCAAGACCAGACTTGACCAACACTGGAGCGGGTTCAGGTACATTCAGGAGCTGGTGCATGCCCAGTACTTGCCAACAGTGCGTGACAGAGACGTGACCGATTGCCCGGGCGGCTAGCGAGCCGATCAGTGGTGAAGAGGATAAAAGTAAATTAAAATTGATATGGACAACCCACACTTTAAAGGAATCAAATCCTCATTAAACTGAACGTAATATATCAATTGAATCGGTTTCATAAATGCCCTACTCCCAAATAAAAAAGTTTCTAAATAAAATAGGAAATTTATATACAGTACTTGTCAAATCCATCTGGGTATTTTGTCATGGGTCGCGGAGCAGCTGCCGCCATGATGACCTTCCTCAGTGTTACCACATCAGCCACACGCTACACCTCAGTGTGGCCATAATCATATGTAATATTTGGGTATTATTTACGTTAAAATTCCTTTTTAATTTATATAACAGTTAAAATTAATAGATATTCACACTTTAAAAATGATTATATATACATAAAACAAAATTCATATATATTTTTCTAGGATATATTTAGGCATTGGTAACACCCAAATGTTACCTTGTTAGTTTTGTTTAAAGTCGAGTTACATAAAACTTATTTTTATAAGAAAACTTGTAGTAAACTTTGATCGTGTAATAAATAATAAAATTTAAAATATGATGGTAAAAAATAAATATAACTCTAAATACATAAATAAAGAGTTTGTATTATAATGATGAATATTTATCTTTTCTGGAGACGTATTTATATTTTTTTTACAACAAATACTTGCGAGAAGAGCTACAAGATCAACTTGGGACGGTTCTTAACATAATAATTCAACCTGTTAATAGACTACGGATTCAACGACCTTACTACAGGCGAGTGATAGAGTTTCAAGTTGTTTACTGTATTACATATCAGTAAAACTGGTTACCCAAGAGGTTCAGTAAAACGGTAAATCGTACTTGGCCCATCTTAAATGACCAACTCGGCCCACACATTTTACTAACTAGAGGTTCGCGAATGAGTCTGAGATACATCTCTTTTGGTTCACTGAAGTGCATCGGTATGAAGGACGAATTTTTATGAGTACGTTAGTAAAACTTGATTAATGAACCATGATTCACATTCGTAACTTGTGCTTTTCCAGGTGATTTCGTATAGGTTATGAAATTATTGGTTCCAGCAGTAGTTAGAGGGTAGTGAGGGCAAACTTTTTTGGAGTGAGAGTTGTGAACTCTTGGACCAGAGAGTGTTGTGATGACACCGAGTGTGAGCTCTTTCAAGAACAGACTTGACCAACACTGGAGCAGGTTCAGGTACATTCAGGAGCCGGTGCATGCCCAGTACTTGCCAACAGTGCGTGACAGAGACGTGACCGATTGCTCAAGCAGCTAACGATCCGATCATTTGGTGAAGAGGATACAGGTAAAGTAAAAAGATCTATCTCCCTTCTTGAAAATTTGTATGACATTTGCTATCCTCCAGGATTCTGGTACTGCACCCGTTTTTAAGGACATGTTAAACAATTTTGCTAAGGGCATACTAAGCTCTTCCTTACATTCCTTTAATACTCTGGCAAATATTTCATCCAGACCTGGTGACTTATTAGGCGTTAATTTGTCTATTTGCTTACTAACGTCGTTACCAGTCAATACGATCTTGCTTAATCTATTTTCTTCACTACCTCTGTATAGAGTCGGTGCCTCGGGTATCATGTTTAGATTTTCTGTGGTGAAAACTGTTGAAAAATATTTATTCAGATTATTGCTCATTTCTCCGTCGTTATCAGCTAGCTCGCCGGTATCTGACTGTATTGGTCCAATCTTTTCTCGTGTTTGATACATTTGAATAAATCCCTTGAGGTTTGACTTCGCCTCCCTTCAGTTCATTTTCCTCTTCTTATCTCGATCTTAACCCAACTGGCCAATACCTTATAATAATCTCGGAGGTAAACTTCACCACCATTTATTCGTCTACCTATAGCCTTCCTTTGTCCAATAATGTTCTTTAAATAATAGTTTATCCATTTAGGGTCATTGTTGTTTGATCTGAGTTTTCTGTATGGTATGTTCTGCCTTTGTGCATTAAGCAACTCATTATTTAAATTGTTGTGGAACTCATCAACCTCAGATCTTGTGATCAGGTCATCCTCAACCGTCAAATATTGTAAGGTTACTGTTGTTAGGTCTCCAGGTAAAGTGAGGTCGCCTTCTTTATTGGTGTTAGATTACAGGATCAGTCACATTCTGAATCTTGACCATGGCTGACCAATGCTTAGTATGCATGGCAAAAGTGCATCCCCGACAGGAAGGACTCCAGTGCGATGGTTGTAACTTCTTCCACTATGTACATTAATATATTAATAAGATAGAATGAAAAGATAAATAATAACAAAATCAATTCCCTCCCTTACAATCTATGCTGCTTTTTATCATTGTGCTTTTGTACTTTTATCATTCATGCAAAAATAAATGTGTAAACTTTTACTTTTTAGTTCCGAGTTCGTTAACTGAAGCGGTCCGAGTCGGTTATCCAAGATGGGCCGAGTTGGTCTGTAACCCGGTAAAACTCCACACGCACTCTTTGTTCTGTTATGCTCGACTACCACATTCATTAACTTTAGACGTCAAACTAAAGGGAAGAAACCACTTAAGGGAAGTTCTTGGTAAGTGTGACGAGTGGTCCGACCTTAGCAGCAACTGGACAAAACTTCACCATGGAAGATAAAAATGTTCTTACCTTGAGAAACTTGCATAAAATGATGGAGGAATGTGTTTTGCATAATTCTCTTTCAAGATTTGTTATATCTTTTCAGTAAAATATTAGTTTTGGTCATCCCTGCATTTTTCTGATGGTTTTTGACGTGTTTGATCTAACCTAACCTAGCCACAAAACCCAGGAACTATATCTAACCTAACCTAAATTTCTAAGACTTCCCGGATGACCAAAACTAAAATAATACCATCTTTTCCATCTGCGGAGGAGCTGGCTCCCTCCTTACAACTATATCTTAATTAATTATTCATAAAAGAAGGAAGGTGAATATGGCAGTGAAGCAGCCCACACCGTATTCAGGCTTATCATCCAGAAAGAACAATTCATTATTCAATTAGACATAAGCATTATCTGTAGTATTGTTCATGTAATAGTGATTTGTTCCCAATTTCAGAATAATGAGTTGTGCGGGCAGCCACTGGGGAGAGGACCATGATTCTCAGCGTGGTAACAGTGATGACTGGGGACTGAGTACCTCAGACATGGATGATCTGCTCAACCCTCTTCCTCCACCACTGTCACTAACACCTCTCCACCAACCTTCACAGGAAGAAACACCTTCATTTCAAATGTGATTATTTTTAAACATATTTTATATACTTTTTGTGATGTCAATAGTGAAGTAAGATGGAGGAGAATATCATTTTATGTATTAAGATGGTTAAAAGCATAATAGGGATGTAGGCATTCTTTTATACATAAATATAAGAAGCCATAAAATTAACTTGCTAACTCAGTCAGAACATTGACTAAATATTAATTATAAGTTCAACAAGTCTTAGTCTAATTATGAAATTTGTTAATTTTATTATTTTTAATTGCAGACTGCCAGCAGAGTTCTGTAGAACAGACCCTATGGTTCTGCAGACAATACGCCTGCTGCAATACCAAAGACAAGTTGCACAGCTTATAACTAGAGCACAGAGTATTGGCATGGATGGAGGTAGTCTTCCGTCCTGTCCCCCACCTCCTGAAGACCCGCCCCTTGATCGCAAAACTACCAAGCCACATTTTTTAAACTTCATACCACCTGAGCACACGTGAGTTACAGTAATGTTGACAAGTAACTAGCTTAAGGGGGGGACTTGCACATTCATGGTACCCTGACATACCTCAAACCCAGCCTTGTATCTTTTCCTTTGATCATTATGTAGTTAAAGAATGTGCTACTGTATTGTAAACTGTATATATGCAGGATACTCTACTTAATATAAAGTACAACTCATTGAACTAGAAATAATGTTGTATTTCTTTCACAGGCCATTTACAAGTGGTAAAAATCAACCCCAAATTCGTGAAGTGGAAGGTACTACTGCTAGACTCATATTACGTAAGGCAGTAGCAACAATGTGCGCCCACACCGGCTATACTGATACTGCAGAGAGTGTGCTGCGGTTACTGACTGATGTTACCCATGAGTTTCTTACCAAACTGACTAAAGTTATGCGAGCCAATACTGATAATCTTCTTCTTCGTGACAGATGCCCCTTCCATGTAAGTTACGAGTGCTATCACAATCTGGCTCTCCTTTACAACGGTTCATCAGATATTGTTTCAGGCTGCATCATACATTACATACCTAGCTATCTGAGTTCTTAACATCAAATACTGTACCTCATTTATATTTTAGAATCGACGGTAAAGTACAGTAAGTAATTTTTATTAACGAGTTCAGTTCTAACATTAGTCTGATCATTTACAGTATGAGTGGAAAAACTAATTTATAAATGTTTGATTCCATTTACTTTACCTCAGCAATTTCCAAATACAAATAAATATTATTGACATGTTTTTACTGAAGTTAATATACTTTAATAATTTATTTAGGAATTTAACATTGCTCTTAATGTAGGATTATTGATTATGAGTAGTAAACTATGTTGGTGGATTACACAGGATGTTGTGGAACAAACACTGCATGATATAGGGATGGGCAGCATGAGTGAGCTTCACCAGATGTACCGTGATCGTGTGGTGTTGTATCATGCTCGTGTGCGTCAGGAGAGTGTGCAGCTTTACCACCAGTACCTGACACTCTCACAGAACAGAGAGGCCAACATAGCCACTCCTGGGTAAGTTGTCTTGGTCAAGCAAACACTGAACCTTTAGTTTGGAATATGTTTGTTAATTCTAGAATTTGCTTGAAATAAATAATTGTTTGGTCTTAATGTTTCATTTACTTAGTAAACATTAACTAATAAAGATTTACAAACTGAAGAAAATAACTTGGGACATGACTGCTCCTGAAAAAAATAAATAAATTCCTATTTAATTGTTAAGAATTTCAAACACATCTGTCACTATTGTGAGAGGTACAGGAACCTAACAATGTAAAACTTCCTTTGTTTATTTCACTATGATCTTTTTTTTTTTCATTGGTGATACTTTTATTCACTGAATATCCTTGTCATATTTACTTCATCATTTAATTGTACAAACTCCCACTGCTCATTATAGACAATCATAAATATATTTTGCTTTCCTTGGGTTACAAAGGTCAAGGCGAGAGAGCACCGGTGATTGGTGGGTGGATGAGTGTGGTGGACCTGGAGGTGCCTCAGCCCCCGGCATGGATGAAGCATCAGTCCCTTCCATAAAGAGTACATCAAGTCTTGACCCAGAGTTGTCTCTTCATCCCTTCTCTGTACTCAGTCAGTAAGTCCTCATTCATATCTTTCTTTTACTCAGTATGAGTACAGTACAGTACAGTAGTTACAAATAAAAATACAGTAGGTAAAAGTTAAAATACAGTACAGGCGGGCCCCGACTTACAAACGCCCACTGATATGAACGAGGTTAAGCTTGAAATTTACAGTATTTTATTAACTGATGACTAATTTTTTTCTTTCATTTACTGTATTTTGTCATCCACTTTTTTTTGTCTTCAATTAAGTGAATTTAGATATACGAGGACTGATCGAGAAGTATCCGACCTTTAGCAGGTGAGAAAAAACAAGCTTACTTACTTAGTTGAGACTTTAATTCCCTTCAAAGTAGGCCCCTTGGGACTCAACACACTTAGCCCAGCTGGAAACAATTTATAAAGTCAGTTTTGGGATCACCAACATGATCTTCATCACATTTTTCTTTATCTCATTTGTGTCCTGGAACCCTTCAGCGGCATCATCTTAATATTATAAAACACCCAAAAGTCGCAGGGGGCCATGTTGGGAGATGAGTCTTGGGTGTATGGATACGACCCAGAAACGAAAGCTCAGTCATCACAGTGGAAGTCACTGGCATCACCGAGGCCAAAGAAGGCACGGCAGTTTGGAGCAAGGTGAAGCTCATGCCGACAGTTTTTTTTCGACTACCAGGGTGTTGTTTATTACGAGTACGCTCCAGAAGGCCAAACAATTAATAAAGAGCACTACCGGGGAGTTCTCCGTCGCCCACGGGATGCAGTGCGTCACAAGAGACAAGAGTCGTTGGAGGCGGAGGACCACCGCGACAATGCTCCAGCCACCCCACTCATCATCTCATGTTGTCCAGGATTTTTTGGCCAAACACAGGATCACACAGGTCTGGCAGGCTCCCTACTCTCCCGACATGGCCCCCTGCGACTTTCAGGTATTTTAAACATCTACTGAAAGGTTATACAGTATATGTCAGCTTAGACAGTTTTACAGTCATATAATTAATCTGTTATGAGGTAGTACTGTATAGAAACTATAATACATGATAGACATTGAATTAATGTTGTCTAGTAATGTAGCCAAAGTAGGGAAATATCTGTAGTAGCAGAAAATATCAATTAATGTACATACCATATTGTGCAGGGTTGGCGGTGATGGGGAGGAAGGTGTACAGAACTCTCCAGCTACTGTTCAACAATATCAGCTCTACCCTCTCACACCAAGATAATTTATAATGTTTTCTATATTTTTATTTATTTATTTTTCATGACCTTATAAACCATTGTTGATGCCACTGACCCAGATCATGACTGTAGCTGAAATACAGTACTGTACCTAAATAGAGTTGAACCGTATTAGGCAAGCTTTAAACTTGCATAAAGTACTGTATTAATACTTCTTTAACATGAACAGTGTACAGTACCATAATTTTGTGCAATAGTATAAGTACAATATACCAACCTGGTTTTATGTTCATTGAAATAAATCAAAATTTTCTGGGATTTTAGTTATTTAATCCATTTTAGATTAAGTAAAGTTAATATAAAAAATGCAGTTCTGAATGAGTTGTGTCCCCTTATAGTACAGTGCTGTCTTTCACTGATTTATCATGAAGGTGATCACGTCTCAGCTCCGTCCATTTAGGTAACACTTGATTGTAAAAGTCCAAAAACCTCCCTCACAAAATTTTAAGTGGAATCTATTTTCTTCTGATCTTTGAAACAGTCTAACAGCACAAGACTGAGAAATTTGAGGGTTAAAAATGAATGGTACAGTAATGTGTGGGGAAAAAGGTGATGATATTTTTTGTGAATTAAAATGAAAACTTAATGTATTAGATGAGAAATATTGCATAAATATTAGGAATAAAATAATATATTTTGTGGGGCAGGAAGTGAGAGACTGGTACAGTATTGGGGCCATAGTAACTTAATAAGATGGTACAGTATTGGGGCCATAGAGTAACTTAATAAGATGGTACAGTATTGGGGCCATAGAGTAACTTAATAAGATGGTACAGTATTGGGGCCTTAGAGTAACTTAATAAGATGGTACAGTATTGGGGCCATAGTAACTTAATAAGATGGTACAGTCTTGGGGCCATAGAGTAACTTAATAAGATGGTACAGTATTGGGGCCTTAGAGTAACTTAATAAGATGGTACAGTATTGGGGCCTTAGAGTAACTTAATAAGATGGTACAGTATTGGGGCCATAGAGTAACTTAATAAGATGGTACAGTATTGGGGCCATAGAGTAACTTAATAAGATGGTACAGTATTGGGGCCATAGAGTAACTTAATAAGATGGTACAGTATTGGGGCCATAGAGTAACTTAATAAGATGGTACAGTATTGGGGCCTTAGAGTAACTTAATAAGATGGTACAGTATTGGGGCCATAGAGTAACTTAATAAGATGGTACAGTATTGGGGCCAGTATTGGGGCCATAGTAACTTAATAAGATGGTACAGTATTGGGGCCATAGAGTAACTTAATAAGATGGTACAGTATTGGGGCCATAGAGTAACTTAATAAGATGGTACAGTATTGGGGCCTTAGAGTAACTTAATAAGATGGTACAGTATTGGGGCCTTAGAGTAACTTAATAAGATGGTACAGTATTGGGGCCATAGAGTAACTTAATAAGATGGTACAGTATTGGGGCCATAGAGTAACTTAATAAGATGGTACAGTCTTGGGGCCATAGAGTAACTTAATAAGATGGTACAGTATTGGGGCCATAGAGTAACTTAATAAGATACTAGATTGGTTGAGAATTTTTTTACTTACAGCACAATACAGTACAGTCCAGTACTGTACTGAATTGTACTGTACAGTGCTGTACTGTATTGTACTGTACAGTGCTGTACTGTATTGTACTGTACTGTACTGTACTGTACTGTACTGTATTGTATTGTATTGTACTGTACTGTATTGTACTGTACAGTGCTGTACTGTATTGTACTGTACTGTACTGTACTGTATTGTACTGTACTGTATTGTACTGTACAGTGCTGTACTGTATTGTACTGTACTGTATTGTACTGTACTGTTTTGTACTGTGCTGTACAGTACTGTACTGTACAGTGCTGTGCTGGGCTGGGCTGGGCTGTTCTGGACTGGGCTGTGCTGTGCTGTACAGTACTGTACTGTACAGTACTGTGCTGTGCTGTGCTGGGCTGTTCTGGACTGGGCTGTGCTGTGCTGTACATTACCGTACTGTACAGTACTGTGCTGTGCTGGGCTGGGCTGTACTGTACAGTACTGTGCTGTGTTGGGCTGAGCTGGGCTGTTCTGGACTGGGCTGTGCTGTGCTGTACTGTGCTGTACTGTACACCTTAAAACTATGTTAAGGTAACTAGAAATAAGGTAATAATGTTCTTCAGTGAAAAGATATTAAAAGTGACTCCATAGTTCACAACTACAGGTACACAAATTAACTAGACGTTCTGTAGTTCTTAAATAAATTTGCTGGTGCATTTACAGTTCGTTTATAAAAACCAGTTACAATAAGAATGTTTTGCGGACTGGCGACAAAATGCCTTTCATTCTGCTTCATTCTGCTTGCGGATTCAGTTCGCATGTCAGAAGTGATGTGAGAAGAAAGTTATTGAATAAGTCATGGAAGCCACACATCCTCAACATTGCTAAAGCTGCCTCCCCAAAGCCGGGAATGCTGTATACCGTAGATGCCATAGCTACTTCACTCCTGAGCAGTTGCTTCAAGTATATAAGGGATTCATTGGTCCTAACTTGGAGTACTGCTCTCATATCTGGGGTGGCTCTTCAACTGTTAGATAGGGTGGAATCAAAGGCATTTTGTCTTATTAACTCCTCCTTTAGTTGATAATCTTTCTTCCCTTTCTCTTCGCCACAATGCTGCTTCACTCACTCTCTTTTACAGGTACTTTAACGGGCAATGTTCGGTGGATTTGGCATCCCGTGTACCGCCGGCAAGGCCGTGGGTTCTTAACACTCGTCTTGCCCGCAGTGCCCGCCGTTTCTCTGTGGATGTCGGTCACACTATAATAACCCGTCATAGTACATCCTTCTTTCCTCACACAGCCAAACTGTGGAATGCTCTGCCTTCTTCTGTGTTTCCATACTCAAATAATCTGTCTCACTTTAAAAAGCTGGTTTTCCAGCATCTTTGTGGTATATTTTAATACAGTTTAACCTTCTTTTCTGTTTTTAATTTCTTTCTGTTCGTATTTTTTCGCCTCCTAGGCCCCTTTGTGGGTCGTTCGACCTGTGCCCGGGTGGACTATTTCCCATAAAAAAAAATAAAATAAATAAATGAAAAATAAAATAGTTTCCTCCAGGTACTCCAGTTTTCTCCTGTACTAACGCTGGACAATTAAAGGTTGCAACAGAGAGGAGATCGCCCACTAGAATGGCTAATAAGTTGATAAGCATTGTGATGACTGGGCTGGGTATTTGCCTTTCCAACAGCAATTTACTTTTATTTTTTACTTATCCTACTTCTGGTCCTTCATTGTTTGCTCTCTCATTTTCCAAAATATGTATACAGTGGTCCCTCGGTTAACGAGCACAATTCGTTCTAGAAGGTTGCTCGTTAACCGAAAAATTCGTTAACCGAAACCATTGTTTCAATGGGTTTTTGGGTAATTGGTTCCAGCTCACCGAAAATTGCCTAGTCAACAAAAAAGGTAGAAAAGTACACTTACTTTGAGGTGTGTATGTAGAAGGCTCCTGGATAATGATGATGATGATGGGAATTAGAATGGGGGTGGAGGAGAAGGAAAAAGAGAAGGCATTGGGGTGGAAGAGGAGTCACCCCATGGTGCCATTTCACCCATAAAATTTTAGTTCACTTGGTGTAATTCAAGATTATTTTCTTTGAATCAACACTGCACTGCATTATATATTGTCAATATGTAAAATAAATTTCAAAATGACCAATAATTTGACTGGAAACACAGAAAAAAAGCATTTAGTTGAAGAGAGTCTGAAAAGACTGTATGGTGTGTTGACAGGCTGGATAGCGCATAAAACTAGCTTCCTATACTTCAGGTATGTTCAATAATTGTTCAAATGACTAAAAAATTTAATATAAAACTTTTAAGATTATTGAAGAGAACAAACTTCTTGATATTTAATAAAATAGTAAGGAATTTAAGCCCTAGAACCGATTACTGTATTGGCGGACTAATACTACAGCTGGTGGACCGCCAAATGCAAGCGAAAACATGTGGAGGGTCGCTCGTAAGAAACTCGTTAATCGAGGGATTGCTCGTTAACCGAAGTTAAGAATCTTATGGAAGGTATTTCGTTAACCGAAATCTTGTTAACAGAGGGATCACTGTAATGTTTCCCTTTCATCTTGTTATGTCTCCAGTTTTCTCGGCCCAATTGTTTTAGTTTGTGTTCATGATTGTTTGTACCAATGTGTTGGAGGTCTTGCATTATTGGAGGGGAGGAAATAAAAAAAAAGACTCATTTGTCACAATTGAAGGCAACATTCGAATGGATCACACTAAATACCACGGGAAAACCTAAATTTATGGTCAAACACCAATTGGTAGTGAAACTGCAATTTTACCAGTTAGGTTGAGTTAGGATTGGTTAGGTTAAGTTAGATAAGGTTTGGTTAGCTTTCTATTGGCTTCTGTTTCACACCCCAAGAAAATTCCTACAGGGAGGGTGATAACTAAAAAAGACTTATTTCAAACGGAAATGAAGGTGAAATTCGAATGAATCGCACTAAATACTGGGGCCAGGGGAAAAGTAGACTTCTGCTCAAAAAAAGCCATTCGTAGTGAGACGGCAATTTTACCGCAGATTCCATACGTTAATATTTAATTCCCTCAAATATTTTTTATTCTCTTAAATCCAAATATTATGTTCCTGTTCCCCAAGTCATTTCCATGAACTTTTTAATTAACATTTTTCCCTCTTAATTTAATGAAAAAAAAGTCGACGTTGGTCACAAACAATATTCAGGACTGTGCATGAAGACAAGAAATTTGAATAATTACACGTAGTAGTTTATTCTAGTATCATATAACGATATTTTTATGGTTATTTTTCTAAGTAAAGTATATACAGAAAACTTATTAACTGAGATATAAGAAATAGCGGTGATGATGTATTATTACTCATGTAAAAAAAAAACTTGTGATTTTCTAAATTTACCTACAGCTATTATTTATCAAATTATATGTAGGCCATATTGTTTTTATAATAGAGTATGTAAATATTTATATAAGTTTAATGTTATATATCTCCCAAAGTATCCATCTGACAGTGTTAAATTATTAAGTCATCCCCCAGCTTCTCCAGGACTCCGCCATTCCCACTATGGATGAGGCGAGTTAAAAACGTGTCGGGTTTTGGAGTGTATAAACTTTGAGGCAGGAGAGAAGTTGTCTCACCAGGGAGGAAACTGACTCTATTATCCACCAATATGATGCACGAATATGCTAAAGATCTTGCGAGGGAGCAGAGAGCCATGGCTTACAGGTCCTTCATTGTACGTAAATTCCGGACATTGAAGGAAGTGTACGAGTGTCTGGAACAATACCAGGAGCAGACTGTCACTCACTTCATCAAGTACAACAAAGATAAAAAGTTCGGAAATGAAGGTAATGTGAGCATTATACGTCTGAGGTTATAGATGACTTATGGGTAAATACCTAACAACATTTGGTGACTCATTAACCATAGTGTACATGGGTTATTTAAGATGATCTCTGGTTAGCCACGATCTGTAGTCTAGTCAGAGGATCAATACTCTACCTACAGTAATTTATTTGTTTTGTTTTCCTAGTGTTTATTTGTTACAAATGGCTTTCCACAATATTTATTGGTGAGCTGTTCCAGTTATCAACAGTCCTCTGGTGTTGTCACATCTTCATAGTTTATCTGATCGCATTAATTTTGTTGGTCTCAGACAGTAATATTTTGTAACAGGATACAGGTACAGCAGCCATAGATGTGTTGGTACATTAATACATTGACTGTACAACGATAGTTATTAAGATGACCTTCCCAACCTAACTTAACCTAACCATTAACCCAACCTAACTTAACCTAACCATTAACCCAACCTAATTTAACCTAACCTAACCATTAACCAAGCCTAACTTAACCTAACCATTAACCAAACCTAACTTAACCAATCCTTACTTAACCTAACCATTAACAACACTGGCTGCCGTACCTGCATCCATTATACACTGTACAGTATTAGACGTCAGATTCATGTGAACGAGTTGCTTAATAGAAAAGAAAACTTAGTAATCTTGTATTGGTGATAATGAGGAGACAGTTAGCTGTAGAAAATACCTATGGAATAGCACCAAAATTTCTGGTGATGTTATTTGCATGATAATATAAAAAAATGGGTATAACAATGCACAGAACCTAACCTAACCAAACCTAGCCAACCACATTTACCTAACCTTAACGCAACTATTGGATCTTCAGCATATTAAGCAGAAAGAACTTACTTTAATATCAGTTACCTAACCTACATTTTAGCTTCACTGGAGCATTATTATATTATTTAGGTTAGGTTAGGTTAGGTAGGTTAGTTTGGTTTATCATTAATGCTGTATGGTACGGTCAGCCAAAGATGCACCGACCTCACCCTGGGTCTCTTGCTCGTAATACTTGGTAAAGGAAGGCTGTATGTAAAGGTGATTGGTGAATCTGTTTTGGGCTGTTTCACTGTCAGGATAGATATTAAACAAACCGAAGGTAACATTTTTATAATAATAAACTATTCATTTTTATTTAAGGTCATGAGAAATTTCCAAATATTCGTATATTTGTTTAAATAATGAAGAAAATTTGATGTGAGAATCTTGTGGCTGCTGTGGTTGTAGTTGAGTTGCCAATTCATTAATATAATTTCCTTCATTATTTAAGCAAATGTACAGTACACGAGGTGCTGAAGCTTTCAGTGTAAATATTACTGTCCCTAAACTTAAATAATACATCTGTGTAGTATGTAATTTTAATGGATTATTATGTGCTCCACATATGAATAATTATAATGAACGTTTTTATTTCCAAATCGGGTGTGCCCGAGAAAATATCTTGGAGGCGGCGAGAAGCGCTCAGGTGACGACCAAGATGGGGGGCTGGGTATACCTCTACGGTGTTGGTAGAAATAGAAGGCAGATTTACAGCCAAGAAGTACAGTATATAGAGATCTTGGAGGAAGTAATGCTGTCATCTGGTAGAACACATATGCTCTTCCTTAGACAGAGTGAGTCCTCTTCATGTCCAATACACACAGCCAGGGTAGTAACTCGCTGGTTTAAAGATCAAAGAAATATGAATCTTCTCGTCTGGCCGAGTAAATCTTGCGATCTGAACCCAGTTGAAAATGTTTGGGCGAACATCGTCAGCGTGTGGGCGCCAGAGCAAGAACGAACCTCTCTCCAGATAATACAACATTTGCAAAGAGAATGGGAGGTGTTCCAAAGGAAACCTGAACTTATTTACAGGCACGTGGTGTCAGTTCCTGGACGACTGCAAGAGGTAATTGCCAACAATGGAGGATGGGGTCACTAGTAGGGTTTTTTGGGTAAATTGGGTTGTAGTTGTTATATATGGCTGTATTTTGGATGGGTTAGGTGAGCCAAATAGGTGGGTTGTATTAAATGTTTGTATAAATTCATTTATGCGTGATATTATTGGTTTTTGTTGGATGAGTTAAATATACGAGACAAGTATTTTTTTTTTATTATAACCTCCATTTATTTAGTCCCTTCAAATAATAATTAACATCAAAGCACAATTCATATAAATTAACACCACTTGGGTAAATAAACAACCTAAGAGTCATTATCAGGTTCTTCACAAACTTATCACACAGTATAATATTATAAACAACACCAATGATGACGTTTCATCCTAATGCTGCCCACACTAGAGTTTGAGACTGGTTCATTCATATGGATTTGAAACGTGCCCTGTTTACTACTCGGAGAGAGAGTTGCCGAATGTCTCCACTGACCGCAGCCATGTGAGGCAGAATATTCTTCCGCAACTGTACGTATAGAATACCGTAATTAAATACTTAATCATTCCATATTATTTTGTGTTTACAGATTATATACCAAACATTGAGAAGGGCCGGCTCCACTATTGGTCTCACACAGGGAAGTCTGGAGTTCCCATTGAATATGATGGCGTTCCCTTCATGCACGTGGGCCGCTGGGTGCTCATGTGTCACCAGGGACAAGACACAAACAAACGCCATAAAGAAAAGTACCAGATACGTAAACACAGAGAACAAGTAGTAAGATATACATGTTTTATTTATGCGTCTTGTGGATGAAGGGTTTGTCTGTAAATATAGACATGCAATTCTTATGTTGTGTTTGTATTAGTAATTATAATGACACTTTTATGATGTACAATATAGACTGTTGTAAAATTTATTTCTTTTAACTGACTGTGGAGTGTCAAGAATCTGGTACAGTTGGGACCAAGCAGTCTGGTATTTGGGGACCAGAATGTTAGTCTAACATAATGCAGCTAGCAATTTTGTATTATTTACTGTGTCCCTCCCTTTGGTATGTTGATTTGTTCTTAGAAGAGCTGCCTGGCTTTAACTAATTAGGGGCTAATGGATTAGTTAGCTGTAACTGAATTAGGAGTAATGGGTTGGTCCTGAAGTTTAAAAAAGGTATTCATAGTCATGACATGGAGTACACTGATTAGACAGCTTTATGGGAAGAAATGAAGGGTTCTTAAGAGGGATTTTCATGGAACTTCACATGTACAGTGTACACGGTGCATGGACTCCTTATTCGCATGAGTGTTTATATACAGTTGAGAGTAAGTCTCTGTGAAGCCTGTAGATGGCCTGTTCTTTCTTTGACTCACATTTAACACTCATTAGTCATAAGCTGTCTAGTGTCACTGATAAATAGCATTGTACTGTACTTAACAGACATGCTTTTCTTACCTTGATGACCAGCTTAAGCTTTGGACTGTGATAATTGTGCTGTAACATTAAATGAAGATAAGACTAGATTGTACAGTACAGTATAGCTAACATGACTAATAGTTTGAAATTTTTTGATATATTAAGTAAGTTGAAACCCTAAGTGAGTTGCACTGTATTTTGTTTCAGGAGAGTGGAGTGGCACCCAAGAGCAGGAATCGTTCTCAGGTTACCAAGAAAGTGAATTGTCCAGCAGAAATTTACGTTACTCACATCATGAAGTTTCCACAACACAAGGTTAGCATTACTGCAAGTATTTTTACCTGTGCCTTTCTTAATATTTCTGGTGTTATTGTATAAAAAAATTTTTAGTGATAATAATATTGTTATTTATCTACAGGTACCTAATGCTTTATTGGCAATTAATTCATTGCCAACTGATCATATGAAGAAGTTAGCCAAAAGGAAAATTATCAACAGCTTCAGGCGTTATGCAAATAGATTTGTGCGAGAGTCTTGGTACTATGTGAGATTACCTGATCCTGTTGAACACGAAGGACATCCTGTTTTAGGACTGGTAAGTTCCTTATTGTTAAAGGTTCATTGGTTCAGTGTAGTGTACTGAACTATGTTGCATTAAAGTGTATTGACCCCATGAGCTATTGAAGTACAGTACTGGATCCATTTTGTAATCACTCTAGGCAAATGATTAAGACTATTAAAGAAACTCCTTCATTTCAGGTGAAACCAGAACTAACAGCATCCAACATTCCTGTAGAGCCAGAGTGTACTATTGAACTTCAAAGTAAGGGCGGAGAACCTGCAGAAATAAAAAAGAAAAGACAACCCAAAGTAAGCATTAGGTTGATGTATAACCTTATTTGTTATATAAAGTAGGAGCTTCCTCACGAGTTATGGTCTTGGGCGACTCCTGGATAATAAAATCTGCACAAACTTTATCATAGCTTATGGGGGAAATAGTTTGTATTCTGGGTTAACCAGTTGGAGGAACTTGTCACCTTTAAAATGAAAGGAATAATACCAGCAATAATAGAATATACTAAAATCTCTAAGTCGGTGTATGGACAGAGTTTAAAGTGTAAGGAAACGTGATAGACAACAAGTAGAAACACTGGCACCTTCTTCATATCTGCTTAAGGTAGTTTGCAGAATAAATCATTAGTCGTCATGTTGATTTCCAATACATCACATTTGCTCACTTGACTTTTACAATATATGGCTTTCTGATCAGTGAATTGTATTAATTATTTAAAGTTCTAAATTAATGTCATTTGGCTTATAAATGCAGATACAGTACAGTAATAATACAGTTTGTTGTACACTGTAATTATCTTTTAACTTGGGTCTTTCTTGCAGGGCACAAAATTTCGGACGAAAGAGCCGGTGGATCCTCGGGTGCTACACAAGATGTATGAACTAACACGTCAAGGTGTGTCAACAGTTAAGATGATGCAAGAGTGTATAGCAGAGTATGTGAGGGAGGAACTGTTTCCCTGTGGTGAACCTCCACCTATCATGTACCGCCGATATAATCCCACATCATCAGATATTCAGAATGCTATGTATAAGGTCAGTAGGAGATATATGTAATCATATAGCAATGTCTGCCTGGGTTTAGTATGCCAAGGCAGCAAGGGTCTCAGTAGGAACTTTAGGATAAATATGAGTATCGTACAGTCAAATATATTGGTGTAATTTTATGTTCTTATAGCTTTCTCTTTTGTTACTATATGTATCATATACTGTACTGTACTTGTAAAATATTGCTTGCATTCCAGGAAGTCAACTTGGATTTGTCAAACAATATGACAAACTGACTCTGTTTTCCTTGTAATGAGAATACAGTATGTGGAGCTATTCCTGCCACTTGTCTTCATGTAATTTCCTTTTTTGTGTAATCCTGTTTTTAAAATTTATTCAAATACTGTACAGTATTTAACAGAAAATGGGTAGAGGAAATGACATTGGAATCACATTTACCAACCCCATCAACACGACAGGAGAGTTAGAAGAATCGATGAACCACAGGATAACAGTAATTTATTGGTGACTCCTGATGGTTATAGAAAAACAGCCAAGAGTGACACTGCTTTGGTCCTTACAGGTGAAGCAGGAGATGCGCTTGGAAGGGAAGAGTATCCTGCAGTACCGATGTGCAGCACTAGTTCGAGAAATTACTGAATTAGTGGTTCAAACAGACAGTGAAGAATATCTGAACCAGCTTGAAGAACAGCTGAGAAGTATATATGATGCTGTAAGAAACACTGTTCCAGTCCAGGAGTTTCAGTTCAGGTGGGTATTACTGTAGGCATTTTGTATGCCATTAATACATGATATAACTCAACCTTATTAGGTATAGTATCTTCATCAATAACCTCCATTTTGGTGTAGTATAGATTTTAATTATTGTGCAAATTTCCAAAATAGTGTAAAGATAAGTATAGTACTGTACTGAAGATCGGACTCTTTTAAACATGCAGGCTGCAGAAATAAAGGGTTTAAAGTGTTGTTGTTTTAAACAGACCAGATCCAGAGGCTGAAAAGGCAAAGCAGGTCCTGAATGGTGGCCCATTTGAAGCAACCATATCTATAGGCCTAGATGGGGTAACAAAGTCTAAACGAGGCAGAAGACGCAAACACATAGAACAACAGGCTGAGCTGAATGCTGCAACTTATCATTTAAAATTAGAAAATCAACAACTACAAACAAATGTAAGTACTATACTGTATTATACTTTACTCAGTGCTTGTTTAATGCTATCTGTTACTGGTACAGTACTTTCTTTTTCTTTCTTTTTTTTTAACTGGGATTAGCCCACCCGGGCACAGATCACTGACCTACATCGGGGCCTGGGGGACTAAAATGTAATAATAATAATAATTCATAGTAAATAAAATTTATAATAGAAAATTAAATAATAAAATAGTAATGATAATAATAACTCTGAAGTAATAATAATACTAATAATAAAGAACCATAAATAAAAAAAATAAAAACAAGATAAAAGTGAGAAACAATATATGTATGTTGTGTTGTCAATAGTAAGAGAAATAATTGAGACCCTGCAATTGTGTGTAAATGAGGCAGAAAGTCACTTCAGCAACCTGGGACTTGGTCACAATTTTTGTGATGTCATATGGCAACAGGGTTTACCATTAGACAATACATTATGCGTCCAATATCTTCCCAGGCGGTAGTACCTTCGTTTGGTAGCTGCCTACTACCTACTCATATAGGAGGATAAAGTCATGAATACTGCAGCTCTGAATCACAGTTAGCGACTTAATGAAAATGTTATGGTTATTTTGCATAAACTATAAGTGTGTTAAATGGGTGGTACCCAGTATTGGTCTTAAGGTATGTAGTAACAGGATGAGCTCTTCAGTAATATAATTTCCTATACTGTATGTTGTGTTTATTACCTGACCCATAGGATCAGCAGATGGAACTTGACGGTGTACTGGAACATCATCAGGTTCACGAAATAATTCACCAGGAGGACGGCACTGTCACGCAGGTCTATTATTATCAACCGGTGGATCAGTTTGACCATTATATTGAAGCTGAAAACCCGGAGCAGCAGCAGCAGCACCCGTACCAGAAGGATGCCATCATTATCCAGCCTCAGAACATCAAGACAGAACCACCAGCAAATGATAATCTTTAGACATGATTTAATCTTTTGTTTTTGATTGACACGGTACAGCATTCCATATTGTATATTTGTCTGTAATGAATATCTAACATGTGAAAATGAAAATAAGAAAATATAGAACATTTTATACTGTAGTTCCCGGCACTTGGCCATTGACGTGTTCTTCCCTGACCTTGATGGGACTTTTAGCCAGGATTTGACACCATCTGCCACTTGCGTGAAATGCTTAGTTTTTATTTTTTAATTAGTTTAAAGAAGAATACAGTCCCCAACTTATGACAGGGATACGTTCCTGAACTCTGATCGTAAGTCTATTTGTTGGTAAGTCTGAGCAGTGTTAATTCACAACCCTGCCCATGCAATAATATCTCAGACACAATAAAGTGGCACTAAACAATATAGAATAATTGATATAATGTAAAATGGGATTTTAATTCAAACAAATTAGATCAGTGTATTGGGATCCCGTTGGTGGATGATCATAAGTCAGACGGTCGGGGACTGCCTGCGTGATATTACTGTACTATAGTATTACTGTGCTATAGTTTCATCATTATCATTTTTACTCCAATTAACAATTCACACAAGCAGTTTCACTTTCATTTCATGGAGAGCATTAACCCTTTACAAAAATTTTGAGATTTGTTTAAATTAATGCTTGACATCCAACCTTTTCAAGTGGGGCACATCACTCCAGAACAACACAGTTTGTTGTGTAATACCAAGGTGTGCATGAAGGTATGCATTTTATTTTATACAAGAGAATTAAGAAATGAAACTGGTGACAAAAAAAAGATAGATGAATGTAGTAAAAAGGAAGAACTATACTTATAGGCCTTCAAACAATTTTGGTTTCTGTTTTACTAAATCTATCTTTCCTTACTTAGTTTTCCTCTTTGTCCTTCTTTATTTTCCCTTTACCTCTTTTCTTTTTGTATTAAGATATTTTTTGTTGCTTGTCTGTTCTCATTCATCCTTCCTCGTCAAGATATAATTTCTTCTTTTATGTGGTCACCACTCTGGTGCTGTCTTCATATCTGGATTATTATTTATTACCTTCGTTACCAAAGAGTTTGCTCAACTGTTAAAATCTTAATGAGACAAATGATCATTTGATCATTTATAGTGTAAGATAAAGTTTGTGCCTGAGGAACATTGTTTTGTGCATACTGTAGTAATTGATATTTATTTTTTATACCTATAGTGAGGGATGAAATAGTACGGTATGTATCATCAATGTTAATTATTTGACATTTGAAATGTTTTAGTTTCAAAGATATTGACTGAGAAAAGGGAGGCTCTGTATTCCTTATATTAAGGGAGAAAAGCTTTATTATGAAAAATAAATGGATTTAGTGATATGTCTATGAAAGGAAATTTATTATTTGTTACAAATGGCTTATTGTGAGTTGTATTAAAATTTATATGATAATGGATGAAAGTTTCCTTTTGTGAATACAAATTTTAGGTACTGAAGCTATCCTATTTCTGGAAAGGTAATAGAACCTAGGAATTAAGGAAATTGCTCCAGTGGATGAATATAGAAAATAAAATGGTCTCATGTGCTACTAGGCCCAATCCAAAGGTTTAGGTGAAGGTTAGATCTATTAGGGTTTGGACCAATATGACCTGCAGCTGAAAATATAAGAGTAACTTGGGATAATACAATACCTGGCTCTCATGCCTCTTTTAAACCCATAGGGTATCAGGAATTTTTTTTCACATAAAAGGAAATTAAAAAAGATAAAATTCAAGAGAACCAAGAACTAGACTACAGCAGGTTTCTCCAAAGGAATGATCCCTCGAGTAAAACAGTGCAGTACTTGTATGTGTAAAATGAAAGTTACTGTGTTAAATTGGATGTAGCTTCTGAATGGATATAGAGTACAGGGGGTCCCTGGGTTACAAACGGGTTCCGTTCCCGAGGATGTTCGTAAGTCGGGTACCGCCTGTACAGTATCTTGAAAGAAGGCTCATGTGTTTGCATCCACTTCACCAAGTTTTGAACATAAACCTGGTACCTGATTTGCAGGTGGTGGGGAAAGTGACTGCAGCTGGGTGTAGTTGTATAGCCATGCATGCATCCCTAATGTACTGAGAAAGGGTTTAGCCTACAGTGCTGTCTCTAATAAACTGTCAGGGCTGCAGGACCCGTCTTCATTATGGTGAAATGTTTCTGATGATCTAACACAATGTATTTAAACAATATCCTACTCTAAAAATATCGAGCATTTGCTCTCATATTTAGCTTTGATAACAACAGTGCAGGTTCTTGTGTGTATAGCAAATGATTGTTTAAAAAAAAAATCTCCAAAATTTGTTCACCACGTAGTTTTATTTATTATATGGAGGCATTTTTTAAATATCGGGACATTGGAAAAGTCGAGAAACTATGATCCCCTTTGACTCAGAGCATCATCTGTGAGTGATGCTTTTATTATGAAAACTAGACACAAGGATGCACACTTTAGGCACGAAGACAAATGTTTAATAATGAACATGTTGTGAGTCTTCCTCCCACTTATGAAGTACAGTTCTCTCAGTTATGTCACTGTTAAAGAGGCTAGTTCAGGTGCTCACAGGTGGTACTGTGGATTAAAACAAATGGAGGTTTATTATCTATATATGACCCAAAAATTAGCTGACATGATTGATTTTTGGGACTAGAGATACACTATGGATGCAAAATCTATATAAGCAGACTTCAAAACTGTGAACATCTGAACCGGCCCCCGACTGTCTGAACTGGCCCCTGACTGTCTGAGCTGACCTCTGATTGTCTGAGCTGGCCCCTGACTGTCTGAGCTGGCCTCTGGCTGTCTGAAATGGGCCCCGACTATGTGATCAAAATATTCACTTTGTTGTGTTATAAGAACAGTAAGTGATTATGTCCAGTATCTAACACTTATGACCAGTAGCCACTTGGTATAACTCAAATTATGTTCTCATTTATTAGTACTGTACTGCAGTATAGGAGACCTTACATTAGTGGTCACAACAACTAATTTTATGAATAGTCTGTCTTCCTCCACTGCAGCTGTTGCCCTCAGTAACTGTAGAAGCTTTTGGTGTCACATTTAGCTGCAGTAGTATGCATTGTGCTATTCTTCGCATGATGGTTTTCAATATCAACCTCAGTTTATTCCTGGGTAGACCTTCCACTGAGGATTTATCCCCATGGTTCACTGCAAACAGCTTTCGAAATAAGTGCATAATTTTCTCTGATTATTGAACACTAATGGTCTTTGGTTTAGTAACCCAGTCTGTATCACTGATGTCAAGGTAAGAAATTCTTTAGCATATGGTGAAATAGGAGTACTGTGCAAGAAATTCTAGTGGTGAGACAACTTAGGGGTGTTAGTGATCGACATTTTTTTTAATATAGCATTAATGCAATAAATTTTGGTAGATCCTTAGAATATGGATAATATGTGATACATATGATGTAAAAAAAAGGGCGAGTTTTAACTAGTTTGTGTGTATACGTATACAGATATATATTTATTAGTTCCCAGAGGGCAGCAAGCTCAGTAGAGGACCGTGCAGTAAAGTACAACTTAAAGAATGGTAAATATTTCAGTCAACACTGACCAACGTGTAGGTAGCGTGCCAAAATTATATCTAAATTGATTCTAGAATAACAATAAATAAATTTACTGTATAAATGTGGTGAGAGGCTAACATGAGTCATTAAACACCGAACCCTTGAACCCCTGACCAAATCCTGTGTTGAAGAACTGTGGACTAACATGGTTATGGACATTACAGTACTCTTAATATTATTATAAATATTGTAATACACATTATTATTATTTTCTTAATTTAATTAAAGGGGTTCGCATGATACCAAACCCACCCAGTAGAAGTTTTGTAATTATATATATATATATATATATATATATATATATATATATATATATATATATATATATATATATATATATATATATCAGTAATTATAGTTATGTGTGTAAAAATCAATGAGCAAGGATTGTAAGTTCATATATTTAAGTGTGACTTCGTTATTTCATAAGGAAAGGTTTGGTGTTTGGGACTCGGGGTTCGATAGTAGCTTTACAAAATGATGGAGTCAGTCGCCCAGTCCTCCCCGATGTGTACATACGTAAATAATTATTTTATCTTATATTCCTTTAAAAATGAAACTGATACATAAAGAAATAGACAGGGATGGCCGAGGGTAAGTACTAAACATTAAAGTCTGGTTATTTATTTTTAAGGTATCAAGTAAGTGATAAATAACGAAGTAATACTGGATGTCCATCCTAATTATTTTCCGCGTTTTTGTGAAGATGGGTAAAAAAACCTAAATATTTACAGATTTTCGATCATTTTTGCTCAGAATATGATATAGAATCTACAAATGGAGAATACTGTATATTTTTATCGATTGCTGGGACCTACCAGACGAGCTTTACCTTTCACCACGTCTCGTTGCCCCAGAGATGAATGTGTACCACAGTAATATAAGACCATATTGTTTCCTGCCATATTTTACCCTGTTATTTGTGAGGTGGTTGATGGTGCAGCAATGTCTGACACTTGAGGTAAATATGGAGAAGTCAACAATAGTGTGTCAGGCAGGTAATATAACTTATCATCATTGTTTTATCGTGTACAGAACGTATTGGGAGCATTTTTATGTTTGAGAATATTTTTACCAAGTGGTATCTTAGTTTCCTGTCTGATTCTGTCAGTTGTTTAAAAAAATGATAAGTGAAGGTTAGGTTAGGTAGCTATAGTTTCCCTTAACTCTTGTCTTATTGGTGCTGTAAATTAGTTGACTGAACATTGTGTGAGCAGCAAGATGGTGCTGGTGCCTGATGAGGGTGAGGATATGTGGCACACTTACAACATCATGACTGAGGGTGACCGACTTAGAGCCACCACCATCCGTAAGGTCCAGCAAGAGTCTGCCACGGGATCATCTACCTCGTCCCGTGTTCGCACAACCATCACCATCAGAGTTGAAGCCATCACTTTTGACACGGGAGCTTGTATGCTTAGGTAATGAGACTATGAGACCAAGAAATTACATTTCTTGGTCTCATAGTTTGCCGATTGATTTGTGAATAATAAAATTGGGTAATTATATAGGACTAACTAGTGAGCGAAATTGATTGACAATAATTATAAAAACACCGGATTTTCATTGTTATATTATAGTGGACACTGTTGTAGTTTGTGGAAATATGTTAAATATTTGATATTTAAAAAAATAAACATTACTTAACATTTGTGGGTATGAAAAACAGACCAAACCTACTTAGCCTTACCTAACTTCCTTACAGGGGGGCTCTGCCGCCTGGTATATTAAACAGAAAGAAATTACTATTATATGGTCAAATTTGAGGCATTATCTAGATGCGAGATGATACGGCCGCATCGGGGCTCTGCAGCCAGGGAGGAGGAGTGATTTACTGTGTTCCACAATAAGTGAATATCACATCATTATAACTCACTGATGTAAGAAAATAAACAGTCTCTATGTAAAGGAACAATGCTGTGATCTTTAAACAGTTAAAGGGTCTCATTGTCTTTACCCCTAAATTCACAAATTACGTCCATGAAAGATCGGCGACGACCCTCACGCGATATGCTGAAAAACTAACTGCCCCGGGCAAAGCCCCTCAGCAGAGCGCAGCCTCATTACCACCTGCAAGATAAACTAGTGCGCGCCAAGGCGCCTAATTATCTATGAAACGAACAATTTACACAATAAATGATTATCATATCAGAATTCACTGATGAAAATACAGCTCCTCCCCGACTTACGACGCGGTTAGGGACCCAAATCCAGGTCATAAGTCGAAAATGCTTAAATAATACATAGAAAATCTAAAATGGGTGTCTCTTTCTTCTCAGCACCACAAAACTCTCACTTTTAAGCTCGCCAGCCATTTTAAAGTGAATTACAAACAAAAATTTTGTCTGTGTACTGAAGTTGGGACTCGACAATACGTAATTTGACAAAATTTTGGTACGACTGAGGCAGGTCTTAAGTCGGGGAGGAGCTGTAATGTAAGAAAATATACTGTAATAAAAATAACTCGCTCACTGGTTAGTCCTATATATTAACCTAAAATTGATAGTTTAATTTTTGTTCTGCAAACTATAAATCATGTCGTATAAATTTTATCTAGAATATTGATTTTATAATGACTGTACTGTACTCTACATTACTTTGATAATAAAATATAAATATGTTTTATACCGTATATTATGAATATCTGTTACAGAGTAAAGGGCCGCAATGTTGAAGAGAATCAGTACATCAAGATGGGTGCATACCACACAGTGGATTTGGAACCTAATCGCAAATTCACTCTCTTTAAGGAACAATGGGATTCTGTTACCTTAGAGCGTGTGGAGAATGCCTGTGACCCTGCTAAGGTTAGTGCACTGATATGTCTAACTGTTTTCAATCCTAAAATAGTTCTTAAAAAATTTTAAACTGAGAAATTAACAAGAGGTTATTTTGTGTGTGTATATTTGTGTGCTGTGCAGGTTATTCTCACTTATAATACTGACAAGAGACAGTTCATGTATAATTAGAGCATCATAAAATGGCTGTACAGTACTTCATAATACATACTGTAGTACTGTGTTAACTAAACACCAGTTTATAGTCTTGTATTTAGTGTACAGTAGTCATGCTTTCTAAGAGCTCATATAACTTTAAAGGCTTAAAATAAAATAAGACATTTTTGTACTGTATATAGTAGTACAGTACATTTATTCCTACACCTTGTATCAAAACTGTACAAAATTATTTCAGGTCAAATTAAAAGCATAAGTTCCCCTAGCTGCTTTAATTTTATTTACGTACAGTATATTAAAAAATGTGTATAATAATTCTATTTCTTAATACAAAATGCTGATTGTACAGTATTGAAAGTGAATTAACTTATGTCAGGAATTTGGAAGGCGTCAGTGATAAAGTGTCTTGGGTTAGTTACACATTGTAGAGTGCACATGTGTGTACCTGTATGTACTGGACTAGTTATCAGTTGCATAGAAAATTATTAATTTCTTGGCACAGGAAATAATATATTTTTTTATACATTGTAGTAGCAGACAGACTATATATTTTTGCAGCATGCAGACCTGGCAGCTGTGGTAATGCAGGATGGCTTGGCCTTTGTCTGTCTCATTACCTCAGCCATGACTGTCGACCGAGCCAAGATAGATGTCAACATCCCCAAGAAAGGAAAGGCTGATGATACTCAGAGGAAGAAGGTTAATATTTTTTACATGTTCAATATTTATATTTTGTTGTTGTCTCCAGTAGGAGGGCACCATCCTTTGTTGCTCAGGTCTGTGCACAGCTTTGTAAATTATTTCATCAGGTCAAGTTTAGTCATCTTACAGCTTGTTGATGCTGACAACTGCCTGAATCTCACATGACTGTTAAGCAAGTGATGACATTACTGCTGTGAGAGTGATACTTGTAACACTACTTTTGTAAATAGAAATTTATTTTTTACTCATTTATATAATGTTAAACTGTAAGTTTGGATGCTCTAGAAATGATAAAGCAAATGTAGAGATATAAATAAATTATATACCAACATAAGTAACAATAAGTACTCTACATAAGGTGGTCACGTATATGAGTGTGGATATGAGAGTTTTTTTATGCTTGTAGTTTTTCTGTTTAGGTTAGTAATATACTGTATAGTGTTTTATTTAATGTTTAAATTTTGTGAACACCATGATTGATTGTTTTCATATTAACTCTTCAATTCCAGGCAGTTGCAAAGTTCTTCGATCTGGTGATGGCATCTATCTTGCGTCATCTCAACTTCGAGATTGTGAAGGCTGTGTTAATTGCTTCTCCAGGGTTTGTCAAGGATCAGTTCTTTGAGTACTTGATGAGGGTAAGTGTTACATGAAGGAGGTTGTGTACTATACCTTAATTATTTGTAATTTCTTTGTATCTTGGGTTCTGCAAACTTATAATGCCAATACCATTTTTGAACAGTTCCTAAATTTAGCATCCTTGAAGTGGCAGAAAACAGGAAACTCAGTTAAATTTAAGCTGAAGCTGACTCTTAGTGTACAGTATCACACCCCCTTCCTGGCCCATGACTAACCATCTTGGATTTTCAGTTTCAGTCCTGAGCATTTTTTTGGGGTTATCTTTGAATAGTGTCAGAAAAAAATTAAACACATACTTATTGTACTTAATGTCCATATCTTTACATACTCTGGCTGTAATGATTAGCAAGATTTTGAAACAAATGTTACAGGCATTAGATTAATGAAGTTTATTTTATAAATAGAAGAAAAACAAGCATGTATTAATCTGTAATGTAGCTGATGCAGATGGTTTTCTTACTCAAACAGTGTTTTGTTGGCATTTTTAACATATTTTAAGGCTGGCTAGACATTATGGGTTCACATAAAACATCCCTTAATTTGTGGTGTGGTAAATCCCAGGCGAGAAGTGTTATATAGCCCTGGGTACTCTAGTCGTGTACTGGCCATCTCTTGCTGCTTAATACAGTAGGATCTTGTCATTGTATTAGTTTTTGTCTTATATTGCAGAATGCAGTGCAGACAGACAATAAACTCTTGTTGGAAAACAAGAACAAGTTTGTACTTGTGCATTCCTCTAGTGGCTTCAGGCATTCCCTCAGGGGTAAGTTTTATTTCAAAGTTATTTTTATTTCAGAATATTTATTCCAGATGCATTCATGTTCATGCATCTTACTGACCCTCTGTTTGTCCTCTAATATTACTGCCAGGATCTAGAATCAGGTGATATGGAGAATGGTATGCAGGGAGGATCATCATAGTACATATACTTCAGAATCTCTTTATTTTTTGTAATCAATTAACCTACATCAGTCAAACACTATGGAGGGTTGGCTTTGTGAACCTACAGTTATGAGACCATTTGTTTGGTCCAAGTTGTAAAATGGGATATGAGGATCAACCCTTTGTTTTATTCCTTGCAGAGGTTCTTGAAGACCCGACAGTAACAGCAAGGCTGGCAGACACCAAAGCTGCTGGAGAAACAAAAGCACTGCAACAGTTCATGACCATGCTAGGAACTGACCCCGACCGTGCTTATTATGGTATTAAGCATGTTGAGAGAGCCAACGATAGTCTGGCCATTGAAACCCTGCTTGTCTCAGACAGTCTCTTTAGGTATGCAGCCACACCTTCCTCCTGCTTACACATGTTTACCTTAATTCGCTCTTGTTGCTTCTTGTTGGGAATATCTTGTTTGCTTAATTCTGATTATATTTAACTCGGCTCTAGACATGCTGCTCTAGTTAAGACCTTTATATACAGATGTATATAGATGGATGTGTTAGATGTGATGGAAAGGGGACAGTGAGAGTGGTGGTAACAAGTAAGTGAAGAGGAATAGATTATAGGGGAGGAGGTATAGTGAAGGAGTAGACACTCACAGGGAGATGGGAATAAGCAATACAGTATAATGACAGTAGTAATTTACACAAAAGCAGTGAACCAAATGGATGAAAAGGAAATGTTAAAAATTGAACTCTGAAAATTTTTGGATTCAGAAAAGTTCATACATTTCCATAGAATTAAGAGATCTCTCATAGGAGCCATGGTATATCATGATGGAGAACACATTATTTTTCCTTTATCTAATTTTCATCATTTATCACTATTGTTTCTTCCAGATCTCAAGACTTAGATGAGAGGCGGAGGTACGTGAGGCTGGTGGATAATGTGAAGGAGAACGGTGGTGATGTTAAGATATTTTCCAGTCTTCATGTTTCTGGTGAACGTAAGTAGTTTTGACAATGTTTCTTCACTCTGCATATGGGGGGAGGGGGGGGGGGTGTTGCTCTCTTGAAAAATACTGCACAAACTGAAGCTGTGTAATATGGGAACAGTTTTGCATAATTAGAAGAGGATTATTGTACATTCTGGTTGATGATATAAACACTATAAGCAGCTTGGTTTTCTCTCCTTTCCTCCATGGAGCATCACTTAAAGGTCACATTTTTGGTTTTGCATGGACTGAAACACAGATTTGGGTCATTTAGTCCATGCAGTAATCCCTTGCTTGTTGGAATTATATTTGTAGAACAGGATCAGATGACTTCCGAGGCTTTGTTTTTAATATGCAGAACTAGACCAGACCGTTAGCGGAGCAAATTTTGTTTATTCCTACCTCTATATACAGAACTGGACCAGATGACGGGGGTGGCAGCCATTCTTCGCTTCCCTATGCCAGAAATAGAGGAAGAAGATCATGCATTAGACTCTGATGAAGAATAATGCAGATTCAGGATAGAAAACCATCCATTTATCTTTTTTTTTTACCTTTTATTTCTTTATCACTATTTTATGACAACATTGAAACTGCAATTCTTTTCTGTGTTCCCCAGTTTTATTGGTCACATACACAAAGTAATTATTTATTACATTAGCACATATTTGAAATTTATTTTTATTACAGTACTGTACTTATCAGGTGTGGGCGTATGTAATAAATGATAAGAAAAATATTGAAGGATGAATCTTTGCAGCCAACCATATTACGTACCTGGTATTAGTGGTATAACAGTCAGGTGTGAGACACAGTAAGTATTGATAATTAGTAGCAAGTGAGAGCCATTTGGTCTGTGAGGATGGTAAAAAAATCCTGTTTATATGATCATGTTATAATGAAATCAGTTATTGGAATAAATGACTGAAGCTAACTTGTGTTTTAACACTTTAGAAGACTCCAACTGGTCTCAAGCTACATTATTGCTGTTTTATGGTAAGTATGTACTGTACAGTATAGTCCTGCCATGCCACACCTTACCTTGCCTAGCTGTAATATCTAGTACTGTATCATTATAAGTCTCTTTGGCTCTGTGTCAAAGGTATTTAACTAAATTGGTCAATTTTCTGTTTATTTCATCAATGGTGTCCGACCATTGTCTATGCTTGCTTATTATTACATCAGTATTCAACTGTTGTATAAAGTAATAAGTGAGTGAGTGTGTAATATTGGTTCACTATGACAATACTGTATAGCTTGTTGGATATTCTGACACATCTGTGTGTGTGTTGATAATACATTACAGTACGTATAGAGTAATGGTTATCACTGCCAAAAAGTTGTCCCAAAGTGTTAATAGACTACTATTACTCTGTCAGTGTTAAATAAATTTACCTTGATATATATTATTGTGTTTACTATGTTCAAGATATATGTAGACGATCGGAAGAAAGAAAGCCGTTTATTTGACTGTCGATTCATTTTAATTATTCGCTCGTAAGCCATTTCTTGCTATGGTGTAAGAACAAATGCAGGCTGTCTCTCATTGGCAGCCATTCATTCATCCATTTATTGTTACTTGTGTTATGTTTCTGCTCAGCTGTTGGAATAAAAGATTGGCTGGTGGCAGGGAGTGTGTGTATTTGTCATGTAAAATATAAGAAGCTAACACCTTTGCAGTATAGAACAAGTTAACTGGCTTGTTGTCACAAAATTAAACCAAGTTAAGGATTGTTCAGGTTTAATCTCTCCTTGGTATAGACTCACCCTAAGTATACAAGGTTGGCCACAGGAAGAACTACATCTCATCTATACTCTTTAAGTATCCTCCAAAGAAAAACTTGTGTATTAATAAATGTATACTGTAGGTAGACCACTTATTAGATCATAAGTAAGAGGTTTCATTTGTTGTCAGTACTATAACACTAGCAGCTAATGTTTTCCAAGGAAAACAACAACGGCCACAAGTTTAAAATGTCAGAGAAAGATCAAATAAATATACGATATAGTACTGTACTATGGAAGCATAATACTCTACTGTATTTACATGCACACTGTCAATTAAATGTCATTATATAGTATTTAGTAGATTACAGTATAAGAAAATCCTTTGATAGTTAAAAACCATAAAAAATTAGGTCCTCATTTTAACTTATGTACAGGAATGAAGTTGCTGAATTTGCATAAAAATCAAGCAGTCACGAGCTGGCAATAAGCACATCATCGGAGCTCGCTTAAAAAATAATCTCACCATTTCAGTTGTTTAGTTTCCTCACACTGCCAACTTAACTCTTGAATTGATACAAGAGGTTGTGACTTTATAGAGACGGGGTACAGTATTTCTTTTATTTACCCAATGTCTTAAAAACTACACCTTTTCACATATCCGATGAGACATTGTTACATAACTATTTGACAAATTTCACAACTGAATGACAGAACACATCGAATGACAATCTGAAATAACTGTTCGTTCATGCTAACGGAAGTGATTGACTTAAGTTATGAAGTTGACACGTGAACAATAAACCGACAGTCTACATATAGTTTGAGAATGTAACAATTGGAGAATGACATACCACCTTACAGTTATTTTAGATTGTCATTCGATATGTGTTCTGTCATTCGGTTATGAAATTTGTCAAATAGTTATGTAACAATGTCTCAATGGATATGTGAAAAGGTGTATTACAGGTTGAAAATCCCTTACCCGAAATCCTTGGGGCCAGAGGCATTTCGGAATTTTTCGGTTTTCAGAATTTTTTTTTTTTTTTTTTTTTAATGTGTATTAGCCCAGGCATAGATCACTTATCAGAAAATATAATAAAAATTATAATAATAATAATAATAATTCATAGGTCTAGGTCGTGTTTCTCACTTTTGATCTTTTTTTCATTCTTGTATTTCTTTATTATTATTATTATTATTATTATTATTATTATTATTATTATTATTATATTTTTTTATTATTATTATGTCATTATTATTTTATTTTGGTGTATTTTTATTAAAATTTTATTTACTATGAATAATTATTATTATTATAATTATTATTACTATTACATTTTCGCCCCCCAGGCCCTGATGTGGGTCAGTGATCTATGCCCGGCTAAATAAAAAAAAAAAATTGCCCCACAAAAAAAAACTTTTGGTTTTCGGAATTTTGGATAAAGGGTTGTCAACTGTACAGTATTTTCTTGTTTTTTTTAAGGGAAGGGTAACTTTCACGTGTATATAATGACTAATGATTATGTCTTGCTTTACGTATTATGGTAATTAATATTAAAATATCTTGAGTATTTGCATTAAAGTATTATATTTTGTTTATTCTCACATTTTAAACATCAATCCACTCACTCACATCTTCCCTTATACAGTTCATGTGATGATCAATGCATTTCAAGAATTATTACATCTTATATTTTTACGTCAATATTCTTTTAAAATTGTCGGTAAATCTTATAACAAATTCTATTTAACTAATACTTATGTTTATGTAAATGTCCTGTTGTTGTGACTGCTGTATAAGTATAGGCTCCACATATATCAACAAGATGGTGGCACTAACATTGTGTTGATTAAATTATAAGTAAGGAAAATTTAATCAAGATTTGGATGGGACAGGCTGTGGTAGTTCATATACAGTACGTTGGGTTCAGGTCACGACTGTCTTATACATTTCCATGTAAATTTTAAATATTGATCCATATTTGATATTGAATGTATGAATGTTACAAACTTTGATATCTAATATGTAAAAGATGGCCACATAGGCCTAAAATCTATCCACTATGTAAAGAATAATACAGTACAGTAGTTATACATACAGTACAGAATTTCAGTGTAAGGAAACTACATTTTTCTGACTACTTTTGATGTTTATATTATTGAAAACTACATCTATTAGTATTCACATTTGAAAAAGGTTTAAAGAAATTGAATTTTGTTAGTTAGGGGGATATACCGGTACTGTATATATACTGTACCTGTGTATGTAAAGTATGTATCCCAGACCCACTAAATAAAAATAAGATCAATAACAATCCCTCAAGCCTTGCCTGCTATCAAAGTTTCCCTGTTAATGAAAATAGTAATCCTAAAGAAAGTAAATATAAATTCCAAAAAGTCTTGTCCCCATTACATTGAAAGACAATATTGTATCCTGCATTATGGGTTTAGAGTTCAGAGTGTCGTGTGGGTGTTGTGTCGGACCATACCTCTGCTTGCATTCCTGAGCTGGTGCATCAGTGGTGAAGAGTGAGCTAGCCATTCGTACCAGAAAGGTTTGTGGAAAGAAAGTGTTATGAGAATTTGTTGTACTGTACATCTTAGATGTATTTTGTTAAATACATGAAGGTAATGTTTTCTCTTTTTGATGAATAAATTATTCTCAAGAATACCTAATTCAAAATAATAATATAATGTCCTGAATGGTATTTTTGAATTTGGCTTTTACAAGGAATTAGAAAAAGAGCACTGAACTGTAAAGAGGAGTAGCATTAAGAGCCACAGTCCTCCTCTAGCCAATTTACTGGTACTGTATATGCAATGAATAGATTATAATATGATCAATATGCAAGAGTTTCAGACTAGTCCTTGGGTAGTACTTATTACTGAGTTAATGAAAAATACTTGAAAGTCATTCATTTGCCTCACTGTGCAAAAGAGTGTGTATGGTAATAATTAATGTCCCCAATTGGGCTAATAATACATTTTTGTAAATTTGGACTCCTCATTGGTGCCTTCCTTATATTGTCATGTTTCACCATAGATGGTCAATATGATTTGGTTATTTGTCCTTGATGTTATCATTAAATGCATACATTTGTTTGAGGAAAGGTTTGTGCTTTGTTTACAGCATTATGCATCATCACTGTTCCTCAAGTTCTAGGTATATGTGTGGATACCATCTAAAATATGCATTAATATACATTATGTATAAAATAACTTTGTTAAGTACTGTATCGTAAAACCTCTGCTAGCCTGAGGAATACGTGTACACAAGTTTGTGGTCACTGTTTTACCAGACGGGATAAGAAAAAATAAAGGAAATTTAAAGAAACTTGTGAATTATGTTTTGATTTTCACTGGGCTGGGCAGGAAGCCATCACCCATTACAGGTGTCGTCCAATGCTTAGTACAGTATCTTTATTAAATACAGTAGAAAAACAATTAATTGTTTCCCATTATTTGCAGCCATCTATCATCTTGTGGTCTGTAGTGCATCAAATTATTCCAGCTGGCTCAGCTGCATTCAAGCTGACAGGACTAGTAGGAATATTTTCGCCCAATTTTCTTTGAAAAAAAAAAGTCCAGAAAAAGGAATACTGTACAGCATTTAGTTTTCTAGTTATCCAGCTAGCAAAGATTTTACTTGGAGACAAAGTTGTTTATATTAACCTGTATCAGAACAGTCCTTAAATTAGTTACTTTAAACATAAGTTGAACTTGATCCTTATTGATGTGAAAGCACATTGCAGTACACAGTATGAGTTTAATAAATGGTGCCTAAACAACAAAGGTGAGAGTTTAGCTCTTCAATCTTCTACGTAAATGACAAAATATACAGTACAGTACAGTACCTGTACTAAATTAAAGTACTCTACTGTGTGCCTGTCCAGGATAAAAGTCTGTATAAGTGAAGATGTTAAGAACTGAGGATCAGTCTTATGGTTATTGTCTCATAAATATAAAATTACTGATAAATTTAGTGAATATTAATTTTCGATCGTTTAATATGATGTGGCTGGAAATGTGTAAATACTCTCTTCATTCGTTATTACCCACAGCATTCACTCCTATAAGAGATGTGTTCTTCCAAAGTTGGGTGTATCTTATCGCTTCATACAATCTAACAAAACGTCCCTCCTGAAATATAACTATGCTGTACTGTGCTTCATATTTACATGCACACACTTGCTTTCAGGATGTCCATTTCCCCCACTTTTATTTCAGCCCTCGCCTTATCCTTCCATCTGGGATATCCCCTCTCCCTACTTCTGTACTATGCTTCTACTCATCACTGGAACAGACCCTCTTCCTTATTTATGTTTTTCCTGTTCCTACTATCATGAACATGCTCTTCATTCTCGTCTATACAGTAATGTTGATTCAATAATTATCGTTGTACATCTCAATTATTGCCATTTAAATATTCCCACAATGTTCCTCAAAATGCTCAGACCAAATATAACTTTCTCAAAATAAGTACAGTAAAGTATCACAATAGATCAACATTAATGTAAAAGGATATCCATGAAATAGAAACATATTTTTTTATTCTATCTTAATGCAAACACATTCTATTATACATTAATGTACAGATTAAATAAATTATAAACTTTTGTTATTTTTGTTTTAGGTGCGTGAGGCCAAGAGTGCCAAGCCTCGTACCTAGTGAAGCAAACATGGCGGACTTGGAGTGTAAACAACGATTTGACAGTCCAGGAAACAACTGGCTGAGCCCTTGGTAAGACATTTAATAACAATATTATATCAGATATATAATAATTATAATGCCAAGTGCTTATTATATATAATATTGTGGCGAGATAAAACGAATTTAATGGTTAATTTAGTAGATTATGTTGGGTCGTCGTCAACACAGGTGTGGGGTCATCAAGCACAGG